TTATGGTATACCTATGGTATAATTTTTGGATACACCTCTTCAGGGAAGTGTTTACCTATGTGTTTGTACTACAGAGATATTAGACTCTTGCAGTCACTTTTTCTGTTGCACATACATTTAGACCGGTCTTGATGTCATTTTATATGGTTTTAGGTCTGTGTGTTATTGTCTCATACTGAGGTGATGGTAAACCAGGGCGAATGCCCATATGTCCTATTTATATCTGTGTAATAAAGCATAATTTTTGGAAAATTTTCTGAGTGTCACGGTCTGTTCATAATGTAGCCGCTTTTCTGTGAATCTCTTTCACAAACCCCCCTTTTTTGTATGCATTTGAGGCCCCCTTTAGATCATAAGTTGACACCCACTGATCTAGGAGCAATGCATCCCTCTTCTGTGTGCCAGGCCTTAGACCCAGAATGCATAGGGCCCCAAATGTGACTGCCACTTAATAAACGTTCAACCCTGCCCAGCTGCAGCCTGCCATAGTTTTTGACAGATTCCTTGCAGCGGGGCTGGACACTGCGCTTGTCCTTCCCAGGCAGACTAATGCTGGGTACACACCATCAGTTTTTCTTTGTTCAATCCAGTGGCTGTATGAAAAAAAACTCAAGAGCTCGGGAGGAACTTGCTGTACTATGCAATGTTAGAACAGCAATCTCTCTGCTGAGCTATTGCGTTCTGACAGGGGGAACCCCCCCCCCGCCAGAACACACTGGTCAGCACTGGCTGCCAGCACTGATCTGATGCTGGTTTTCCAGCATGCCCGTTTGACCATTCGGCCAACTTCTGTTGGACAGGTGGGTGGTACACACAGGCTGAATGTTGGCTGGTTTAAAACAATAAGTTCAACAGGAGAATATTTTAACATTGGAGTCAGTAGCCATCATTACTACCGATTGCCAGAAATCGGTCTTAAAAAAAATCATGACTAACTGCCTCATGAAAATGCCAACTTCCTGGCTTGATGCTGACTCTTGTTTTATTCAGTTTTCTAAGACGCTTTCCCAGAACTAGCGTGCAGATATGCAGCTTTTCTTCAGACTTTGTTGATTTGTGTATTTGTTCCAGGTCATTGTCTTGGAGTACTGAACCTATGGGTCAGCATAACAGCCAGGCAACTAGAATTTTCAGAAGGAGGTCAGCAATAAAAACCTCCATGTTTCCCTAATTGGGACGTAACTTTGTTATCCTACTGAAATCCCACAAAGTGGGTTCCTTTTAGTATTCTGAAGCCTGATTATAAGAGTGTTCATAATAACACACGAATGTGCTTTATCACTTCCTTTCCATTATGTGTTTTTTGCCTTGTAAGCTTAGTATTGTTTTTCAGGCGTATCTGTCAGCAGTGAATTATGCAGACATGTCTTACTCACAAGGTTGCAGCCTGAGATAAAATGTTTCTAGGTCTGCTCTTCATTAGATTCTTGTTCTACGGGTTACAGTGTGTGCCAGGCTAATATTTACTACATGCCACACTTCTGCTGTTATTTGGGTCTTCGTGTCTATTTAAAGAGATCAGTGACTCTCTACAGATCTGCAGAGTCAGTGAAAGCAGTTGCACAACTGCTGATCCTAGTAAACACATATAATTAATGTATGCTTTGACATGACATATGATGTTTTCTTGTAGATTTCTGACATGCACAACCAGATGCTATGCAATACAGGAGTGCCATATGCAATCTGAAGATAAGCGTAGCATGTTGTGTAGGACAGCTCTCTTTCTCTTTCTTCTGCTCCTTACATTTTTTACAGGAACAGTTCTGCTTATAGGTATTATTTGGCTTGCTTAATATGAAAATAGCAGTGATAATGTGTATATATATATAATACATAACAACCAAAAAAGATTTCAGTTGCTACTATAAAATTGGTTAAAAATTAATTTTCATTGCTTATAATTGCTTAGTATACTTTGCACGTTGTTCACCTTGTAGAACAATGCAGAAAGTGGTCTGAGTACTATGGAAGGAGCCATTTTGTGAGCATTGGCCAGCACAGTGGTTGGCCTTCTATTGCCGAATTTGCATCCTTGGCTTCAGTCCCACAATGACCAACATCTATGGAATTTTCATGTTGTCTCTGGGTGGGCATCTTATATTTGTTTTCATAACCTAGCAATGAAGTTAAATGTGAACTTTTAAGTTTGCTTTAGAGAAGGCAGAATAGTGACCACACACCTTCTCCCAGCCTTTCTCAACCTTTTCAACACAGAAGAACCCTTGAAATTACTTTTTTGATCTCAGGGAACCCTGCTAAAAATTACTATATCTACATGTTTTGGTACATTAGTGCACAGGTATCAAACTGGTGGCCCTCCAGCTGTTGCCAAACTACAAGTCCCATGAGACATTGCAAGACTGACAGTTACAAGCATGACTCCCAAAGGCAGAGGCATGATGGGACTTGTAGTTTTGGAACAGCTGGATGGCTGCCAGTTTGACACCCCTGCATTAGTGTGATGGTCAGTGGGAAGAATGCTCCTTACACTTGTAGTGATTGGCATACCTCGCAACTTTCTGATATGGTACGAGGGACACCTTTTAGCAAAAGTGCTGTACGTAGGTATAGGACATGCCCCCTGCCATGCCCCCCTTAAAGGAGAATTACGCAAAAAATTGTTGGTTAAACCAACAAGTAGTTTTTTGACCTCTACTTTTCCTTTATATTGGCTTTGGAAATGTCCAAATGCAGCAATTTAGAAATTGGATGATAGGTTTAGCACTGTAAAATACTTTTTGATAAATAAATAGTGCATCTTATATACAGGTGAAACTCAAAAAATTAGAATATCATACAAAAGTTCATTTATTACAGTAATGCAACTTAAAAGGTGAAACTAAGATATGAGATAGACTTATTACATGCAAAGCAAGATAGCTTAAGTCATGATTTGTCAGAATTGTGATGATTATGGCTACAGCTCATGAAAACCCCAAATCCACAATCTCAGAAAATGAGAATATTGTGAAAAGGTGCAATATTCTCGGCTCAAAGTGTCCCACTCTAATCAGCCAATTAAGCCATAACACCTGCAAAGGGTTCCTGAGCCTTTAAGTGGTCTCTCAGTCTGGTTCATTAGGAATCACAATCATGGGAAAGACTGCTGACTTGACAGTTGTGCAGAAAACCATCATTGACACCCTCCATAAGGAGGGAAAGCCTCAAAAGGTAATTGCAAAAGATGTTGGATGTTCCCAAAGTGCTGTATCAAAGCACATTAATAGAAAGTTATGTGGAAGGGAAAAGTGTGGAAGAAAAAGGTGCACAAGCAGCAGGGATGACCGCAGCCTGGAGAGGATTGTCAGGAAAAAGCCATTCAAAAGTGTTGGGGACTTTCACAAGGAGTGGACTGAGGTTGGAGTCAGTGCATCAAGAGCCACCACACACAGACGGATCCTAGACATGGGCTTCAAATGTCGTATTCCTCTTGTCAAGCCGCTCCTGAACAACAAACAACGTCAGAAGCGTCTTACCTTGGCTAAAGAAAAACAGACCTGGTCTGTTGCTCAGTGGTCCAAAGTCCTCTTTACTGATGAGAGCAACTTTTGCATCTCATTTAGAAACCAAGGACCCAGAGTATGGAGGAAGAATGGAGAGGCACACACCGCAAGATGCTTGAAGTCCAGTGTGAAGTTTCTACAGTCTGTGTTGATTTGGGGAGCTATGTCATCTGCTGGTGTTGGTCCACTGTGCTTCATTAAGTCCAGGGTCAACGCAGCCATCTACCAGGAGATTTTGGAGCACTTCGTGTTTCCTTCCGCAGACGAGCTTTATGGGGATACTGACTTCATTTTCCAGCAAGACTTGGCACCTGCCCACACTGCCAAAAGCACCAAAACCTGGTTCAATGACCATGGGATTGCTGTGCTTGATTGGCCAGCAAACGCGCCTGACCTGAACCCCATAGAGAATCTATGGGGCATTGCCAAGAGAAAGATGAGAGACATGAGACTGAACAATGCAGAAGAGTTGAAGGCTGCTATTGAAGCATCCTGGTCTTCCATAATACCTCAGCAGTGCCACAGGCTGATGGCTTCCATGCCAAGCCACATTGAGGCAGTAATTGCTGCAAAAGGGGCCCAAACCAAGTACTGAGTACATATGCATGCTTATACTTTTCAGAGGTCCGATATTGTTCTATGTACAATCCTTGTTTTATTGATTGCATGTAATATTCTAATTTTCTGAGATTGTGGATTTGGGGTTTTCATGAGCTGTAAGCCATAATCATCACAATTATGACAAATCACAGCTTGAACTATCTTGCTTTGCATGTAATGAGTCTATCTCATATTAGTTTTACCTTTTAAGTTGCATTACTGAAATAAATTAACTTGTGCGTGATATTCTAATTTTTCGAGTTTCACCTGTATGTATGTATATACAGTATATATATATATGAAAGAGGTATATATATGAAAAAAATGCAAAAAACAACAAAGAACCCATATGAGCATTAAAAATCAAGCATGTGTTAGGTTGTTATTATCTCATGTTAATTATTGGTGGTAACATATAAATGAGTTTTTAGTAATTTGGACTGCATTTAGTATTAGACACAGTACACCTGTGCCACGGATGAGCTTTGCGCAGTGGGCAGTATCATAGCCAATGAGGTCCACCCGAGGCGTGATTGTTGCTAATTGAAAACCTGTGCCACGGATGCGACAGTGAAGTAGCCATTCAAATCAAATATCAGTTTATGTGAAATATGACACACCATTCTGCAATGTTTAGCGATCCCAAAGACTATTCTTTGTTAGACTAGCATAGCTAATAGCTTGTTTGATGCATAGATGAGTATGGTATAGGCTGCCAAGAGAATTATTACCAAAGGTAGCAATTATATGAACGTGCCCCTGGATGAATCATAATGGCAATATGTCATTATTCAGTCTTTATTCAGCTTCCTGTAGTTTATTTATTTTTGGTAAACGTATTATTCTCATGTTTTCATATATAATGTAAGTGTATGTATTTATTGTCTTTTACAGGCTTGAAGCTTAGGGAATGCTTAATGGATAATGAGAAATTCACTACCTTCCTTCAACAAAACATAAGCATGCCTCCCATTGTAGTGGAAGAAATAATGAACGCAGATCTGAAATTGGAACAGGTACTAGAGTAAACAATTTATGCGTACGATTTGTGACCAAGCCCACCCATAAGTGATACGTGAGCATGGCATTTGTCATATGCTCATATTCAAGTTGTGAAATATCTAGGATGTATTTTCCAGCTGACACCCAGTTACAACCAAGTGCATATTGTTTCACTTTAGGCCAAATGAGGTATTTTGGCTCGAGCTTGTTCAGATCAGTGTATAGAAATGCGTTTTTGACATAGGGCGAGTCAAGGGCCTGTGCCTTGAGTATTTTAACTGAATAGTAATGATCGTAAAGTTTCATGTGCAAAGAATACACATAATGCAATGAGACACGGGAGGGCTTTCCAGTAGTGAAGTTGCTATCAAGCAGTGACACATATCTGATTCTGATGTGTTATTTATGAGGCCTGTCCTAAATTCATGAAGTACTGGTCCTAGTTAAGTAAAAAGCTGCATTCTCATGAATATTAGAAACTCAATAAATGCATGCATAATGTGTATTGTAGAACGCTACTTGTTAAAATGATTGCCCGTATGGAAATGTGTGCAGCAATAATCTATTTATTTTGTTGGCCTTTTTTCAATGTAGTCCTTTATAAGCATGGATAGGACTGATATAAATTTACAGTGACCCTAAACCTGCTTTCTTTATTATTTCAGGTTTTGGTGTCTGGGTTTCAAATACGATTGAAGGATCTGTGCAATAGCTCCAGGCTGGCAGAATATGTCACCATTCACAATGAAGAAGTTGCAAAATTTAGCCAAACAGTAATCTGTGCTCTTCCAGAGGACAAGCTCAATCTGCTGGAGCATGAGTTCCGTTCCAACATTGATCTTTTGAAGCCCATAACGGTAGGTAAAAGAATGGCATGTTCATACTGTAGTGCAACAATGGACCTTTATTGTTGTTCTAAACTCAAAAGGTTTTTTTTTTACCATAATGCTTTATCTGCTTTAAGGTTAAAAAAAAAACCTTCTGATACCTATCCCATTCCTATTGGCTAAGGAGTCCACCCATCTTAGTGATTGGCCTGTGGGAATATGGTGGGTCAAAAAGTAGGGTCAGGCTCCAACACTACCAATCTAGCATTTGACCATTGCAGAGGTGAATGTGTTTGGTGCAGGTGTGTGTTGGCACCTATACATGCCTGCTCTTTATACTTGATAGCTTTTTGCTTTTCTAAGTGACAGTCATTCAGTCTTAGAGACACAGTACAAAGAAATGGAATTCCATTCACCATCATACTTCATAAATCTATTCTTTTTAATTTCTGATCTTCTTCCTAAATGTCAAGCACTTTCTGTTCCCATCCAATAAACACAAATGCTCTTGCCCTTGGGGATGGACTCGATACAGGCTACAACCACATCAAGAATGTCCTGGAACATGCACACCTTGCAGCCCTCAATGGACTGGGGAAATCCAAATATACTGAATGAGGAAAGAACAAGCAGAGGGCGCATGGGCCTAGTGCATTACCATAAAAAATGTTTAATAAGAAATAAAAGTAGGTGTTGTACTCTCACACGACAGTAAAGTCAAAGGCATGTCAAAAAAGAAAAGCTTGGTCAACACCGTGCTAAGTGACAATCCGCAATAGGGAGTGTAGACATCCAATAGGCTGACGCGTTTCGAGGACTTGCCTCTTCCTGTCGTTTGTGAGTACAACACCTACTTTTATTTCTTATTAAACATTTTGTATGGTAATGCATTAGGCCCACGCACCCTCTGTTTGTTCTTTCCTGATCCCATCCAGTGCCAAACCTGTAGTCCTCTGCTTCCTTACCATTCATTCCACAATCCTTCCTAGGACTACTGACCATCTATAAAACCCCCCTCCTCCCCCAATGAGCTACAAGTACAATCCCCTCACCCAAAAAAAAAGCAAAAGCACCCAATCCCATTATTAGAGAACAGAGGTGCTGTATATTTGTTTTCAAGATACATTGGCGAGTGATATTATAGCATTTCATGGTTGTTTTAGTGAGTTGGGAATAATATATTTCAAGTAAACAAATTCCATAAGGAGATGTGACTTTGCTGTATCACTAGCTTGGTGCTGTCCACATGTAGATAGTGTTACACAGCAGCATGAGAAAGGAGGGCATGGTGAAATGTGGGTAGTGCAGGGACACCGAGACAAGCAGTGAGTATGTACCTAAGGTCACACAGTTTAGCAGTGCTTAGCAATCTGATAAGAAAAAAAAGCATAGCTCACGTCCTCCTCTGGGCATGCGGGGTGTAGAGTAATATTACCTTAGTGACAGGTTCAGATATGTCAGGGCCAGGTGCATGGCATTATCCCAGCTAGTCATCTTTTAATGGTACATATCAACGCATTGCCTGTATTTTGCTTTGACTGTCCTACTCATTCACGAGCCTGAAGATCAAGAAAAATATGAGGAGCACAATAAACCAAACACAGAAGTGTTGTGTTCTGCTAGACTATGCGGTTCTGCCAAGTACATTTTCTCCCTAGTGCCAGACATATTTGTACCCGTACATTGAACAATGCTGACCTACTAGACATTGTTTCAGAAATGACATTCAGTATTGCTTTATAATCTATTGTTGTACAACAGCTTTTTCGGTTTCCAAAGAGTTGCACTGGAACTACGTCATTGTAACACCCTGCTATATCTGTAGGTAGGTCCACTGTGTAACTTAGACCCTATGTGCACATGAACTCCCCCAGACATTTAGCTCTCCTGGCAGCAGAAAACAGCTAAATGCGGCAAAAATGCATGTAAACACAAAACTGCGTTTAGCCACGTTAAGCACTTTGATGCTTATTCATTTGATTGGCCAGAGTATTTTCCATTGCGTTTGTACGCATTTAGATGCATTTTTGATGTGTTTAGCTTTTTTGGCCAAATCGTCCACGTTCAGGAGAGGAACATTTAACTGCCCCTAAACTTTGCTGCTGCTAAACTCTGATAAAAGCCTGTGTGTACATGGACACGTAGGCTTTTATTATGTTGAGTTCAGGGGCTTTGGCAAAAAACACCAAAAGCTCCTAAACTCATGTTTTGGAGCAACAGTGCACCTGAGGCCTAATGCCCTGTTCACACTAAGTCTATGTTCCCACAAAAAAAATTGTGTAAATGGGATCAAACTGCGCAAATCTCTAATCACCTTATTTCAATATTGAAGAGGATATCCTCTTTGTAAAAACGTAATAAAATAAATATTGCGCTATGTGAGTCAATAAACTTCATACAACATGCATATGCACTATGAAGACCCTCATACCTATGAAAGGCGATCTAAATAAATAAATAATTATTATTATACAGGATTTATATAGCGCCAACAGTTTGCTCAGTGCTTTACATTATAGTGGGAGACAATACAGCAACAATACAGTTCAATACAAGAGGGAGTTGAGGGCCCTGCATAATTAAATAATACTGTGCGAATTGCACTAATCACTAGTGTACATAGAAAAACTGAGAGATGTGGTCAAATCAGCAAAACAGTAACATATTGTCAATGTAAACATATAATAAAGTCCATATAAGAATAAAAACTCTGAAATCAGTGATAATGCTGTAAATCGATGCTGTAGGTGCAATATGGGTAATCTTCCTTCAGATAGTCACCAAGGTGTGTACCACCACCACCAAATGATTAAATGGAGGCTTACCAGAAATGGAGACCCCTTAATTATAGGTGGTTCCAACCTGCATTGTGATGTAAGACACTAGCAGACTCTCTGTGCCATACCCGGAACAGGGATCTTCCATGAACTTTCGAGATAGCACTTCACAATTACAGGGTTAATTTGAGGACTTGTTGGCAGGGTCAGCCTGCTAAATTCAAAGCACAGTTGTCACTTGTGGGGCACTGTCTTTGTGCAATTTCTGCAAAATGATTTCCTATAAAAAAAAACTAAATTAGGCATAAGTTGGTGCAGGGGGCACTATATGGGCAACATCCTATGGCCTGTTTAACACCAACTTGTATAAGAGCAGTGTGAACAGCCAGCTTTTATGAAACTGTCAGCAAGCTTTAAGCAGCTTTCTTTAAGCCTTTAAAGCGGCCTCCAGCTCCTGTTATGAAAAGGTTATACACAGATCCTAATAGGAATGCTGATTGTCAGTTTAAACAAGCTGCTATCAGACCTCAGCAGGCTTTCAGCAAACTTCAAGAAATGCTGAAGCCTGCTAGCAGCTTGTGTAAAGTGGCAATCAGCACTCCCATTAGCATCGGTGGTCAACATTCACAAACTGGAGCTGAATGGCACTTTAAAAGCTTTAACAAACCTTGCTACAAGCTCTGCAAATGCTTTCTAAAAGCTTGCTGTTCACACTGCTCCTATAAAAGCTGAAACAGGCCTAAAGCAGTCATTCAGTTGTACCTCTCATTAGTGAATGTGAAATGTTATTGTTGGTTAGTTGTTTTCATTATTATTATTATTATCCAGGATTTATATAGCGCCAACAGTTTGCTCAGCGCTTTACAATATAAAGGGAAACAATACAGCAATGATACAGTTCAATACAAGAGGGTTAGGAGGGCCCTGCTCCTTGGAGCTTACAATCTAAGATTATAGCACAATGCAGCTTTATTAAAGAAAACCTGTACTGAGATAAATACTGAAGGGTGACCTTGCTGACCCCCTTTCCAAAAATGTTAGTTGTCTGGTTGTTGATGACCTCAATATTTTCAGAAGTGCTGATATGGAGCAAGCATGTGTCTAGTGAAGATGGACTAAAGTCAGAATTCCAGCTATAACAGGCCACATCTTTTCTCAGTACAAGTTTCCAATAAGTAAGCCTGGTTTATGTCAGATTGGGCAATTCCACCACTATAGATAAATCACAGGATCATCCCGGACGCTGTGTGTCTGTCCCTATGGAATTGTTCCCTCTGTATCCAGACGCAGTGAGATGACGCTATGTCACTGGCTCAGACGCTTCTGAATTTCGATCCCTAGTGATGGGAGCAACATCTCTCGTCCTCGGAGAGCAATTCCATAGGGGCAAACAGGCTGCCTCCTAACAATCCTGCTTCTGATTTCAACTAGTGGCAGTTGCCTGTCTGACTTCAGCCTACTGTGCTCTGTCCAGTTGATAAAGATACTTTCCTCAGATGTTCTTTTTTATCCTACATGTATTTATTTCAGGAATTTACATAGCGCTGTCAATTTATGCAGCGCTTTACATATATATATTGTACATTCACATCAGTCTCTAACCCTCAAGGGGTGTACAATCTAAGCTCCCTAACTTACATTCACATACTAGGGCCAATTTAAAAAGGAGCCAGTTAACCTACCAGAATGTCTTTGGAGTGTGGGAAGAAACCGGAGTACCCTGAGGAAACCCACACAGCCAGAACATGCAAACTCCAGGCAGGTGGTGCCGTGGTTGGGATTCAAACCAATGACTATAGTACTGAAAGGCAGGAGTGCTAACCATTTAGCCACTGTGCTACCCATGTACTGTATGTTGTTCTTTGCCATGATATGGTATGCAGTGACCATACTGGTGAAAATAGCACAAAGCTATTCATTAGAAAAAAAAAAAACCTTTCCAGAGTGTATTTACTCTGCAAACATTGTAAACTGTGGATGTGTACCTCTACTGGCAGTGTGTGCTTTGGTTTGTGTGTGAACTGGGATGTGAAGCATTCTTTGACACATTACCCAGAGTTCAGTGTGGGGACTTCCAAGAATCTATTCAGTCACTGAGCTCCAGCTCAGTCAGTATCATGAGAGCGTGCCATTGTTCTTCTTTCAGTAATATGGACTGATGTAATGGCTATTGAATAATTGCACAGATCCTATGAAAACTGGTCAAACACAGCGTAATTCTTACCATAGCTGACTTTTCACAGAAATCTTGTGATTAGTTCTGACCTTAAAGTTCTACCATCAAATTATTTATGCATAGACAACAATAAACTGAGACAACAAAAGGGTTGATGACATCAAATCGTGGGCTTTCTTTCACTCTGGGTTTCTCCAGTGAATATGTGCATCCTCAAAATCATGTTTATTAAAGTGATATTAACCTCTTCGCGCCGGTGCCTCCCGGCCCTTTAAGAGTTTCAGAAGCCGGGAGGCGGGGTGGGGTTTTAGGGTCATGTGACCGCCATGATTCACCATCACGGCGGTCACATGATCGGAAAAGGTCCCGATCAAAAGGTGAGATATGTGCTGGGAGCACTCAGGGCACGCGCGCTCAGCACATATATATTTTCTAATTGCATGCAAATATGCGGCTGCTCGGCATCAAGGCCCAGATGCTGAGAGGCCACATATTTGCGTGCGATCGGCGTCAAGGGGTAAATCCTCAGTTTTTAAAGCACTTTCTGCAGCTGGTTTACTTATGGAATATTCACTATCTTCAAATCCTTGCCTTGTTTAGGCTGGTGCCATGATCACTGGCCCTGATTTCCTATATCAGGGTGTCTCCTTTCTCTTGCAGCATCTTGTGAAGATACAACTAGAGTTGTGTCTCCGTATATTGTGTGCATCAGAAGAAGCACACAGCCCCAGAGCCTTTTATAGCAAGGCGCTCCCATGCACCTCCTTCCTCCTCCAACCTCCCTTCTGCAAGCTAACATTGCCTGGAGAATGCACTGTCCACAGTTATCTGCAATGTACGGAAGTTCGGGGAAGCAGTACTGAAAGAACAGGAGCCAGCAGCGTTAAAGTTGTAAACTTCAAATGCAGGTTTAAGAAAATTACCAAATAATTTACAGATGAACCTCCCCCCTACTGAGATTCAATCCTCCATTATAACATAATATTCTTTCAACAGGTTGCAATAAATTATTGCACTTTGTACTCCAATGAAAAGCTACTGTAAAATAAATCTAACGCCATTTTTTTCTTTTGAAAGAATGACTTAGACCAGGGGTCTCCGAACTGCAGTCCGAGGGCCAGATTTGGCTTTATCCGGCCCTTGGGACATTATTCACATGAAACCAATGATGGTGTACTATTCTTCCCACTAATACCAATGGTGGGGCACTACTCCTCCTCTTACTGACCAACAACCCTGAGGCCATGTTTATTCTCACTGATGCTGGTGCCAAGTATATTTTTTGTCCTCAATGGCCCTCCTAAAGTCTGACGGGCAGTATACTGGCTCTTTGTTTGAAACGTTTGGAGACCCCTGACTTAAAAAGTTGACACAGTGCCCCAATTGGAATATTTCCCTCACCTCTTTTTCTTATGACAGGGCAAAATACTGTATTTTCCCACATTTTAGTAACCGTTGTCACCAAGGCAGATATAAAGCGAATTTCCTTAAAGGGGACACCATTAAAAACCTCACTGAGGCTGTAACCCCTCATCACTCATACCAAAATCTAAAAAATTGTTTGGGCTTTAGATATGCTTTAAAGTTATTTTAAAGTTCACCTTTTTTAAAATAACAAAGTTGTTATATTTACCTGCTCTGTGTAATAGAATTGCACAGGACAGCCCTGATCTTCCTTTTCTGGGGTGCCTTGCTGGTGCTCCTCCTGTTCTTGGTATGCCATCATAGGAAACTGCTTCCTATTGCAGCACACCTGAGGGCTTAGTCCAGTGCCTCGCTGCCTGTGTTCATAGACCCAGACAGCACTGCTCGGCCCCACCTCCCCTCCTTCGTCACAGGATCTGACTGACAGCAGTGCCTCAGCAAAGCCAGTGAGAGCTGGGAGAGCTGCTACAGATCCCACATGGAAGAAAAAAATATATTTGAAATATATTTTTAAAATATTCTTCCCAAATATATTGACATATATTTGAAATGCTACAATTATGGACCATATTTAATATATTTCAAAATTTTATATATATATATATATATATACTGCACGTTGAAATGTGTTTTTATTGCAAAATTATATGAAAAATATTTTTAAAAATACATTTCAAATATACTGTATGTCTTTAAAATTACAAATCTACATTTTTGGAATGCATTTACAAATATATGTAAAAATATATGTTAAAATGACTTTTTTATATGTTTTGTAATAAAACTGCATTTCAACATGCAGTGTATATATATATATATATATATATATATATATATATATATATATATTGAACATGGCCAAAATTGTAACATTTCAAATATATGTCATTATATTTGGGAAGAATATTTTTAAAATATATTTCAAATAAATTTTTTCCTTTCTTATGGGATGGGCTGGAGCGAGTGAGAGCTCAGGTAAATATGGTGGGGGTGGGGGGTGAAGGCGCAATTTTTTTTACTTAGACAGTTTTTACCTTAATGCAGACAAAGCATTAAGGTAAAAAAAATGTATAGGCTTTAGAACCACTTTAAAGACAAGATTTATGATCAGAAAACATAACTTTAAAGCAACTTTGTAATTACTTTATAATTTTAATAGCAAATAAAGTAATGTGTATGGCATAGTCTCCAATAAATTGTATGGTGGTGGTGTATTCTTGCCATGTGTATCTGTGAGTTGTTTGGTTAATTGGTAATTGCGGTACTATAGTGGAACAGTTTGTGATGAAAACAATTTTATTTTTAGAAAAATGAAGGATTGCTCTATATAACCAGTGGTTTCTTCTTTTCATTCTGGTAATTATAGAAAGAAATGTCTTCAAGATCTTTCCCTGTCCTGAGAGAGGTTACAGATAACTTGCTACACAGCCTGGGCCAGCTCGCCAAAGAGGTAAGTATAGGGTAGCGACTGATCAGAGCTTGAGGGTACCTTACAGTGACAGTGTCATCATTCATTATCCCAACCACAAACAACTAGCTTTGAACCTCTGCAGAACAGTTGTTTAAATTGTGCAATATATATCTACCGTGTGCCGTGACTAAGCGGGAGAATGTTTTGCACTAGTTTCTCTCTCTGTATTTTTTTTTTTATATTTAAATATTTTATTAAATTTTCAAAATTTAAATCTCTGTATTAAGGTACCTTTGGTTGATATGAAAAGTGCATAGTTTTTCAGTCACCAGCCACTGCTATTTTTTGGATGGTTTATTGTTAGAATATAGCACCTTTGCACTTACAAACAACTGGGAAATACTGTACCATTTTTAAAAGAATCTTGAAAAAATAGAGATTGTTTTTCTCTGCCTTCTTTTTATAAATGTTTCAAATTCTTTTTAAAAAAAAGCCTGTACTAAGAGAAAATGTAGGTTGCCAATGCTGACTCAAAACATACTAGCTGCCAGGCTGCCATGGTGTTTTAATAGCTTATGTCTCTCTGAATTTCCAGTCTGCATTGTTATTCCAAGTTGCTCACTCAGAAATGACTAAATGCAGTGACAGCTAGATATACTTTTAGCTAGAATTTTTTTATACTAGTAATGGCAGCGATCAGCGACTTATAGCGGGACTGCGGTGGGCATTCTGACACGGGGGGGGGCTGACTAACTGCCACTGACATCCCCAGTGACACTAATACAGTGACCAGTGCTAATAAAAAGCACTGACACTGTACTAATGACACTGGGCAGGAAGGGGTTAACATCTGGGGCAATCAAAGGGTTAACTGTGTGTTAACTGTGTTTTACTGTGTTGTCAGTGTGTGCTTTACTATGTAAGCATGCTGCTTTGTAGCATGCAAGAAGCATGCTGGTGCAGACAGGAAAGAGATCTGTATTGTTTTCATACAGACCTCTCCCCTGGCAGTGTTCCTCAGCAATCTCTGGGCGCCGGCGGAGAATCTCCGGCCAGGACCCGGTGATCGACAGCTGTAGCTGCCAATGGCAGCGCGGGTAGAGCGGCGCGCGTGCCCCCTTCCTAGAAACACAAAATCATGTATATATACGTGATTTTGTGCAGCCCTGTAGCAGTAGTTCTGCTATGGGGGGTCGGGAAGCGATTAAAGAAGTACTCTCATTACACTTTTTTTTTTTTTAATCCATAGGTGGACCAATTGTATATTTATTTATTTCAGGTACTTTTATAATGCTGCATAATTTATGCAGTGCTTTACATATATTTTGTACATTCACATAAGTCTCTAACCCTCAAAGGATGTACAATCTAAGATACCTAACTTACATTCATACATATTAGGGACAATTTAGACAGGAGCCAGTTAACCTACCAGCATGTCTTTGGCGCGTGGGAGGAAACTGGAGTAAACTAATGCAAGCATTGGGAGAACATGCAAACTGCAGGCAGGTGGTGCAGTGGTTGGGATTCAAACCAATGACCCTAGTACTGCCAGGTGGAAGGGCTAACCATTTAGCCACTGTGACACCCATATAGCACTTTCTTCCTTTCAAATCCATGCATTCATTTATAGGCAGCCTGGCTGGACAGGTTTCCGACAACGCTGATAGAAAGGAGATGGATTTGTGATTGACAGTAGCACAGATCCACGGCTGTGGCTCTGGCTTTTACACATACATAGCCTGGTCAATGGATCTCTGAGCACTGTAGCAGTGTTTCAAGTTTCAGTTTTATAAATTAGCAGTCAGCAATGATGGGCTGCGTTACACATGGCACCGACCCAACATCACTGATCACTCATTCATAAACAGTGAAAGTTCATTTAGGGTCCATGCAAACTGGCCTAAAAAAACTCCAATGCTCTTGGCATAAAAAAACGCTGATTTTAAGTGTTTTTTTGTACTAGCATTTTTTTCTGCAAGAAAGCTGCTTTCAAAAACGCAAAACAGAAAGGGTTTTTTTTTCTGCCTGAGCTGCTGAGCTGAAAATATGGCTCTAAATGACCTAATGTACTGTACATGGATACATAAGAGATGACATTAGTTGCTTTTACAGGCAAAACGCTAAACTCCTCTAGGATCAGCGTTTTTTTTAAACCAGTGTGCCTGGACTCTAAGGGCACAGGGATTAAGCAAAATCTTTATCTTCAGTGCCGCAGATCAGTGAGATCTGGATAGAGATTCTGTCCCTTCCCCAGTTTATCCAAAAGCTAATAAAATGTTTTTTTCCTAGAATTCCTTTTTTAACCACTACCCGTCCTGCCCATGTAGATAAATGACTGGACGGGAGCGCTGCCGAAGTGGGTTGATGTTTCTAAACGTCCACTCGCATCCATTGCCTGGGAGCGCGCAGCACTGCAATCAGTGCGTGCTGTGTCCAGATCGCTGCACGAAACCTCTGTGCGAGGTCCTGATTTAGGTGATCACTGATTGGCCAATCAGTGATCACATGAATAGCAGTAAACAAGATGTCACGTCCTGACATCATTGCTTACTACTTGTGAAATCTGTGAATGATCACAGAGGTCACATGGTACAAGGCTATTCACAACAGCCTTGTACCATGTGACAAACTGTGACCAATCACAGCTCTAACAGTATTCTCAATGGCTGCAAGAATGCAGCCAGAGAGAAGGAGAAATGATTACTTTTACAGCCTTTATGGGTGTAAAAGCGATCAGAGTAAAAAAAGAAGAAAAAAAATCTTCATCACCCCCCACAAGTAGTACAGTGTCAATATGGTGACACTGTACTGCCAGTGGCAGTATGTTTAAAAACATAAATAATAATATAAAAAATAAAATGTAAAAATAAATTTAGAAAAATTATAATTTTTTCTGTATAAACTAATTTGGGTTATTTTTATTTATATAAAAAGATAGCTGAATACATTTTGGTGAAGATTTATGAAGAAAGATTATTTATTTGCAAAATGTTATAAGAAAAAACACTTTTTTTTCAAACTTTTTGGACTCTTTCATTTATATAGCAAAACAATTAAAATCCCATTGGTGAATAAATACCACCAAAATAAAGTTTTATCTGTCTCAAAAAAATGCTAACAAATTACTATGGGTACAGTGTTGCATGACCGCGCATTGTCATTCAAAATATGATAGCACTGAAAGCTGGAAATTGGCCTGGACAGGAAGGGGGTGAAAGTGTCCGGACTGAAAGTGGTTAAGGCAACATCAAATACGTAGTAACTGAAAATATTAGGCTGAATGCACATGGAATGTACATTGCTTTATAATATACTGTATGTAGTAGTGAAAGAGCTCCTCTGAACCTTTCAGTGCTGACCCTCATTTATAAAAGCTAGAGTGATGCAGGCGCTGTTACTGTTTCCCTCCTGCAGATCCTCTCTTGATGCACATTTGTGATATGGATGGTTAGGAATACAACATGGTAGTTAACACAGAGGGGGAGAGTTTGTATGAGAGTGCAGTTTGTATAAACAGTCATATTTATGTGTAATCGAGCAGCTAAATTGTTCAATACAGTTAACTGTAACAAGTTAAATAAAACCCCTAAATCTGGGACCAGCAGAAACTTGTCTAATGGGAGTTCTATACAGCTGCTCCCTGTGCTAGGCGGCCCCCAGGTCTGGGCAAGGAGTATAAAAATGACGGACAAAACTTGCATTTCTCATCTTGCTGATGTGGCTAAATGAGACTTTAGTAAAACAAAGTTGGCAGCAGTCCCAGTGTGGGCGTCATAAACATTCTCATGCTCTGGAGGGAACTTCAGTATTTTCTTTTCATTGTACAGAACAATCTGTGCTGTTTGTGTCTTACTCCTCTCCCATGTTTACTGAACTGACCCTACTCTTATTGTTGTCTTACTGGAAGTTAGAATTTGAATGTCAAAGCATGTACTTTAACACCTTAACAGATTAGTAGCAAGTATCTGGTTCATTTCACTTATAAAGGTTTTGGAAAATTACCTTTTTGTCATGTTTTAGTTGCTTTTAGAACATCCAAATTTAATAATATCTGCCGTTGCAGGCTAAGGAGAAGGCACCTCTTACGTACAGTAGATATAAAAAGTCTACAGACCCCTGTTAAAATGTCAGGTTTCTGTGATGTTAAAAAATTAGACAAAGATAAATAATTTCAGACTTTTTTCAACCTGTAATGTGACCTATAAACTACATCTCAATATGGTGCAACAGTGACATTACCAAGAACTGGATGTCCTTCCAAAATTGATGAAAAGCGAAGAAGAAAACTGGTCTGGGAGGCTGCCAAGAGGCCTACAGAAACATTAAAGGAGCTGCAGGAATATTTGGCAAGTACTGGCTGTGTGGTACATGTGACAACAATCTCCCATATTCTTCATGTTAGGGCTGTGTGGTAGAGTGGCAAAACATCCAAGCCTGGCTAAATTTTGCAAAAACGCATCTGAAGTCTCCCAGAAGCATGTGGTAAAATGTGTTTTGGTCGGATGAAACCAAGGGTGAACTTTTTGGTCATAATTCCAAAATATATGTTTGGCACAAAAACAACACTGCATATCACCAAAAGAACACCATACCCCACAGTGAAGCATGGTGGTGGCAGCATCATGCTCTGGGGCTGTTTTTCTTCAACTGGAACCGGGGCCTTAGTCAAGGTAGAGGGATTTGTGAACAGTTCCAAATACCAGTCAATATTGGCACAAAACCTTCAGGCTTCTGCTAGAAAGCTGAACATAAAGAAGAACTTCATCTTTCAGCATGACAACGACCCAAAGCATACATCCAAATCAACAAAGGAATGGCTTCACCAGAAGAAAATTCAAGTTTTGGAATGGCCCAGCCAGAGCCCAGACCTGAATCCAATCGAAAATCTGTGGGGTGTTCTGAAGAGGGCTGTGCACAGGAGATGGCCTCGCAATTTGTCAGATTTGGAGCGTTTTTGCAAGGAAAAGTGGGCAAATATTGCCAAATCAAGATGCGCCATGCTGATAGACTCATATCCAAAAAGTGCTGTAATAAAATCAAAAGGTGCTTCAACAAGTATTAGTATAAATATTAGTTTAAGGGTGTGCGCACTTATGCAACCATATTATTTTAGTTTCATAGTGCTACTTCCCTCCACCTAAAAGATTTCAGTTTGTTGTTCAACCGAGTTGTACAGTTTATAGGTTACATTAAAGGTGGAAAAAGTTCTGAAATGATTTATCTTTGTCTGATTTTTTACATCAAAGAAATCTGAAATTTTATCAGATGTGTGTGTTCTCAACCTTGTAATGCCGTGACCCCTTAATACAGTTCCTCATGTTGTGGTGACCCCCAACATAAGCATTGGAAATGTGTTGTTCTCTCTTAGGTGACCCCTGTGAAATGTCGACCCCCAAAGGGGCGACCCACAGGTTGAGAACCACTGGTGTAGACTTTTTATATCCACTGTACATAAGCAGGATTCTCTCTCTTCGATGTACAAAGCAGGAAGCTTCTCCTTCCTCCATATCCTGCATGACTAGAAGTCAGCTGTATGAATTATAATAGCCCATCGTTGCATAAGATACGCATCAGTGTTCTTAAAAGAGCCTGAAACATTTACACTTTTATTTATATTGGGGAGGTGTTCAAGGGATACTTCAATCTTAATACTTAGGAGTGGGCCCAGGTACTCCACAAAGCAATGTAGTAGAATTAGGCCTGTCAAGGTTTTACTGATCCTCATTCATGGACAGACCAACATGTGGTTATGGTGGTGGTGACCAACAATATTAATGTGATGACAACAGTTTGATATCACAGTTTGCAGTACCTTCATAGCAGTGGCAGGTGTGTGAAGCTTGCCATACACTGAGTGATTTCCAGCTGTTTCCTGATGGGGAAATTTGCTTATTGGGTTGTCATGTTGGCACGCTCCAACCCAACGTCCTTCCATTAACAATCTAAGGAACTGGGCTAAAATTTGTTGTCCATAAAGCAGCTGCTTCCCAACAGATGCAACCACCGTTCAGGTATTCTGACAGCCACCGTCGCAGGCATAGCCTTCTGTTTAGGTGCCCTTTATCTTCTCTGTCTGACTCATTTGCTGTACATTGCATTGGGAGGCTTAGTCAGTGCCACAGTTTAACAGAGCCTGACAGAACACTGTTTGATCTATTCAGGTTATAACTATGAAGAGCTGGGGAGAAATGAGGCAGGAAGTCATGTTCCTTACGAGTGGAAACTCCACAGCTTCACCAACCTCGTTATATCATCAAGCGGTATCACGTATTGTGTGTGGACATCCTGAAGGTGGAGGATTGAAGATCAAGTCCCTCAACTGGTATGAAGACAATAACTACAAGGCACTTTTTGGAGGCACTGAAGGAGGCGAAAATGGCACAGAGGAAGAGTCAACAAGTGTCTACGACAATTCTACAAGTATGTACATTTCTAGTAATCAACAGTTCTGGAATATTTCCTTTTATTCTGTATTATTGTCTGTTTTAGAGGAGAATAGAGATTGTGAACTAAATTAATATTTATATCACTGGTACTTTCATCACTGTGAAGATATTGTGAATGGATAATTTGGTAGCAGCTACTGCAATGTGAGATTAATAGTTGTGCTGGTCACCATTTTGTAATGCATTCATAGGCTGTACTTTTTTTTGTCACTTCTGGAAAAACTGTGCTGCAATAATTAGGCTTTTATACAGTATCGTATATACATTCAATGAATCAACAATGCTGTATTAAGGTAGAACTAAAGGCATAACGTTTTTTTTTTTTTTTCATACTGTATAGAGTAAAGGAGGAACATAAATGCTGTCGGTTTTTTGCCTTCTTTGTCCTATTGGAGAGATTTCCCATTGGAGAGATTTCCCATTGCTTCCCGTCCCATAGCCAAAACAGGAAATGAGAGCACTAGTGTCTCCACTGGAGGACTTGCCCTCTGTCTCTCTTCGGATGACAGCCCAATATTTGGGGCTTTCTTTCACTTTCAGTTTTGGTGATATTGGTAAACAGCACACATAGAGAAGATGAATATCCCTAACGAAGGTGCAAACAGCAATACAAATCTGACAGATGTTCTACTCCCTCTCTACTCTATCCAAAACTAAAAAAAAAGTTTTCCTTTAGTTATACTTTAACAGAATTCAGATCAAACTAATTATGCTTTAGCTTGCTTTTGGTAATGGGAAATATCAGCAGTAGCAATTCTACAATAAAGTTGTTGGGCCTCATTTATCAAGGATATCAGCAAACCATAGGAACTAATCAAACTTGTGCTGCCATTTTTCATGTTAGAAACCAAATGGACGAATTGAACAAGTTGTCCTGAGCAAAAGAGGCACTTTTTAATTTCATTCAGGTTTTATATATGATGTCTATTAGGGCATTTCAGGATTGGAAAAGTGCACTAAAATGTTATCTCTGCCTTTAGCACCCTATTGTAATGAACTGATGATGACACTGGAGTCCAGCCCACTTTACAGGATGATCTGGAGAGCACTGAAGCCTTTACTTGTCGGCAAAATCCTATATACGCCAAACACTCCAGCCACACGCCTGTTAATGTCAGAGGTAAGAAGCCCAGGAACTGTTTTAGTTACTGTTACTAAGGTAAGAAAAAATAAGATGATTCTCGAGTTACTGATGGGCACTAGTGGTTCTTTATCTGTGCCGGTCTCTTTCCCTGATGTGGCATGCCAAGGTGTTCTCAGGAGCCCAGCAGCCTTTATTTTGCACCACTCAGTGCATACATCGTACAGAGTACCAATGGTGCCTTATCATATACAGCCCCGTATTTACATTTCCAGCACATGGAGTTTTAGAACAATGTTTGCATCCTGTCAGGTGACCTCTCTGCCATGTACTTGTGTGCATTGTATATTTGTGTTAGAAATCACATGGACATGCTGTCATGCAATGCCTTACTTAGTTTGTTTGGTTACAACTGCCAGTTTATTTTTTTCCTTTGCATTCTTCAGTTTACCAAAAATTGATTGCATACTTAGGGCTCTTGTGGACTGGGAATTTGAATTTCTCTTCTGAATGCCTTTTACTCCTGGCAGGAAGAAGCAGCTTAAAAAAAACATGCCTAAAACGCATAATGCACATGCATTTAGGTGCGTCAAACATTTGAGCATTATGGATTTGATTGGCCAGAATATTAATTTATTCTGGCCATAGAAGTGATTGAATGACAGCGTTAAGCGAGACCCACATGGGATTGCACAAAGGGATAAAGCTTTCCTTCCCACTCTTTTAGGTTGCCAGTGGAATCTGCATGGCAACAGTTGCTGATTGGCCTGTTTTGGCGGGGGTCCCGCGCTTTTCCCCTATAAAAGCAGCTACTTACAAGCTCCAGCAGCTGCTGAGGGACCGGACTGCGGCTCCCCCCTTCCCTTTTAGTTCATCATTTTTGTCATGGTGGAGTTGGGGTTTAGTCATCCAGTTAACCTGGATGGACATCGTGACTGAATTTTTCTTTATTCTTGATGGTTTAGCCAAAAAGGGCTATATATATATATATATATATATATATATATATATATATATATATATAAATATATGTTAAGTCATTTGTTTAATTGAGGTTACCCTTTAAATAGCTCCATGGCCAAATATTTTCCAAATAAAGAATGTTGTATTTGAATATTACTGTATTGTGTCTTTATTATTGTATTTAAAACTCCTTTGTGCTATCCCATGCTTAAGCACTAAATGCGTCTGGCATTTAGGCGCGCCTATTGGTTTTTCTCTCCTGAATGCAATGGTGATGGTTTTTTTTTTTTTTTTTGCAGTCCATAAATGTTCCTCTTTTAATACGCCTGTAAATGCCTGTGTGTGCATGGCTGCATAGTCAAACATAGAGGTGCGTTTAGACACTGCATAAAAATTAAACCTTTGTAAAAGAGGCGCCCTTACACAGATCACTGCCTTTCTCTGCAAAGCTTTTGCCATAACAATCCCAGGCTGATTATTTTATGCCTTTGAGATTGGAATGCTGGTCTCCCCAAAGATTCCCCCCCACAGCAGCCACCTAGTAAACTACAATCATTCCAATTTCAAAAGCATGGTAAAAAATGCTTATGTGAAGCGGGATATTTGAATTAGCACAGGCCCATTGCAAAAGCAGGTGCTGCCTTTTAAGAGGCAATTGTACAAGTCATGTGTTTAGGTTGTTTAGCTTTTTCGTTTCCTTCCTAAGCATATTCTGTGGATTGTTCCTTGGTTTTACTGTACATTTTTTAAGTCTGTCTGAGAAATCAAATAGTCTCACTTTCATTTGGTTCACAAGGTTTAAGAGCATTATGTGTTTTTTGAGGAATTTCTTTTTAATGTATGCAATATTCTAAAGACAACAATTAAAGGTTTATGTAAATTTGTTTAGAATGAATATTGCTACATACTAGGTTCACCAAATTCACTCTGGGTTGGTTTTATGATATCAACGCACGTACTACATAATATTACCAAACACATTTACTATTTTGTACTCTGGCTTTATTTCAGGCCAACAAAACTTTTCAAGAGTTGGGTGTGTTTCGGGATCTTGGAGCAATGTGGGAGGAAGTTCGGCCACAGATTAGAACGTTTATAGAAAGCAGCAAGGAAATGGATCTTATTAGGGTAAGTTCATCTTTAATGAGCCTTCACTGGTATTCGGTGTATTGGAATGCTACAAAGAATGATTGGATTTTTAATAATAGTTACGTGTCTTTAAATAATCAAGACACACTATAAAATTACAGTATTTGCGGGTAGTGTGGAGAACGCATTATAGTGTTTCTAGGTGTTTTTAAGAAACAGTAGAAAGAAATCTTGATTCAAAGCAATGTACTAATAGGACTAAGTTTATTTTCTGGAAGATAATTGCATCAGAAATGTTTGTACTCTACCAAAAGCAGAAATATTTTCCTTCAGTGGGGATGCATAACCTTCTGTTTTGCATTTGTAATAATAGCGAGTGATAGATGTTTGGTCACAAATATTTTGGTTACAAACAAAAAAACACATGATCAATACTATTAAAAGGCAAAATCGTGCTGTTTTTTCTTTATGAGAAGATTATAGCACTAATTTATCCCTAGCCAACATAAAATTGTGTCATGTTTGTTAATAATAGAACATTTGTTTGCCAGCTTCTAGAAATATGCTACTACAGTCTATAAATTCTAATTAAAGTAAATATAAAGAACTGCATTATTAAATGTGTATAAAACTTTAATCTAGAAGATCTGTGTTAACATTTTCATGATAAAAAGGTTAAAAAAAAAGTCATATCACACTTTATTAAAAAGAGAAGTATGGTATTTTTTTTTTAAAAAGTATACCTAGGTGGATGCAGCATCAGTCCGATGTCCGAGTTCTCACAGCCGCTCTGAGCAGAGAGCGGTGACTGTTACTGTTGCTGAGCTGTGGAGGGGGGGGAGCGGCTGGCTCAGGCTCTCTGCAGATCGCTGAGAGGCTGAGCCAGTTGCAGCTCTAAACTCTGGGGTGGATCAAAGCTTTGAAGTCAGGATCTTTCCCCAGCCTGGACCAGATGAGTGATGTCAGCCGACAGCAGGCTTCAGCCCGTTGTCAGTTGAAAACAGGTCACAGGAGTGCACAACGAACTGCACTACTGTGATCGACAGAAGTATAGCCAAAAGAGCTTTGGCTGTACTTCTCCTTTAAGTATCCCTTTAGTACACATATAATAGTGTGATATCGTATGATGCATATATAATATCTAACACCTTAAACCTCTAAAGGTTCTTTTTTTTTGGGGGGGGGGGGGGAATAACAAACGTGTATACGTGTATACAGTGGTTTTGCACAGAGAAGCCTGGATCCTCCTCTTCTTGGGTCCCCCGCAGGGTCTTCCAACCCCTCCTGTCAGGTGCCCCCACAGTAAGCAGCTTGCTTTGGGGGCACCCACTGCGCCATGTGTCCATTCACACATGGAGCCGCAGCTTGGCCCTCCCCCTCTCTCCCTCCTCATTGGCTGACTGCCGCAATTGACAGCAGCAGGAGCCAGTGGCTCCCACTTTCTGCCTCAGCCAATGAGGAGGCAGAGACCTGGGACAGTACAGGCTGTCATTCACATTGCTGGATCGCGATGAGACTCAGGTAAGTTTTGAGGGGACTGGGGGCACTGCTGCACACAGAAGGTTTTTTACCTTCATGCATAGAATGCATGAAGGTAGAAAAAACCTTCAGCCTTTACAACCACTTTAATAATGGAAAGTGCGTAACATTTCACATGTAAATATGGAATGTAATGAAGTACAACTACTGTATATGCCCCATTAGTAAAATGATAATTTGTCAAATATGTTTAATTTTGTTTGCTTCTTTAGTAAAAAAAACGTAAGCCAAACTGTTTCAGAACATTTCTTTATATAATGTTTAAAGGATAAAATTGTGAAATTAAATACAATATATAGTAGTTAAAAAAGAATAAGGCCTTTCACACTAATGCATTCACACTAGTGTGATTTCAGATGCGACTTGAATTGCACAGAATTGCATGACAATGGGAACCAAATGGTGTCCTTTCACATCAATGCGATTTAGCATGGACCAATTTTGAAAAAAGGTTCTTTCCAGCGAGATTTGGCTCCATTGAATATAGACCTTATCAAAGTAGCGACCATTTAGCATCCAAATAGCACTACTTAATAACACGGAAAGTCAGATCAAACTCACATTGCTGCAGTGTGAACCTAGCCTAAATATTCATCTGTCCTGCTTTCCTTGCAACATCTGAGCTCATGGTATGTCAAATGCTTGGTTGCCTGCTGAGCACTGTACTTCAATCCACAGACACATGCATAACTTTTTTGTCCTGTAGTGTTTGTGACAAAGGGGTTGTTGGATGGAACATTGGAGCCCAAAGGTATCCAATACTCCTAGAGAGTAAAGATCAGTGTCGATTCAAGTGAGAATTGTTCACCAGAGTTTTGGTGGACTTCAAGGGCCAGCTCTCTGTAATTATTCTGAATATGTACCAAAATGTATTCTTTAACTCTATATAGAAATCACTAGACATGCAAACTCTGCATAGAAAGAGTGGTCAGATTTCAGCCTATTTGGTGTGGCCTTTCAAGGCTGAAGATCATCTTATTCTCTAAAATGTATAGTACAGTTTAACTTGTTAGATATAAAGTTACAGCTGTAGATGGTATTTTAACTATTCTGTATGCTATGAATATAAGAACCCAAATCAAAAATAAAAAAACTTTCTTTCAGACTCTATTGACCAATAAAGGGAGCAAACAGTTCTTAGATCGCCAACTTAATTCAACAGGCTGGACATCAGAGGACATCTCTAGGTTCTTAGCCAAAGAAGTATTAGAAGCACAGGATGAGAGTGGAACCACTCACACTTGGAGAGAAGCTCTTAATGAGACAGACCGTGTTGTCTTGACCATGTCACGTTTCATGGAGGTTAGTTGATGGCCTAGAAATCACCATTCATTCTACCTTTCATGTTTCCTAATGTCTTGAAAACCTTATTTTTTTTTTAAGTATATTGTAATTTTTAGGGTACATAGTATACATTGGAGACAGCAATCCACCCTTAGAAAAAAGTCCACTGACAAAGTCAACTGCAAACATTGATGCACAACCCTGGGTACCATGAGGGCCAGCCGCTGGTGTCCCAGCAACCAATGACATCATTAGTTAATAAGGAGGACATCCGTTGCTTACATAGCATCCTTGTCTGCCCCTCTCCTGCCTCTTTCCATCAGCACTGAGGTTTCGTTAGCTGAGTAAGGGAAAGAAACTGAGGGAGGAGAGAAATTGGAATACTAGTCAGTACCAGTGTGAAAATGTGTATTTGCTTTTTAAAATAAATCACCTCTAATGTTGGGTGTCCAGTGTGTGTGGATGCTGCTTCATTATATAAAACTATTAGTTTAGTTTTTTACATTTTGGAATGGGTGCCTCAAGAATGTGCAGAATTTTAAAGGGTGCCTTGACTTAAAAAGGTTGAGAAACACTGCTTTAGGCAACTTGTTAAAGATGGAGGCATCTGATATATATAGATATCTCTACAATTGGTGGTTTATTGTTTTTATCTTTAATTGTATTTACATGTAAAACAAACTTATCTTTCATTGTTTGATGTTTTGGTATATTGCAATCATGATCAGATATATTCTCAATGCAAATGCAAATAAGGTAATTTGCCTTGCAATGACACATAAAAGAATACAAGGTAATTATCCTTAATAACTCTCCTTTCAGTGTGTCAACCTGGACAAGCTAGAAGCAGTGGACACTGAGGAGATGCTTATTGAGAAGTCCATGGAACTTCTACATGAGAGAAAGTTCTGGGCAGGCATAGTCTTTGTGGACCTTCCTGAAGATGACACAGTGTTGCCTCAGCACATCAAGTATAAAATCCGCATGGATATAGACAATGTGGAAAGAACCAATAAGATTAAGGATGGGTGAGCATACCAACTTTTTTTCTTTTCTTATTAATCTGTGCTGTGCTCCATATCATCTCACAGTTCCAGAGTTCGCAGGAGAGATGTTTTCAATACCTTACTACTAGTTCCTATCTTGCTACTAGTTCCTTACCAACAACGAGATAAGCCAGTGATATGTTAACCTTGACCCTGACTATGATTGTAAAAATATATTTTTTTATGCCAACATCAGATTTTCTAATTTGCAAACTTTTGTCCTGAGTTTAGTAGTTGTTTTCCTCTGCCATTGTTTCAGTTTTGATATTTTAAATAAAACTCCAAATAAGTAGTTGACAATTTATTTTTAAATTATTATTATTAGCTATTGGGATCCAGGTCCTCGTGCTGATCCATTTGAAGACATGCGTTACATCTGGGGAGGGTTTGCATACCTGCAGGATGTTATTGAACAAGCCATCATCAGAATACAAACTGGAACTGAGAAGAGAACAGGAGTCTATGTCCAACAAATGCCCTACCCGTGTTATGTGGATGACATGTATGTAAAAACGAAATGTCGTTGTTGTTTTATTGCAGCATTCAGCCTCAAGTTCTTGGTTTTCTAGTTGTAAAATCAAGTAAGACTATAGGCATCATAAACACCTTATTTTTCTCAATAGAAGAGTAGATAGATACTGTATAGGAACTGCCATTCACACCTTCTGTTGGTAAGACTAGAAGTCCATACACACAAGTATTTGAGGATTTTATAAGGTTTCATAGTTCGTTTGTGTTTTTTTTTTTTTTATTATTACTTGACCTTTTAATTAAGCTCAGTTTGTAACTTTAAAATGAAGAATATAAGATGTCTTCACTGTAACAATGTCTCAATGAAGCTTCATTAGAAAATTTTGTTTTCTTTTTTAGATTTCTACGTGTTATGAGTCGTTCACTGCCCTTGTTTATGACCCTAGCCTGGATCTATTCTGTGGCTGTAATCATCAAGGGTATTGTTTATGAGAAAGAAGCTCGTCTGAAAGAAACCATGAGAATTATGGGCCTTGACAGTGGAATTCTATGGCTGAGCTGGTTTATTAGTAGTTTCATTCCTCTTCTAATGAGCGCTGCTTTGTTGGTACTGATCTTAAAGGTAATTTCAAGACAAAAAAGATAATGTATATGAGCTATGTATTTTTAATTTGCAATGTGTGTCTAATTTTCAGTAATCATATACCCACTTTTCTTTACCAGATGGGAAACCTGCTGCCGTATAGTGATCCAAGTGTGGTCTTTGTCTTCTTGTCTATTTTCGGAGTGGTGACCATCTCACAATGCTTTTTGATCAGCACCATTTTCTCAAGGGCCAACCTAGCAGCAGCTTGTGGTGGCATCATCTACTTTACCCTTTACTTGCCCTATGTTCTGTGTGTAGCTTGGCAAGACTACGTTGGATTCACTCTCAAGATTTTTGTAAGGCTGTAAGGATGTTACTGTTTGCTGATATGGCTCAAAACCTAAAAGCATTTTTTGTCTTGCAAGATTCGACATAATGTATATGATTGTTATTAGGAGTAGTCTCTGAGAAGAAATCGCATACCTCATCTAAAATGTAATGTTAATTGCTACTTTCATTTCTGAGGTATATGTCATTTTAGCAAAACTTTTGCAATTATATTTTTTGAAAAAAACCTAATTTCACTGCCTGCTTAAAGCGGAGTTCCACTCATCCTATCAAAAAATAAGTCAGCAGCTACAAAAAAAACTGTAGCTGCTGACTTCTAAAAAACAGCTACTTACCTGTCCCTCGGTCCCGTGGTGTGTCCCCCGCAACCCCGTTTCCCCGGCCCTTCTGTATTCCAGGAGGCTGGCATCTTCAGTGTGGGCACCCGGCTGTGATAGCTTTGGCTGCACAGCCGGTACCTACTGCGCATGCGCGAGTAGCTCTGCGCTTATGAATGGTCATGTAGTCTTCTGGGACCTGTCACGTGTCCCAAAAGACTACAGGGAGGAAGGGAGGGAGGACACCTTCCGTTTCCGATCGCCTAGGCAATCGGACCGGAGGTAGGAGCGGGTACCTGTCAAATTCGGGTACCCGCTCCCAAACCGCCCCCCCCCCCCCCCCCAAAGGTGCCAGTCTTTAATGGGGAGCAGTCTTTAAAGCAGAACTTCCTCTTTTGGGTGGAGCTCCGCTTTAAAGATGTTTGGCACTGTTATTCAAAATGAATTAAAAGAGAACGCTATTACTTTGTCAACCAGTTGGATTATCCCATAAATCTGCAATCTGGCCTAAAAATATGCATTTGACTTTGACTAAAGCCATTCATAAATACTGGTCTTCTTTCAGATTATTTGGTCACATTTAGTTTCTGAAATAACTGTCTTATGTGAGTTTTACATGTCTGCATTATTCTTGCAGAGCTTTTTGTCACCTGTGGCTTTTGGATTTGGGTGTGAAGTTTTTGCCCTCTTTGAGGAGCAGGGTGTCGGGGTGCAGTGGACAAATCTTTTGGACAGTCCTCTCCAAGAGGATGGGTACAGTCTCACAACCTCTGGCTTCATGATGCTTTTCGATACACTTTTGTATGGAGTGATGACTTGGTATATTGAAGCTGTCTTTCCAGGTGAGATGTTTTTAATAATCTGGTCAACAGTTGAAACATTGTTCATTTTGCATGTGTAGTAAATAATAAATATTAACGTATGTGGTCCACTCATTCTATTTTCATGGAATCTTAACATCACACTGTGTATTGCTGCCCTTGGTGTATGTTTAAGCCATGTCCATTGATCAATTTACCTTTTGAACATAAAAATATAATCAATTTTCAAAGGATAATAAAAATAGGATGAGGACAATGCATTCTTTACAAAATGATTTTGTTTTGAGCATATTTATATATATCTTTTTATCCACCTTCATTTTATTGCTTTAACATATAGGCCAGTATGGAATACCTAGAGCTTGGTACTTCCCATTTACAAAGTCATATTGGTGTGGAGAGGAACCAAAGGACAACTTTCACCACCCGTCCTTACCAAAAGGACCATCTGAAGGTAATCACATTCAACTGATTTTAAAGCCATTTTTACAAAATATAGAACTGATATTAATATTTATCATATGTTCAAGTATATTAGACACACAGGTATGTTTTTTTTATTTGAAGAAAATATCTCATCATTATTTTACATTTTAGTCTGCATGGAAGAAGAGCCTGCTCACCTTCCGCTAGGAGTCTCCATCCAGAACCTGGTGAAGATTTACCGTAATGGTAAAAAAGTGGCAGTGGATGGCCTATCACTGAGCTTCTATGAAGGGCAGATCACTTCCTTTTTAGGACACAATGGAGCAGGAAAAACTACAACAATGTAAGTAGGGTACTTTTGCAGACAGAAAGTAAACTCAACCATTGAACTGCTATCCAGTAAACAATGCATATGTTCTAATTGTATAAAATCCACCCATTTACTTTTTATCTGGGTGTTACATAATCTCAGGCATTCAAAGTCATCAAAGCTTTCCTGGTGCTTCTGGACAGGACTGAAACATCTAGACTTGTAATTCTTTGTTGTACATATTCCCTTTTTGAGAACTACAGAGGGCAGAGCACAAAACCACAGAACACCCTGGTTAGCATTTTTTACAATCTCAGGTTCGTAGCCAGGATATCAGCAACTATGATAGTTTAGTAAATGTGGCAGACTTGTGCCCCTACAAAAAAATAGAGATGTTGAACAATGCTAAACCTTTATGTTCGACCGGAGGCAGACTGACCATTTGGAAACTCGGGCACTGCCCGGGGGCCTGGGGTCAGTAGGGGGCCCCATGAGATGCCCCTGGTACCTTTTTCATAGGCTTTTTTGAGTTTGGGCAAGGACACAGGGGCCCCATGATCCCCTATTGCCCGGGTGCCCCATGAGTTGTCAGTCCGCCCCTGTGTTCGACCAAAGATTTATTATAGGTAAAAACAATTTTAATGATAAATCCTGTATACGTTTTGGTAATTTGGTAAGGTATACATTTGTTAAAATCTATGTTTTTTTATAATTCATTTAATGTAATAATAATTTTAAAAACAATAAATTAAACAAAATACTTATTATACTTATATTTATAATTTTTTTGAAGGTCCATATTGACTGGACTGTTCCCACCAACCTCTGGCACAGCTTACATAATGGGAAAGGACATTCGTACAGAGCTCAATTCTATCAGACAAAACTTGGGAGTTTGTCCTCAGCATAATGTACTCTTTGATATGTGAGTATCCAAAATGCTTTCATCTTGTGTTACAGTTTGTATATACTTGGTTTTCCAAACAAAGAAGGCCTTCAAGGAAAAACGGGGTGATTTCACTTTTTGTAGCTATTGCTTCCACAGTACTGTGACTGCCAAGTCAAAATTGTCGGATGCCATTGCAGTTTTCCTTTTGTATGACTGGAAGATAAAGCTTTTGAAGAGTTGTGGACATCTATCATAATCTTCTTACCTGTAATCCCTTGGCAGTGTAACATAGGCCCTCTATTGCTGTTGCCTCCAAAGTCTGATGTGACTGACATTTTCATAATAAGGTGTTACATTTTTTAAATGGGACTCTAGCCATGCTCTTAGTCTTGCACAGTTGTACAGGCTCCTCTCCTGTACTGAAATTGCTTACATTGATTGTACTTGCACATTCTGAGCTTCTCACAGTGTGCATTAGAAACTGCAGTAAGTCAGACTAACACCCACCCATGAGGGAATTTTGATATATGCATAAGTCCTCACAAGAGCCAACCTACTGCTTGCATGAGAGCTGAGGGCTCTTGAAAGGCAGAAAGCTGTGTACAGTTATGTACTGAACTCTGTAGGCCCCTCCCACCATCTGCCTGCATTGCGTAGAGAAGCATTGAGACCCAGTGATGATATCACTGGTTCTAGAATAATAGAAAGGTTTTATTGTCATGAGCATTTTGATGAGGAAAGAGGAGAACTCAGGAAGGAAGGCAAAACATAAGCTGATTAAACTTCAGATTTAATATCACATTTATAAGATATACTTTCACGCTGCCACACTGTGGCTTGGCCACAGCATGGGTGCAGTGCAGCCGAAACCTCAGTGTACCAATGTGAATGCAGCCTAATATTCCATTCAGCATTACTTTATTGCAGCTGTTTTTCATGTTTCATGGTTGTTATACAATATTATACCTGATTTCTTGGAGAACCTGAATAAATATTTAGCATTTGCTTACTTAGGTTGATTTGCTACATGTACTGATAATAAATAAAATATATATATATATATATATATATATATATATATATATATTAGAGAGAGACAGAGCCAGGAGTGTAAATTTCTTTGCATAGTGCACATGCTCTGCTCCTTTCCTCCTAAATTAACCCCATTAGAGTAACATGACAGCCAAGGAAATAGTATTTTCCAAAGGTGGATGTCAGTACTGTGTACTTTGCACTTTATCAGTGCAGGCTCCTTAACATAGCTACGTAACTGTACAATTTTGTAGTATCACTCAGCTGTATATTTAATATCTTACAATATTACAAAGAGCTTGAGTTCCATTATTACAGACATTTAAAGAATGCAAAGTGAATTGCAGGAAACTTGTTAAGTCACGTCTTTAGAAAAAATGAAAAGTGTGGAAAAAATGTACACCTGCATATCTTCCCGTGTCCTAATACCTGATAATTTGATTACCTGTAAGGTGACTTGTGGAAAAAAATTGTGATTCAGCATTAGTAGCCTTTAGATATCTGCGGTGGTTTACAGTTCCAACATTTAGCAATAAACAGACTGTGATAATACATTAATCTTTACTCCTTGTGCAATAATAGCCACCTTATCCAAGATAATGAGCTCATCTTATACTTTGTACACAGACGGCTCTGTTACACGGTTTAAATCACTATTGTGAACTCAATTTTTAGAAATATATTTTTTTTGTTCATATTTTTGCTCATATAGAAAAATGCTTCCATTATATCATTTAATCCTGCATTACAATAGCTGGTTTTATATAACCAAACTGGGCAATTTTTTGTTAAAATGAGTTTTGCTAAAATGATCACATGACACAAAGAACAGAGCAGCTCCCAAGTTTTTTTAAGTACTTTTAGTACCCTTTTTCCATTCCAATGTTGCCAATCTCCTTCCCCACATTTGTAGCCACAACCTGTGCAAAAAAAATATACTTGCTGCAGGATCAGCAGCACATCATTGCTCTCTACAGGTATGCTGATGGTGACAGTGGACCATGGCTGCACAATAAGCGTTGTTATGGCTGTTTGTAGCTTTCATTAAGAGCACATAATGACAAATAGGCAACACAAGAGCAAAGTTTGGAGACCCTATACCAAGAAGTACCTGAACAGGGACCTTCATGCCAGGATTACCATTTTTTTTTTTAAAGAAAGTTACATTTTTTAAAAATATTGGAAACGAATTTTGAAATTTCATTAGCATTTTAAATCGGATTTTAATGTGGGTTTTTTTTGGTACACCATAGTGTGTTTATGGCCCCATAGACTTCAATAGGATTGCATGAAAAGTGCATGCAAAGCATAATTGTTTTTTGTCAGGGTTTGTGTTTTACAAACAGTCTCCTCCTCTTCCAAAAATAAAAAAATGTGAAAGTATGAAAATTATTATTATAATACAGAATTTATATAGCGCCAAGAGTTTGCTCAGTGCTTTACAATATAATATAACAAAAGACAATACAGCAACAATACAGTTCAATACAAGAGGGTTAGGAGGGGAGCTTACAATCTAGGAGGGAGGGGCTAGTGGTACAAAAGGTAGTAAATGTTGGGGGTGGACTGGTAAGAGGAGTAGAAGATTCCATTATTAGCTGAGGGCAGGATAGGCTTCCCTGCAGAGATAGGTTTTTAGAGATCGCCTAAAAGTGAGCAGAGTAGGCGATAGTCTGATAAATTGGGGTAGAGAGTTCCAGAGGATGGGGGAGACTCTGGAGAAGTCCTGGAGATGAGCATGGGAGGAGGAGACAAGGCAGCTAGAGAGCAGGAGGTCATGCGAGGAGCGGAGAGTACGGTTTGGGTGATATTTGGAGACAAGATTGGTGATGTAATTTAGGACAGAGTTATAAATGGCTTTATAGGTTATTGTTAATGTTTTGAATTGTATCCATTGGGCAATGGGAAGGCAGTGGAGGGATTGGCAGAGAGGTTTGGCAGATACGGAACGGTTAGTAAGGTGGATGAGTCTGGCAGCAGCATTCATGATAGACTGAATTGGGGATAGCCTGCGATGAGGTAGGTCAATGAGGAGGGAGTTACAATAGTCAAAATGCATCAAAAGTGCACATAAAAATACATAAAATTTCACTACAAAGGCGCACTGAAAAACACATAATTTTGCAGCAGCACTAGTGTAAACTTAGGGTAAAAGTTAAGTTTGGCTGCACCCTTCTGCCCCCCCAAACTATTAGCTAGTGAGACCACACATTACATTAAAGGCTTAATCAGGAGACAGGAGGAGCTTCACTCCTACTCAACAAGTAGAGATTTAAATGTAACTTAAGCTGTCTGTAACTTTGGATCAACTGATAGCGGTAACATAGCGTACAGTGTGGGTAACCTCTGCATCTTTTTAATATCAATTTGAATTTCCCAGGTATGTTACAGATGTATTTTAGGTACTGTTCATATAGTATAGAAACATAATAGGTCATGTATGCAGAAGATTTATGTGTATTTGTTGATGCCACTTTGTGCATTATCTACATTGTTGCTGTGTACGTTTTTCACTTCAGAAATAATAATATTATATTTAGTTAATTCAAATGAATGATGACTAAAATACATGGGAATTAGGTTCCTCATTTGTAAGTGAACTTAGTCTGTCAACACTTGAAAGCCGTAGGCCCTTTTCCTTGAGTGTGTGTCCGTGTCTATGGAGCTTCAGCGAGGCATGCAGATATGCTTCCTCATCTGTGCCTCTATATTCCCCTCTAGGCTCACTGTTGAAGAAACACATCTGGTTTTATGCACGACTGAAAGGACTCTCAGAAGAGAAGGTAAAAGCAGAAATGGAACAGATGGTAATTGACGTTGGCCTTCCCAATAAGAAAAAATCTAAGACAAGTCAACTGTCAGGTAATATATAATGTGGATTGGATAAATTAAATGAATATGCTTGCATTTACATTTGTTTTAACCCTATAATAAATTAAAAGATCTTACAGGAAATTAAATTCATTCAGTGTGTCAACTGCAGTAGTGTTTGCAGGATCATTTAATTCCATACTCATGCTAATAATGTGTAATCATTGCTAGTGTTTTCATTTGCTGTTATTCCCTTCTATTTCCTTCCCCATATGGTGAAAAAATCAGTGAGTGATACTACTCATTGTAAATGACCTACTGAGGTAGGTTTGCCATTGTTGAACTCTACTTTTGAAAATATTAGATGCTTGGCAGTTATGCTCATGCTTTTGCTTCTTTACTTTTGGAGTCTCTGAGCTTGACAAGTATGTGGATAAGAAACTTCCCCTTTTTTTTTTTTTTTTTTAATTTCCGACATGCTTGTTTGAGGTATGTGACTCAGAGGTATTGAATCTGTACACTGCCAGGTAACTATTTTTTTCAAATTAAAGCGAGATTGGGCAAAAACAGCAGTACAGAGAAGTAATTACAAAAGTGGCTTTGTTTCTTGAAAAACCATTTTCAACTTATTTGAAAAATCTGAGCATGGCCAAGGCTAGGGATATTGATATGATCTTGAATGATCCAGGGACACCAGTGTGCCACAAACATGGTAAATGTAGGTTTCATTTTAAAACTCAAAATGAAAAAACAACAGCGTTTCTAGCCTGTGATTGCCATGGTCACTGTACTCACATGACAGGATTGTTATTGTCAATATATCTCCCATAAGTCCATTCAAGACTGTCAGGCTTCTGGGTATTTTCAACACTAAAAAAACAATGGTGTACAATTATTGTCACATAAGCAAGACACCACATATTTTGTTGGAAGTGGTTTGCTATTGATATATGCCTTTGCAGCTGCACCACTGCAATGGTAGATGCAGAAAGTGGTACATTTGGAAAGAACTCAGACAGAGAATCTGTAGAAAGGAGCATCTACTCCCTGAGTCTTAAGCTGGCCATAGATGAGTCAGTTTTTTGTTTAATGAGAGGTTTGAATGATAAAAACTGACTCTATTTCCCCCCATCCACACATTTGAAGTGCGTCGGGGAATCCTCCCTGCTGTATTGTTGTATTCTGACAGCAGGGAGGCTTCCTCGCCGTCAAAATTTGATCAAGAGGAAATTTCCTAGCAGGGTGATTGTACAAAAGTCAGTCAGTAGATCTACAACCACAGTGCCCTTACACGGATCAAAATTAGGCTGATCCTTGCTGAACCGCCCCAATTTCGATCCATCTATGGACAACTTTAGACAGCTAAATGTCTCTGTGGTACCCTGAGTTGTTTGTATCATGTTCCGATGCCTCCACAGTAGCAATGTTGCCTATGCACTGATACTGTGCGAAGTCTGAACATTATACCTATTTATCAGTGATAATCATAAGTTAAAATGATGAAATAGGTTCTAAATGGACATTTGAAAGTAAATTGTCCATTTCTGTCTAACCAAGCATTATGTATACATGTATACCCAGTATTTATAAATGTCTACTATGTGAGGGTAAAACTGTTTTACTAAAATGTTTAAAAAAAAGGATACAATTTAGGATGCCGATTTCAGAATAATAAATGCATGAACAAGTTAATTCTTAATATATGTGCTCTAATCATTCCATATCGAATGTACAAACCCAGTGCTATCCTGACCTTTAAGTGGTGTTAGAGAAAAAAATGGACATTTGTCTTACAGGTGGAATGCAAAGGAAGCTGTCAGTAGCCTTGGCTTTTGTGGGTGGATCAAAGGTTGTCATCCTTGATGAGCCCACAGCTGGAGTTGACCCATACTCTCGTCGAGGTATCTGGGAGCTGCTTCTTAAATACAGACAAGGTAATCTATGTTTATAACTTCCTATGTGAACTTTGTAGTATAATACATTGTTTGTTATGGAAAACCTCATGTATATTGGTTATTGGCAGCTGCCAAGATTTCAGTTATGTACCTGGAGGCCACTGCCTTTCCAAAGAATAAGATAATGAGATGTGGGCCAGGCTTTTTTTATACCAGCCAAGCAAAGTGAAAAGCTTTAACTACAACTATAAGTACAGTGAAGGTTATTTGTTGTCTTCACATTGATTTATTTGCTGAAAGGTTTTGTGGGGCCTAAGATGGCAAAAAAGGTACAGTAAAACCTTGGATTGTGAGTAACTTGGTCTGCGAATGTTTTGCAAGACGAGCAAACATTTTTTTAGAAATTTTAACTTGATAAACGAGCGAGGTCTTGGAATACGAGTAGTACGCACGTCTGTCCAGCGTCATGTCACAACTGAGCCAATGGTTCTTCTCTGTCTTTCTCGCTGTGGGATTATGGGTAATCGTCTCCCGGTCTCAGTCGGTGTTCCTCACTCACCTTTGTACTGCAACAATGGCCCCAGTTAAGAAAAAAAAAAAGGTAGAAAAGGAAGACAGTAAGAAGAAGGAGATGATTATGGTGGACTTTGAAAAGGAAATCATCGAGAAGCTTGAATGAGGTATGCGAGTGGCTGACATTGCAAGATTGTATAACAAGTCTACGTCAACATTTGCACAATATTAAAGAAGAAATAAGGGAGCTAGATGCAGCAAAAGGAATCACGAGAGTATCAAAGCAACAGACACATGTTCTGGAAGATGTAGAAAAGTTGCTTCTCATCTGGATAAACAAGAAGCAACTAGCAGGTGATACTGTGTCCGAGAACATTGTCTGCGAGAAGGCAAAGGCCTTGTATGCCGACCTTGTAATTAAACTGCCTCGTACATTGACAGAAAACAAAAAGGCTTCAAGGTGAGCAGGGGATGGTTTGATAACGTTAAGAGGAGAAGTGGCATCCATAGTGTTGTAAGGCACAGAGAGTCTGCTAGTCCGGATGCTAAAGCAGCTGAGGCGTTCGCTGTCAAGTTCCAGCAGCTCATGGTTTACCTGCCGCAGCAAGTTTTTAACTGCGATGAGACGGGGCTTTTTTGAAAAAAGATGCCAAAGAGGATCTACATTACAGCAGAAGAGAATGCAATGCCCGGTCACAAGCCCATGAAAGACCTTCTCACCCTCTTGTTTTGTGCTAATGCAAACGGGGAATTTTAAATCAAGCCCCTGCTAGTGTATCATTCTGAGAATCCTCAAGCCTTCAAGAATTGCAAGGTGCAAAACAGTTAAACGTTATATGGAGGTCCAACAGCAAGGTTTGGGTCACTTGTATCTTGTTCGTTGAGTGGATCAACAAGGTCTTTGGTCCTACAGTGAAGAAATACTGTTTAGAGAATAATCGGCCACTCTAAGTCTTGCTGGTAATGGATAATGCTCCTGCTCATCCTCCAGGCCTTAAGGGCGACTTACTGGAGGAATATGAGTTCATTTAGGTCAAGTTCCTTCCTCCTAACACCACTCTACTACTCCAGGCCATGGATTAGCAGGTCATTTCCAACTTTAAATAGCTTTACACCAAACCACTATTTCAGTTATGCTTCGAGGTGACTGAAGGAACAAACCTTACTCTCCGAGAGTTTTGGAAAAATAATTTCCACATCGTGAACTGCCTAAAGATCATCAATAAAGCCTGGGATGGGGTCACCAAGACAACCCTCAATTCTGCTTGGAAAAAACTGTAGCCTGATGGTGCTCTTGGACATGACTTTTAGGGCTTTGCTCAGGAACAGGAGCCACCAGTTATCGATGAATTGTGTCCTTGGGGAAGACCATGGGACTGGAGGTGAATGAGGATGACATTCAAGAGCTGGTGGAGGAACAGGGCCAGGAGCTGACCACAGACGAACTGATGGATTTGTATCACGAGCAACAGCAAGTGGTTATGGAGGAGATCTCGTCTGAAAAGGAGGATAAAAAGTCAGAGGAATCTCTCACTTCAAATGAGATTAGGGAGATGTGCAAAATGTGGGAAACAGTGCAAAATGTTGTAGAAAAGCACCACCCAAATAAGGCTGTAGCAGTGTGAACGATAAATCTGTTCAACGACAATGCAATGTCACATTTCCACCTAATCCTCAAAAGGAGGCAAAAGCAAGTGTCATTGGATTGGTTCCTTGCTAAAGTTGCACAAAAAGAAAAAGATTCCAGTGAGCCAACAGATAGCAGTGATCCCGTTAGTGATAGAGGTCCTACAGAATAACCCTCCTCCTCTCCTCTCTCATTTCCCTCACGCCAGCCACATATCTTTTCAACAGTAAAGTGTTCATTTTTACTTTATACTGTACAGTATTTTGTATTACTGTAATAATTTTTTTAAATGTATACAGTAAATGGTTGTGGAACGAATCACCTGAGTTTCCATTAGTTCTTATGGGGGAATTTGCTTTGATATATGAGTACTTTGGATTACAAGCATGTTTCTGGAAGCATTATGCTCACAATCCAAGGTTTTACTGTATAAGGTATAATCTACTGGTATAACGGCTACTAAGTTCATTTTAGCCCTTTTACATTGGAGTAGAGTCACTTTTGCTCTCACATGACATGTTAGACCTCTGGCAGGAACCCAGAAAAAAACCTTTGGTGGATCTGTACCGTAGAAGTACATTTAGACTAATCGATAACAAACCTGTTAAATTCAAACTAAGTACATGATGGAAAAATGCAGGACTAAAATAGCTGAATTTATATGTGAATTTGAATATTTCCTGTAAAATCTAAGCGCTACCCTTCCTGCCTCCTGTACTTTCTTGTTGATCTGTAAAGCCTCCAATCACATTACTTAACCAATATGGAGGCTCAGTAGTGGGCATGGACAATATCTAGCTTGATTTTTATATGAAAAGTCTAGATTTACATATAACTTCACTTGCCTGTATTTTTGAACCATTGATTGTTTTGATTTGCAGGTTTAACTGCCTCCTGCCTGCCATATAAGGAAATGACGGGCGGGTGGTGGCTCTCTCGTTCTGGAAGACTTCATATGATGTCCTCCCACTCTAGCTGCACATGGGGGGGGCACGCGGTGCAGCGATTGGTGGGACACAGCAGATCACTGATCGCAGTAAAGAGCCGATAACACAGGCTCTATCTATCATGTGATCAACTGTGTCAAATCACAGCTGATCACATGTAGATAGGAAATGCCGGTTATCGGCTCTTCTTTCCTCACGCTGAAAGTGCATGAGGAGAGGAGAGCCGGTAAGCAGCATTTCACAGGGAGACATCTACACTCATAATCAGGGCACTGATCATCAATGCCCTGATTATCAGTGCAGCCCGATCAGTGCTGCCTTTCAGTGTCCATAATTGCTGCCTGTCAGTGCCCATCAATGCCACATACCAGTGCCCATCAGTGCACATCAATGCCACATATCAGTGCCCATCAGTGCACATCTATGCCACATATCAATGCGCATCAGTGCACATCTATGCCACATATCAATGCCCATCAGAGCTGCCTTTCAGTGCCATCTATCAGTGCCAGTCAGTGCTGCCTATCAGTGCCTCTTCACTATCACTGTTCGTTATGTATACTGCCTCAAAAAGTTACCCAATAATCTACAACTTTATTCCAGGAAGGACAATCCTCCTGTCCACACATCACATGGATGAGGCTGACATCCTTGGTGACCGGATTGCTATAATATCCCATGGAAAACTGTGCTGTGTTGGCTCATCTCTTTTCCTAAAGAACCAACTGGGAACTGGCTACTACCTTACATTAGTGAAGAGAGACACTGACTCTTCCCTTAGCTCCTGCAGGAACAGCAGCAGTACAATGTCTTATCTGAAAAAGGTATGTTTCGTCCAAAAGTTCAACAGTGAAGACAGTTTCCTCTAGGTTTCATGTAAAGAAAAATCCTAACATTTGTTTCCTTCATATTTGTGTCATTATTGTGGTAATAAATACACAAATACTCATGTATTATATACAGCGAAATGCTTTTTAAAGGCTTTTTTTTTTTAGTTGAATGGGGTGTTAGGACCACAACGTGGTTCTTGCTGCCGTCTTTGCTTTGCTGTCCTGGTGACTCTTGTTATAATTTTTTTTTTCGTATTTGGTGTCACATGGATGGCAAGTGTCTACAGTGGGGGTTACAAGCATTAAAAAAATTACCCCACTCTAGAAAGCTCAACAAATTGTCTAGAGTTGGGCATAAAAATCATTGAATAACATTAAAAAGAATTATATTAATGAAAAGTATATTCTAGGCCCACACTAGCCGTTTAAAAAATTTTGCTCTCAGACTATGCTGTCCCTATTGTTGCAATGCATAGAACTACTTTAAAATAACCATTATTAAAGAATATGAATGTTATGTTAAGTGGTGAATGTAAACTGTACAGGGCCTTTGTGTCGCAGAACCTAAGACCTAGGTTCTAGCATAATGTTGATAAGTTTGTATTACTGTGAAGTCATGGCAATATCATAAGCCTGCATTGCAAATGCTAGTAAAGTCCATAGCACTCCCGTATGATGGATTACCTTCAACTCTACGAAGATTGAATATCTTTTTCTTTTATCTTGTCACATTGCTCATATTTGAACCTGTACTAAGTATGTCTAGCAGAAAGGAATCCTCACTAGTAATGATCTTTAAGACTGTAAAAATCCACGTGTATTGTATATGTGCACTGTTAGCTACTCCCGGGGATGACCATGCTTCATGTGCATGGTATTCTTGTACATTTATACTGCATATAACCACATAACAAGATAAATACTGTATGTTTCTGGCAATGAAAGGAGAATATTCAGTAATTTGGTTATCACTTAAAGGGCCTATATTAGTTTTCTAAATTAACATTTGGGATGACGGTACCCCGTCATTTGTGGTCAGGACAGCAGCAGTTCAGCTCCTGCTTCCAAACAGAGTCAAAGCTCGATGCTGGCAGCACCCTCAGGAGTGGGGACTACAGGAACGGTGATTACTAAACATAACAAACATGCGCAACGGAAGAGAGAAGCCAAGAGTAGGGTAATTATTGCTAACCAGCTCCTTTTCTAACCTCATACCTAACTTTTCCTTCTGTCCAATCAGAAATGCAACTGATAACTGTTGTAATCACCAGCACTGTTATCCCTGACACTGATGGTGCTGGAGTGAGATTTACCCAGCAACCACACCAAAGTACAGTGGCTACTGATTTCATTGTTGCCACTGTATAAGGTATGAAAGTGCTCAGAGCACAACATTGGAAACTAACAATCTCTCACTGCCTCTTCTTTTACTACAAGTGCATCTGCTGCTGTTTCTCCTTCTGAAGTAAGCTTTTTTTTGTCTGAGCTGCTTTGACCTAATTCAGTATGCCTTACAGAAATAAGTGAATTAATTGTTTGCCTTTTATATCATTTTATTTTCTTTTTTTTTTTATGTTTCAGGAGGACAGTGTCTCTCAGAGTAGCTCGGATGCAGGCCTGGGTAGTGACCACGAAAGTGACACTCTTACAATAGGTAATTAGAACTAATACTTCTAAACACATTGGTAGTTACTTTGTAAAAGTCAAGCTCTTTGCCCATTTCTTTGGAAAAACGAAGGCAGGAGCACCATGAAAACTTAGTATGAAGGTTCAGCATATTCACTGTAAACAAAATAGCATCTTGACAAGGATTTTCCTCTGGTTACGTAAAGGCTACAAGACCCCACATTATGGAAAGAATAACATTGCTCCCTCCAGAAATAAAATCTCATAGAATACTTTTGTTTTTTGTTTTGTATGGGTCTGACAGATGTCTCTGCTATTTCAAACCTCATCAACAAACATGTGCCAGAGGCACGTCTTGTGGAGGACATCGGACATGAGCTGACTTACGTCCTGCCATATGAAGCTGCCAAGGAAGGGGCCTTTGTGGAACTTTTTCATGAAATAGATGATCGTCTCTTTGACCTTGGAATTTCCAGTTATGGAATCTCAGACACCACCCTAGAAGAGGTTAGATGAGTCATGTTTTATATCTTCTATCTGCTTCTAAATTGTTGTTCACACATATCGTGACAAAATTTGGTTTGCTGCTATATTATCACATAGGTATTTTGAAAAGGGGAAGATGTAGAGGCTTGATCAGAGCTACTAGTCAGATCCTTTTATAGCTGCTTTAGAAAAATGACAGAATTTGATTGGATCTTGGCCAACATCTCTACTTTACTTTTCTCCAACTTTATAGGAACCACCCTTTCAGGATATTGTTAAACACTTCCCTTTCAACAGAGCACTCTGTTTTACCCCCTGCATTGTATATACAGATTTTTAGAATGGTTCATTTTTTTCATCCTCTGTATAACCAACAATGGAATGCTCATTCAGGTGACTCACAAACGTTGGCTTTAATAAGACAGGCAAGCCATAAGTTAACCACAAACATCAAGCTGCTGTCTTTATTAATGCATTAATCTATGTGTGTGTAATTGCTATTATTGTCATTGTCATTATGATTACCTGGAAAAACAACACCACATGAAACATAAAAGGATGAGTAGACACTTTGCTAGCCAGTAGTCACTAAAGGAAATACCTCAATGTTTTTCTGTTATAAGCGGAAAAAGAACATAGAAATCTAGTTTCCTGAATAGTATTATCAACATCCACAGGCTTTTGTAAGCATGTAACATTATCAAAAATAAATATGCTTTTATTATATTTGATCCCTAATCAGCGATTTGCTTTTGCAGATCTTCCTGAAAGTGGCTGATGATACTGGTGTGGATGCGGAAACATCAGGTAATTTTCTTATTCTGCTATATATTCCAGTCAGCCTGATGACCTCTTACCAGCTGTTGAATGATTGATAATAATAATCTCTTATATCATCTTTATAGATGGCACTCTCCCTGCTAGAAGAAAGAGATATGCATTTGGAGATCATCAAAGCTGCCTGAGACCTTTTACTGAGGATGACAACTTTGATACCAATGACTCTGACATGGACCCTGGTATATATATATATATGAGATATTTACTGTATATATATATTTTAGTTGCAGAATTCAAATATTTTACTACAAGAACACTAAAGCTGCTACAACCACTGTATGTTTATATCTGCAGAGTCCCGGGAGACAGATTTTCTGAGTGGCATTGATGGGAAAGGCTCCTACCAGATGAAGAGCTGGAGTTTGATGAGGCAGCAGTTCACCGCCTTACTGTGGAAGAGGTTGCTGTTTGCCAAACGCAGCAGGAAAGGCTTTTTTGCCCAGGTGAATTAAACTACTTGTGAGGGTACTTTTCCCTGTCAATTCCTAAAAATAAAAGTTTTAAGGCTAAGTGTTGTCTGAATATACACACTGGCCACTTTATTAGGCACACCTAGCTAGTGCCTAGAAAATATCCCCCACACCATTACACCACCACCATCAGCCTGAACTGTTGATACAAGGCAGGATGGATCCATGCTTTCATGTTGTTTACGCCAAATTCTGACCCTACCATCTGAATGTTGCAGCAACCAGTCTGCCCATTCTCCTCTGACATCAACAAGACATTTTCGTCCACTCATTGGCTATTTTCTCTTTTTTGGATCATTTTCTGTAAACCCTAGAGATGGTTGTGTGTGAAAATCCCAGTAGATCAGTTTTTGAAATACTCAGACCAGCCTGTCTCACACCAACAACCATGCTACGTTAGAAGTCACTTAAATCCCCTTTCTTCCCCATTCTGATGCTCGGTTTGAATTTCAGCAAGTCATCTTCACCACATCTACATGCCTAAATGCAATGAGTTGCTACCATGTGATTGGCTGATTAGCAATTTGTGTTACCAACAATTGAACAGGCGTACCTAATAAAGTGGCCGTTGAAAAAAACTGAATTTAACAAAGAAAAATGCTATTTAAAGCGGTAGTAAACCACATTGATTAAAAAACAAAACAAAAAAGTCCCCTGCAAGGTAAAGACATAATGTGCTAGTATACATCGCATTCTAGCACATTATGTAAAACTTACCTTAAAATGAAGCCCTCCAGCAGGGTGCTGTCACCGCTGAAGAGGCTTCCATGTTCACCAGGTCTTCCTTCTGGGTTTGCGAGCTCCAGTCATCTGACTGGCTGGGCCGTGATGACGTCGTTCCCGTGCATGCGCACAGCAGTCTCGGGATACAGCACTGTGCTCTGAAGGAACCGCAGGGGTATGCCGTTCCTTCAGAGTGCATGCGCCGACTGCAAAAAAACTTGAATATCTTGTAAACGGTGTATGTTTAGGAAATATTCATTTTACCTACAGGTAAGCTTTTATTATTAGCTTACCTGTAGGTACAAATCTACAGAGTGGGTTTACTACCACTTTAAAGGAATTCTGTAAGGAAAGAAATTTGTACCGGGGCTGGCCTTCTGGGTGTGCCAGTGGTCTGGCTGCCTGTGACTTCACTGCTTTATTGGTGACTGGAATAAGTGTGCAGCTAGAGAAATCTGAGTGAAGACATAACTCCTGATCTGCAAATTCAAAGAAAGACGGGCTGCACACCAATGACGTCCTCTTTTCTGGTTGCACACTCATGACATCCTCAATCTCAAGTTGGTTTATTGAGCTTGCAAAACCAAAATACAACAGGCACTGCAGACCTCTCACACACACTTCATCATAAGCAGCCTAATCATAGATCTTCACATTTAAGTTCAGTCATCCAGAAGGTACTGAAGGTACTGAAACCTGTGGCTCACTAAGCAGTTAGCAGTTTCTGAAGCAGATGTTGACAAAGGCAGCCTATATGTAGGACAGCACAGTGGCTAAATGGTTAGCACTTCCACCTGGCAGCAGTAGGGTCAATGGTTTCAATCCCAACCACAGCATCACCTGCCTGGAGTTTGCATGTTCTCCCTGTGCCTGCGTGAGTTTCCTCTCACACTTCAAAGACCTGCTGGTATTTTAATTGGATCCTGTCTAAACTTAGTTGTGGATGTAGTTAGGGGGGCTGATGTGAATGTAAAATATATGTATGTAAAGCACTGCGTAAATTGATGGCACTATATAAGAACCTGCAATAAATAAATAAACAATATGTGTGTTCTCAGTACAGCTTTTCTTTGATCCAGAGCTGGAAAATACAAGCAGTGTATAGAGTGGAGGTTTTTCTAGTCAGACTCTGACACTGTAGGTAACGGCATAATCAGGGATAAAAACACGAAGGGTAGAAATTCTACAACAGCAGCATATGAGAATGTTTTTTTGCTATATACTACATATGATACAAAATTAAAATCAACCCCTCTCTGCTATCTCTTTCAGATTGTGCTTCCAGCTGTGTTTGTACTCATTGCACTAATGTTCAGCCTTATAGTGCCACCATTTGGTAAATACCCCAGCCTTGAGATTCAGCCTTGGATGTATGATGAACAGTATACCTTCTTCAGGTATGTCATGTAACAGATATATTATGCATAAATACATCTTTCTTTCTTGGCCTGCCTATCCAAACCCTCTGAACGTAGAATGCTCAACATGATAAGTTTCCCCTTTTGTAGCCTCTTGTGCAAGATAAAATCCATACTGTCATGTAACTCTAAGAAAAAAAAATCAGGAACTTCTAAATTCATGGTTTTAATATATTATGTGTCAAACATGTGTATTGCATTTCTAGAAAAGTTAATTTATGTATTGTATATACGTATGTACCTGCAGGAGAGGAGTTTAATATTTCCATGTTTCTAAGGAACAATATACAAGATTATACTCCTTTCGTAAAGTGTAGGATTTCTGTGACTCATTTCTTTTTCTATTTTGTAGTAATGATGCCCCCGAGGATCCTGGTACTGAGACCCTCTTGAAAGCTTTGCTTGCAAAGCCTGGATTTGGAACTGCATGCATGGATGGTTATTCTGTTCCGTAAGTGTGACCTTGGGTGCATTTCACATCACTTGCTGTACTTATTGTTTCATTGTAAAAACACATCTTAATTTTTTTATGGTAATTATTTTCTAGCATTACAATACAAAAAAGTTATACAAACATGTTAATAATATCTTACAAGTGATTTATGAAGTAGATAGTTGAGATTAAAAGGAAAAAGAACCTGCCATAGACCCCTTATATTACTAACTAACAATGCAGAGTAAGAACAGCTATTGTGAGGGTGCCTACAATTGCGTACCTCAGTTATGAAAGTGACAATCTCATTGCCCCCCATAATTTCTCAAAGTAGTTCCCTGTAATAGAAGAACCATTTCAATAGTTTGTGCTCCATTTCTTGGCTCATTTGAAGTTGTAGCTTGTCAAACTTTTTAGTATTCCGCACTTCCAAGAGTATCTGGTGTCTGTTTCTTCTCTGTGAACTATGGTTCCACCTTTCATATCCACTACAGGATCCAGCATTGATGTAGGTTCAGTGAGAGGAACCACAGCATGTAGAGGGGGGACACAGGCATTGAACACTACTGGAAGCGTCAAAGGCTAGAGTTTCTAGCAGAGGTGGTAGCAGTTCAGTAGAGTGAAGATAGAAGTCACCAAAGAGGTAACATATTACCTCTTATAAAACAGAGAACTTCTTTGAGGAATTTTGTGTTGCTTTAGGCTGGCTATATATGAATCTTTTTTTTTTTATCAGCTGGAAATAGATTCCCCTATTCACACATTCAAGGTGGATGAAGAAATCCTCCACACTTTGCTATTGTATTCTGACAAATGTAACTGCTTTGCTGTCAGAATGCACTGTTCAGGGCTGCAGCCAACTGGCTACATGCTCTGGTCGAAGATACATTTTCCAGCAGTCCTATTCAAGAGAGGTCATTCACTAGGTTGACTCCTCTTGAAAGGGAATGGCCACAGATGGATCAAATTTCAGCTTGTCCCTGTTGAATCAGATGAATTTTAAACCATCTATGGCCAACTTTAATCGGCTGAAATTAATCCATGACTTTCTGACTACAGAGTTATGCCTCATGCTCCACTGTCTAAAGAATATGCTGTCATTGGCAGCTGAGGTTGCATAGCTCCAAGTCGGTAAAACTGAGGCAGTTGGTATAATATGCACTGGGATCAGTGTGCTCCCTTGGCACATGCAGGGGAAGTTGACTGATAGCAAAGGTACCTGTAGAACCTCATGGGACCCTTTGTAATTACCATGACAGATATGTAGACATGGGAAATCAAGCACAGAGATTGCATTACTGAATTCTTAGGTATATGTAAAACTGCCAGTTTTGGGTAGGCTGACATTTAATGTATGTTTAACAGGGGTGTCTCTTGCTCTGGTGAAGATAGAGAATGGAGAATTCAGTTTGTCCCTCAGTCTGTAGAGGAACTTTTTACGTATGGGAATTGGACAATGGAAAACCCTTCACCAGCCTGTGAGTGCAGCAATGAGAATGTAAAGAAGATGCTTCCAGTGTGTCCACCTGGGGCTGGTGGGCTGCCACCCTTTCAGGTATGCTGAAGATTACATGAAATATTATGGTTAGATTGCATAAATTCAGAGCTTGGTTAGATTGTTTTAATATGTTTATTTATTCTGTGAATGTACAAACAGTAAACCATTCCATAGAAATGTGTTGCAGCATACCCTGTTCCACACTGTGTATTAAACTGTTTATTCTGAGAACATGGTGACAGTGAGCATTCTATATTATTTAAAGTCAATTCCTCTTTAGAAGCCACTTTAGATATATAGTACATTTCATGAAATACACTGAAAATGATATATCAGCGCATTATCATCGAAGTCAGCTGGACCACAATGCAACTGCTGCTGTAAACAAGCCCTTAAAATTAAGGAAAAGGAAAATCACATTGAATGTTGAGTGATAATTAAAAGTAGTACTTGGTAACCATGTTTACTGTGAATTTAAAAGAAAGCTTGTCAAGAAAAAAAGTTAACTTTTGTTTCTGACAACTTTCTAAAAATTCAAGTTGCCAGGATGTCGTCCTGATCTTCTGGCTGCAATACATTCTTAGGCAGCCCATGGATGAGTTAATTTTCGTTCAGCCAACGGGTGGAGTGGAAAAAACTGACCCGATTCCCCCATCCACATTGAATCCTCCCCACTGAGCTATTTTATTCTGACAGTGGTGAGACTTCCCCTCCGTCTGAATACACTGATAAGTGTTGAATGCTATAGCCTGCAGTTCTGATCAGGCAAGGGGAATCCAGCAGGGCAGTTGTATGGAAGTTGATTGATAGATCGACTTCTGTACAGCCTCCCTGTCCATACATGGTTCAAAATTCAGCCACTTCACCAGGGACCAGTCAAATGTTGATCCATGTACTGTATGTCCGGTCTAATGCATTATTGTTTTTTGATTTAAAAAATACTAAAGTGCTGGTGATCAGCAATTGGCAGCAATTTAGATGGCATTTCTTTTGGGGGCCATTTTACACTGTTGTGTTGCAGTAACAAACATTAATGCATTGCGGTGCAGTTTATTTTGAATGAAAAAAATCTGTTGAGTTGTAGGCCCTTTCACAGCACCCCAAGAAAGTAGTGCAGGCAATAGTAAGGTGCAACACAGGGAGGTTATTTACTAAAACTTGAGAGTGCAAAATCTGGTGCAACTCTGAATAGAAACCAATTAGCTTCCAGGTTTTATTGTCAAAGCTTAGTTGAACAAGCTGAAGTTAGAAGCTGATTGGCTACCATGCACAGCTGCACCAGATTCTGAGTGCACCATTTTTAGTCAATCTCCCACAGGGTGCAAATGCAGGGTTCTGGTTTAACATTATTTTACACAAGTAAAAGTGAAAAAACACAAACTTTATCTTAAAACATAGGTGTCCGTGTATGAACCAGCGGTAATAGATCGCTGCTCAGTTCTCCGGCATTCTCGGAGAACACAGTTCTCCTGTGAATGCAGTTTATGAAGCAGTTCTCCAAACGCTGGAGAACGGTCTACAAACTCTGGAAAACGGCTCATTTTACTATAATCTCGCGAGATTACAGTAAAAGATCAGTTTACTAAGCAGAGGTAAATTATCTCTGCTTAGTTTTTGGTCCCTCTGATTCTCCAGCTCTGGGCTGGAGAATCTGGAGGGAGAACACAGATCTCCAGCGAAGGGCTGACATGATCTCCTGAGTGTCATAAACTGTGAATGACCAGAGAATAGCTGAGATCTGTTGAATCGCAGCTATTCTCTGTGTCATAAACGGACACCATATTATAAATAGAAGACAAAGGTATGTAATCTAAGAGTGAATTATGTTATACGTCTGTTTAATGCAGCAGACCAATAATAGTCCTCTAGAGAAACATGTATATACTTGTATTGCCTACACCGAGATGTTTAAACAATTGTGTGTTATAAAGTTATAGATGTTTGATAAGTATTGTAATGTATTTCATTCAGTGTAATAAGTTTAAGGTGTATAGTTGTTCATAAGAAAACACAGAGAACAAAATATCACCTATAGGTACTGCATGTATAAATTAAAGATCAATCTCTGCCAGACACAGTATACAGACATAGAAAACAATGATTTTAGTGTGTAAATTATTGTTATATTTGTGTTCTTTTTAAACAGAAGGTACAAAACACCTCAGACATCTTGCAGAATCTCACAGGCAGGAACATATCAGATTATCTGGTGAAGACGTACGCACAAATCATTGGAAAAAGGTGAATGTTGTGTCATTTGTTATTACTGGCATTTTTGCTTTACAAAACCACATCATTTTATTAGTTAATTATAAATTTGTTTCTTTTCCTCTAGCTTAAAGAACAAGATATGGGTCAATGAGTTCAGGTATGTTATTGACTATCAAGTGATTTTCTCCATCAGAATAGATGCAACATTACTATAAATTTAGATGACACATAATGATCCATATGTAAAGATTTGATCTTATACAGATTTTTGACTTGCCTAAATTGTTTGGCTTCCTAGGTATGGAGGTTTCTCCTTGGGAGCAAGCAGTTCCCCAGCACTTCCACCAAGTGAGGAAGTCCTAGCTTCCATTAAACACATCAAAAGACGCCTGGACCTACCACAGGTATAAAATCTGCGCGTTTTTTGGATTTGAAATAGTGGTTTCCCAGAAGTAGAGTGCTTAACGGTTTATGATTCTGCTTGAGTTTGGCATCAAGAGTCTTTGCAGGGATCACAACTATATGCACTTTTTGGGCCCTCAACATTTTATTGTCCTGTGGAGCACAAACACACATTGATTATATTTTATTTCTATATATTGTATATACATCATGAACACCAAAAGTAAACTACTAAGAGAAAAATGTAAATGGTAACGCCAGTCAAAATGATTGTTGGTTATCAACATTTCTAGATGAGCAAAAGGTCCCTTGTGACCAGCTCTGATTTCAGCAGCAAATAATTAATAACCTAGACCAAATTTGTTTTTGAAACATTTGGTTTTGGTTGATTCTTAAAAGACAAACAGGCCGTTCACTTTGGAAGGGAAATCACCCTTAGCTTAGTGCATATTATTATTATTATACAGGATTTATATAGTGCCAACAGTTTGCTCAGCGCTTTACAAAATAAAAGGAGACATTACAGCAACAATACAGTTCAATAGAAGAGGGTTAGGAGGGCCCTGCTCCTTAGAGGTTACAATCTAAGAGGAAGGGGCTGGTGGTTCAAAAGGTAATAACTGTGGGGGATGGACTGGTAGAAGAAATAGAAGATACCGTTAATAGCTGAAGGCAGGACAGGCTTCCCTGAAGATATAGGTTTTCAGAGATTGCCTAAAAGTGGGAAAAGTAGGGGATAGTCTGATAAATTGGAGTAGAGAGTTCCAGACGATGGGGGAAGCTCTGGAGAAGTCCTGGAGACAAGCATGGGAGGAGGAGACAAGGGAGCTAGAGAGCAGGAGATATGGGGAAGCTATGCTGATTTTCATCATCCAATCATGTGCAAGCAAAAATATGATTTGTTTTATTGTCCTTGCATATGATTGGGTATTCTTTGCAAACTGAATTTTTACCTCATTCACTAAGCTAAGGTAAAATTTTCTTATAAAGTGCAAATTTTCTTGCAAAGTGAACAGCCTATTTGCATTTAGTAAATCAGCCCTATTGAGTCTATGACAGACATGAGAGTCTCTAGGTAAAGCTCCTGATTATAGTCATTTATACGCAGATTCCCATTTCAGAGCTGTTTTTCCAGATTGAGAAAGCATTACATGTTATAGACTTCTTATGCTCTAATAAGAGTTGTAGATTACAATACTGCGTAAACTAAGGAATGATGATTTAATGTTGAAAGAAATCCTAACATATGGCATTTGAATTTATAGCATTACTGAAATAATGAATCTGAAATAATGATTCACGAAACCTCAATTTTGTAATTGTCTTGTTGTTACAGAATGGGGCTGCCAACCGTTTCCTTGATAGCTTTGGGGTCTTCATGAAAGGACTAGATGCAAAGGATAATGTAAAGGTATGTGCATATGTTATCCTTTTGTCATCTTATCATATTGCAATATACAATGTAATCTTGCTATTGTGAATGATTTTTACAAGCTATGAGAACCAGGAATGTATGGAATGGGACCAGTAAAATGTCTTTCCCCCTGCAATGGGCATACTATGCATTCTGATTGGTTTTTGTGTGTGAATGCACTGTGCACATGCCTCCCTTCCTTGTTAAGAAATAGAAGTTGTATTGTTGAACACATTATTTTACATATATTAGAGTCACTGGTTGGGGTGGAATTTTTGGAGTGGTCTCATATCAACATTACTATTATTACAGGTGTGGTTTAACAACAAAGGCTGGCATGCTATTACCTCATTTCTTAACGTGATGAATAATGCCATCCTGCGCTCCAAACTACCTGAAGGAAAAAATCCTGCCAAATATGGAATCACTGCTTTTAATCATCCTCTAAATCTCACTAAAGAGCAACTTTCTGAGGTTGCACTGTAAGTACCAAGCCTCCAGTCTCAGCATGTATAGTTTTTTCTTTAATATCTGGCAATAGTAAATATGTTTTTCTTAGAGGGTACCTTAAATCTGAACTCCAGGCAGATAAACATTTAAATAAAATGCTATAAACAGTTACATTCACTAAAAGTAAGAAAAGTAAGGTTATTCTTAAATGCTGCTCGTGTAAGTGGAGACATTTGTCTTGATATTTGCTTTCTGGAATTTCTTATAAAGTAGCACAGGGAGAACGAGAGGCAGCTGACAGTGAACATGCTGACAGGCCAGGAGAGCATATTGAGCAGAAATTTCCAGCATTTCCTTCAGCCAGGAAGCTATGGGTCTGTTCATGACCATGATATGCTACTGCAGCTGGGTGGGCCAGGGATCTGGCTATGTTGCTTTATGGTAGAGTTGCCTATATCAGAAAATTAGTTGCACAAAAATTCAAATTTGTTGGCAGTAAAACATTTTCAATATATGTATTTCAAATGGTAATTAAGCTGCTTGTCTGGAGTTTAGCTTTAATATTCCGGAATACCAGTTGTACCCCAGAATCCATAATATGCTTCAAATGTATCACTATCACTACTTTATCATGCTGTTATATTTTCTGTGCTATTATCAGTTTGATATGGTTTATGTTCTTGTCCAGGATGACCACATCTGTAGACGTCTTGGTTTCCATCTGTGTCATATTCGCCATGTCCTTTGTGCCAGCCAGTTTTGTGGTTTTCCTGATCCAGGAGAGAGTGAGCAAGGCCAAGCACATGCAGTGCATCAGTGGAGTTAAGCCAGTTATCTACTGGTTAGCCAACTTTGTGTGGGATATGGTAAGAGACTAAAATTTGTATTTTTTGGGGTGACATGTTTTTAACTTATTTTGTTAACTTATTAGGGTGGCTTTATAAAAAGGTAAAAACCATGTTTATTTTGTTTTCTCTTTCAGTGTAACTACATAGTGCCAGCTACACTGGTCATTATAATATTTGTTTGCTTCCAACAAGACTCTTATGTATCTTCTTCCAATTTACCTGTCCTGGCCCTTTTGCTTCTACTATATGGGTGAGATATTTGCTTCATTATGTACACATATAGGTTTCTTTACATTTTAGGAAATTTGAAATGTTGTTGTTCAAAGTTAGCTAATAAATTTGAATTGTGTTCTTGTTTGATATCATGAGAGGTGACGCTGTCTTATCCTACAGATGGTCCATAACCCCATTGATGTACCCAGCTTCCTTTTTGTTCAAGATCCCCAGTACGGCATATGTAGTGTTGACTAGTGTTAATCTATTCATTGGAATCAATGGCAGCGTGGCCACATTTGTGCTGGAACTTTTTACTAATAATGTAAGTATTCATGTTGCTAAAATTCTTATTTCTGGTAACAGCTTCAAACCTGACTTAGGGTTATTTGTACTTAAGTGGATGCTGTACTCGGCTGATAACAGAAATGCTTTTTCTTATCAGAAACTGAACAACATCAATGATATTTTAAAGTCGGTGCTGTTGATCTTCCCCCATTTCTGCTTGGGAAGAGGACTTATTGATATGGTGAAGAATCAGGCCATGGCGGATGCTCTAGAAAGATTTGGTGGGTTGTCCTATAAGCTATTTGAATGAAACATATGGCTTTAAAACTGGATATATAGAAACAGATATCACTATAACAAATAAGATGTCCTTGTATGTCTTTCTGTAAGCAAGTCTGAAAAAGCACCAGCATAACTCACCTCGTTTTTAAAGAGAAAGAGTAGATATTTAATTTTTTTTTAGATATATATATATATGTGTATGTGGCCAGCTTGTAAGAAAGTTTCTATTTATGTTATACCATTTTATTACCATTTACATTTATCCTTGGTCCGCGTGTACAAAGGTACATGTGTACCATGTTTGCTTGCCTTTAGTGGGAACATGGGGTATGAAGATGAAAAAACTGAAACAGACCCAGTTATGCAGGGTGGTGGCAGATACCTGCTTGTGTTCCTTTTGCTGCAGAGCCCAGTGGGAGGATGCAGTATTTAAATACAGTATATATTAAAAATGCCGTTTGCTATCAGGAAAATATTGAACATGAAGCATATGAAAATATTTACATCAAAAATAATTTTTAAGGGTGAACTTTACAAAACTGGCTCAAAATGCATATTTACTGAAAATACCATACATTTCCTATTTGTCATCAGCACATGATAGAAGGTCATGATTCTTACTAAACCTAGTAGGAAGACCATTGTGAAAATTCCTATATCCAGTTTAATTTATTGTATTACACTGCTTGTGAAATATCATATGTTGACTCATTGTGGTTATGTACCATTGATTCAGGTGAAAACCGTTTTGTCTCTCCCATGTCCTGGGACCTGGTTGGGAGGAATCTCTTTGCCATGGCTGTGGAGGGAGTGGTTTTCTTTTTCATAACCCTGCTTATCCAATATCGTTTCTTCATAAAACCAAGGTAGGTCATTATTTAAAAAAAAAATTAAAAAATCTGTAGACTTCCTTGCTTTAAAAAAACATTTGTGTTAGCACAAAAGAGCCTGCCTGTTATGCAGTGGCATGTTCAGCTTGTCCAGGGCTAGCCTGACTCCAGCTTAATTTCCAGTTCCTACACTTGCCCCTGTATGGCTAAACGTGCACATCACCAATACGCTTCCATAGAAGCAGTGGTAGTTCTAGCAGTAGGAAACAAGCAGAAAAAAGCAGCTAAAGTCAGAGTTATAGCCTGTAAGCACTATCTATTTTTTTTTTTTATTCCCACTTACCAGTGTTGCCCTTGATTCAGATACTGACCTGCCTAGCAGATCCAGTGCTGCCCTGCTGTTATTTAATGCAGCAGTCTAGGCCCCATGCCACCATCTTGGTGCTCCTCAGTCATCAGAAGTCAGCTGCTTCTTCGGGGAGCAGGCAGCTGGTATCCAATGATGCCCTGCCAGCTGCACCCACTGGCCACTATGAAGCTCTACTTGTACAGCCTCCTGGGATATGTGACATAGTATTTCAGAGGATGAGGGGACAGGGAAATGTCATTCTTATGATTTGTATTGCAGAGGGGGGGAGCGAGTGTGCAGGTAGCTATAGAGGATCTGGGGGGTAAAGATCCGCTTTAACAGGTAGGCTCTTAAGCATAGCAGTTTTGAGGAAGGCCTATGGAAGCGGGAGAACATTTTAAATCTAAAAGGAAAGTGTTTGTGCGATAATAATATATAAGGAGGCTGCAATTGTCATGTTAATTTATCTTCTTTTCTGGCCAGTCATTGTCAGGCACTTGAAATAAAAAAAATAATACAGCAAGGCACTATTTCTGTCTCTGCAGACCCGTGAGTGCAAAGCTTCCCCCTGTAATCGATGAGGATGAAGACGTGGCAAGGGAAAGGCAGAGAATAATGAATGAGGGGGGCCGGAGCGATATACTGGAAATCAAAGCACTAACTAAGGTATGGACATGCTCATACTGGCTGAGTTATGATGCTGCTCCCTTTGGCTGACTTGTGATCAGTATGTAACCTCAGGCACACAGCACACAAGCATCACACCTGCCTCACATCACACCATGAATTTACCCCCTCAGTGCCGCAGGGACACTGAGAATATTTTAGAGATATCTGGAATTTTTCAAATAGGGCACACAATGGCAAAGATAAAACTTAGAAGCAAAAAGGCACTGCTTATGTATTTATTGTAAGTAAATGCTGAAGAGCTGTTTTATATTTTAGATCCGCATTGGCTAGTAGCTTAATAAGTGTTGGATGTTGCCATCAGAGTGTGAAAAGTCATGCTGGAGCCTGTAGTTCTGGCAGTTTTGGAAGTATATTTCTAGTTGTCATTATTAAGTTTATTTGATACAAAGTGCAATAACTAATTCTAAAGTGCAGGAGCTCAGTGTTGCAGAATAGTAGATGCAATTTTATATTACATACATTAAAGTTTAAGTATAGCATAGTTAATGCATATTAAGTGTTTCCTAATTAAGACTTTTCTCTTCTAGATCTATAGAACAAAGAGAAAGCCAGCTGTTGACAGACTGTGCGTGGGAATCCCTCCTGGAGAGGTAGGAACCAGGCTATAAATGATTAATAGGACAATCTTTTTTTTTTTTTTTATTAAAACTGAATGAACCATATAAACAGGGAAATAGTGGCATACCTCCCTAACTTCTGAAAGGGGAAAGAGAGTGTGTAGTTTCATTCATTTTAGGAAAAACACTGCTCAACATTCACATTTTTTTTATACATCAGTAAAACACAAAGAATATCAGTTGTTTATTTGAAAATGTAACTTGACCTTTTGTGGAGGCATAAGGTAATGAGAGACAATAGATTACTATCCCCCAGACCAAACTTTTTTGACTGGATTGGGAGACAAGGAATAAAGTGATTGGGAAAGTTAGAAAACCTTACCCAATCACTATTGTTTCCATCAGAGCCAGAATGGTCTTTTAGTGACTGCTGTTGTCCTAAATAGGAACTCTCATGCAACTATAGTGCTCCTTTTAGGGGAGGAACTAGTATAGGAGAATTCATGCGTAGGTTAGATAATGCTTGCATGTCCAACTTTCCTGTTATGTCTATGGCCAGGAATGTTTACAGATTTTTGTTTGCGATAGTAAAGGCAGCACCACGATTTATTGAGCAGTGTAGTGTTAGAAGAAATTAAGGACACATCACAGTGCTACTGTGTCGTATTGGTAACATTCTGATTATTTTAACACCTTCCCACCTGGCCTATAGCAGATTGACAGCAGAGCGGAACATTCGCAGTTGTGACTGGGCTGGGCATCATATGACGTGTTGTCAAAACGAGCCGCTCAAGCGGCCGCGGGGGCCACGCAGCGGCGTGATCTGTTACCGGCTGTGTCCACGGGACACAGCCGATGACATATCACTACACCGTTGCCAGTGTCATGTGATCACTGTGACCAATCACAGCAGATCACATGTCAACTGTATACAATGGATGGCTTCCTGTCATGCCATCCATTGTATACAATTGTGTTGTTAGCTGTGACTGGTCAAGGCAGTCACATGATACAGACAGGGCCAATCACAGCCCATCTGTATCATGTGATCAGCTTTGAGCAATCACAGCTAATCACAACAAAAGACTGAATGAATCAGTTTCATTCAGCAACAATTATTATTATTATTATTATACAGTATTTATAAAGCGCCAATAGTTCGCTCAGCGCTGATGATTGCAAATATCAATGAGATACATTGGTATTAGCAATCATACTGTGTTAAAAAAAAAAAAAATCCTGATCACTTGCCCAGAGTAGTTCATTGTTACTATGGTAACATTGTATTGCTTTAGTTACAGTGTGCTGACAAATAAAATAGTAAAAAAAAATAAAAAATGTAATAAAAAATATAATAGAAGCATTTGAAAAAAAAATACAAATTCAATTATTATTATTATTTTCACCAAAGAAATGTAGCAGAATACATTTTGACCTAAATTTATGAAGAAATGTTATTTGTTTGCAAAACTTTATAACATAAATTAAGAAAAGTGCATTTTTTTTTTCAAAAGTTTCAGGTTTTTTTTGTTTTATTTAGCAAAAAATAAAAAACTCAGTGGTGATTAAATACCACCAAAAGAAAAGTTTATTTGTGTGGAAAAAAATGATTAAAATTTCATATGGGTACAGTGTTGCATGACTGCGCAATTGTCATTTAGTGTGACAGCGCTGAAAGCTGAAAGTTGGCCTTGGCAGGAAGGGGGTATAAGTGCCTGGTATTGGAGTGGTTAAGTCAGTGTATTGGGGTTGATTTACTAAAACTGGTGCAGCTTTGCATAGAAACCTGTCAGCTTCCAGGTTTTTATAGTCAAAGCTTAACTGAACAAGCTGAAGTCAGAAGCTGATTGATTTTTGTGCACAGCTGCACCCGGTTTTGCACTCTCCAGTTTTAGTAAATCAACCCCATTGTCTGTATTTAACATTTTCTCAAGTATAGCAAAAGCTTTATCTTTGTAAGAACACATTTAAGGCACACATAAATGTACTTGCTTAGTTAATACATATATATAGCATTTTCCACCTTATCACATATCTTTATGTGAATAGCTGGTATTGTACAGCTGTATGTAAAGTCAAAAAAAGATAAAAATTGTCAGTAAATTGTAATTGTGAACGTGTTGCACTAGAGCTTACCTGATGCTGTGTTACTTTTAGTGCTTTGGCCTGCTAGGAGTTAATGGTGCTGGTAAAACCACTACTTTCAAGATGCTTACTGGAGATACTGATGTGACTGCTGGGGAAGCCTTCCTGAAGAGTCACAGGTGAGTAAGGAGCTTATCTGTAAAACCGACACAGCAGTCTACAGTAATGCAGGCCATAGATGGGATTATTCGTTCGGCCGATATTCACACCGTTAGTGGGGCAATGTCGTCGGACGATATTCACGGTTCTTCTCGTTTCGTTTTATCGGTCATGCTGGAAAATCTATGAAAAACGGCATTGGTGGCAGCAACGACCGTTTTTTCGTTTATCGGCCGACAATTCGGCTGATTAACGTCCTGTCTATGACCTGCATAAGGCTAACAGTGTATGCTTAGATTTTGTTTATTTTCGGTAGAGAATAGGGTACTTTTACTGTTTAAATGCACCCCTTTAAAGGTTGATCCACACAAAAGTGAAATATTCCTTTTACTAAGTGCCTATTATATAATCTATATCTGTGCAGCTAATACAGCAGAGCAGCGAACTGTTTTTCTTGTAAAGGCGTGATGTATGTAACATGAATTTTAGGAAACATGCCGATAAGCTTGCATCATTGTAATGAATAATATATGGATCACTAAATAGTTTATCTTTGTTTTGCAGCATTCTATCTAACATCCAGGAAGTCCATCAGAACATGGGGTACTGTCCTCAGTTTGATGCTATTAATGAGCTGTTGACAGGGAGAGAACACCTGGAGCTTTATGCATTACTGCGTGGTGTACCTGAAAAGGAGGTTTGCAAGGTAATTAAAGATAAAGCAGTGGGCATCTGTAATAATCTCAATGTCCATTTTTTTGGTTGATCTAGTAGTGTAGCCCTACCTCTTGGGTAGTGGTTGAGTTTTGATTATTTACTTGTATTCTGTCCCAGATCAGAAGTGTCAGACTATAAAGCTATTGTGTCTTATACCTGAGCAGATATACAGACACTTGAAATTGTCATATATCAATGGTGCTATCAGGATTACATGAGAGAGAACAAAACAAAAATATCAGAAAACCATTTTCCCCTCATCTAGTAGTCCATCGAGAAGGTTTGTTGTCAACATTGCACTCAGGCAGGAGAGTCAGCCTCTAAGGGTCCATGGCATGACTTTCAGCTGACATTTCTGCTCTGATAGGGAGATATTATTGTAGATTTACTAAAGCTGGAGAGTGCAAAATCTGGTGCAGCCCTGCATAGAAACCAATCAGATTCCAGTTTTCTTTTTTTTTTTGTTGTTAAAGCTTAACTGAACAATATGAAGGTAGCAGCTGATTGACTGTCATGCACAGCCAGGTCCGGACTGGCCATAGGGCACACCGCTTCTCCTCCTCTCCCTCTTGCAGGCATTCAGTGGTGGCAAGAGAAAACACATGCTCAGCTTTCCTCTGTGTGCTGCCCAGCCACCCCTACTATCTATCTCCTGCTGCCCTGGGCTCCTGTATACTCTCCCCCCCCCCCCCCCCCGTGGCCGTCCCCCCCTCATCACCCTCAGCACTGCCGCTGGGTTCCCCTTTGCGTACAGCTGCTGCGGGGGATCTGTCAGGATAGACTGTCCCCAGTGCTGAAAGTTCCCCCCCCCCACCACAGACAGGAGTGGAGAGAGGAATGCTGGTTCTGCCCCTCCTCTTCCTGCCCTCTCCTTCTGTGTCTGCCCCGCCTACACTCCCCGCCAGTCTTGTATCTCCCCCCCCTTCTTTCTTTCTTTCTTTCTTTCTTTCTTTCTCTTTCTCTTTCACTCTCTCCTGTCTTTCTTTCTTGCTTTCTTTTCTCTCTCTCTCTTTTTCTTTCCTACTAAAAATTGTAAAAAAATTATAAAATATAAAGCTGTAAAAAATGAAATAAAAACCTACTGACACTAGTGGCAGAACTACCAGGGTCACAAAGGGTCGTTCTTGTGATTGGTCCCTGGCATTCTACCACCGGGTTCTGCGGAAAGGGTCCCTGGGTTTTGGGATTCTCAGTCCAAAATGCCTGTGCCTATTTTTTGTCCCAGTCTGGGCCTGTGCACACCTGCACCAGAGTTTTTGATCTCCAGTTTTAGTAAATCAACCCATTACAGTTCTTTTCCTGACAAATAGGGCTGCAGTATTATAAGAGTGGTGATTTAGATTTTTACAAATGCCAGTGTGAACACCCTGAGGATTCCAATATTATCGACTCTGTGATTAAAAAATATGTGCATGATAAGAAATTTATTTAGTAAGACCTCTGTATTTTTTTTTTTAAATAGTTAAAATGCATAACAATGTTTAGCAACTGGCACTGAATCACATTGAAAACCAGTGCCTCTTTTCTTTGTGCCTGGGAGCGTGATACTCTCCATAGAGACAGGCCTAACCTAGTGAACTGCAGTGCCAATGTGTGAGATACAGCCTGGCTAGATGGCACATTTCCTCAGTTTTGCATGATCCCAGATGGCATGCTGTCAGTGTTAATAAATTTCACGGCTCACACAAAGCCCACTAACCTGAATCACACTGGCAGAAATGATGGTATTTTGAATTAAATTCTGTCCTGGATCCACGGTGTATAACTGATTTAAATTTTACATTTAAGATACCTAATTAGGTTACCATTAGCACTGGCCTATACATTGCCTGACAAGATAGGCAAGTGTGCTGTCTTTGATTGGTACTGGTAGTTGTGAATATTCATGTCCTGGCTTATTCTCTGCAGCCACAGGAATTTTGACATTGTCTCTTTGTGTTACATTAGGTTGCTGAATGGGCAATACGGAAGCTAGGACTAGTGAAATACTCCGAGAAATGTGCTGGGGGCTACAGTGGTGGGAACAGGCGTAAATTATCTACTGCTATTGCTTTAATCGGAGGACCACCAGTGGTTTTTCTAGTAAGTAAACACTCTTTAGCTATAGCCAACACACTGATACATAATGATACACTGGTTACATATTTAAATGCATTGTTTACTTGGACCCTCACGTTACCTAATTTTGAAAAAACCAAAGGAGAATATACAGAATTTTTAAAATCAGTTTGCAACATGTAGAGCAGGGGTAGGCAACCTTAAAGAGGTGGAGATCTACCTGAACAACATGGGAGAAGTCAAAGATCACTGGGCACAGTGTCTGCCAGTGTCACCTACTCACACCTGATTTAAACCTCTGAATGCAGTACTACCGTGTCACAGTTGCATGCTTTGCACGGCAATCATGGGTTTACATCAGGTGTTAAGGAGGCAACATATCGCCTCCTCACCTCCTGGCAAACAAACTCGGATCACTTTGCAGAGGAGCAGTAGTATCTGCTGCACTTGTGAATGAGTCCTTAGTTGCTTCCGGCAGTCTTAGGGCTCGTTCACATGTAAAGTTGGGGGGGTAAAACCCTGCGTTTGAGTCATAGTTTTACCGCCTCCGATCCCTACCCCCTTTTAGCTGCTGAGACAGCAGCCAAAAGTATACACATGCTGCAGCAGGAATTGCACCCCCTGTTGCTTTTGGTAGGTGCTACCGCCTGTCATTTGAGACCCATTCAAGTAAATGAGGCCACTCTGCAAGTGCCCTGCAACTGCATGCTTCTGCAGGGTACAAGGGTTTTAAAGCAGGTGGTGAGAAAGCAACCCACTGCTGCCTGTTTCTATTTTTATTGCACAAGGTTGTAGGGCACTTGCACAGTCGCTTCACTGGCTTTAATGGGTCATACTTGGCAGTTGCTACACCCACCAACCATGATAGGTGCGTAGGAGCAGCACTACAGAGGAGACCTCAACTTATGCTCCCTACTACAGCTCCAAATTTATAAGTAATCCCTCTGTATTGCACTCTGTTTGATGCTCTGGGATGACTGGTTAGCAAGCCCAGGCCGAGATCTACCAGTCACCTGACTGAGATCTACTGGTAGATCACAATCTACTGGTTGCTGTCCCCCAATGTAGAGCTTACTTTAGCACAGTTAAATAATTAATTAATAGATTGTGGCTCACTAGTCCTTAGACGTGGTGACTATATTAGTTTCCTTCTTTCAGAGTTTTTTTCTTAGTTTTTCACCTGGTGATCTTCCAGTAACATACTTCCTATCTTAGGGTGACTGCTCACTGTACTGTAAATGTATGGAGGAGCAGCACTTTCTCCCTAGACTTCTACACTTCCCCCTCTTCTCTTCTTCATAATGTACAAGGGAGGAGTTCTGTAGTCCACAGATAGCTGAGAACAATGTAACTGATAAGAGCAGGCAGAAAGTAAAGGAAGTTGTTAGGTATCAAATTTTCTGACAGAATCGACAGGCATTTTGTTTGCATACTTATATAAGATATAACAAAATATTTTTAAGTATATTTAAGCAGGTGGCAAATATGATACGTTCATTTTTTAGAGTTAACACTTTTTCAAATATCTTGTTTTGTTTTATAATAATTTTTTATTTTCTGTGTATGTTAAAACATACAAGCATTGTGTCAAAGGCAGATGATCAGTAAATTGTTTTCATAGTGGAATTAAAACCAACATTTTTAAGTACTTTATATGAGATACTGCTAGTGTTTTTTTGGAAAAAAATATTTGTGTAGCAACCAATCAGATGCTATCATTAACCTGCAAGAAATAACAGATAATACTAGCTGGTATCTGAGACCAAAGGAGGCACTTGTGCTCATGGTACTTGGATGGTGTATGATATGTACTTTTACATTCTTTATGTAGACTGAAATAGTGACATACAAGCCATGCAAGAAACTGAATATTGTTTTAGATACATACAATGAGAACGCTAAGTTTGCTATACATGTACTGTCTTTACAATACGTTCCTGTGTTTTTAAGGATGAACCAACTACAGGCATGGATCCTAAGGCAAGGCGCTTCTTATGGAACTGTGCCCTAAGCATCATTAAAGAAGGAAGATCAGTTGTACTCACATCTCACAGGTTGGTGCTATTGTTTGTATGTAACATTTCAAAGAGCAGTGGGTGAACATTTGTCAGTGTAATATCATCATAGTAAGTGGGCACACTGTAAGCAACTTAAAGTAGAAAATGACATGGAAATATATATTTTTATATATAAATATTTATGTGTGTGTGTATAAATAAAAAAAAAAAAAAAATATATATATATATATATATATATATATGTCTATGTGTTACATTGCTACATTATTGTGTTATATTGTTAACCTTTCATTTATATTCTTTAACAGTATGGAAGAATGTGAAGCTCTCTGTACAAGAATGGCCATAATGGTTAATGGAAGGTTTAGATGTCTGGGAAGTGTACAGCATCTCAAGAACAAGTAAATAATTTCTTATGCATCTTACGATTGCTAGGCCAAATTACATAGTTACAAAGTCTGGCTGAAAAAAAGACAAACGTCCAGTTCAACCATTAAAAAAAAAATAAGTTATAATCCTATACCCACAGTTGATCCAGAGCAGGGCAAAAAAACCCAGCAAAGCACGATCCAATTTGCTCCTGCAGTAGAAAAAATTCCTTCATGATCCCCCGAGAGGCAATCAGATATTCCCTGGATCAACTTTACCTTTAAATGTTAGTATCCAGTTATATTCTGTGTATCCAAGAAAGAGTCCAGGCCTTTTTTAAAGCAATCCACTGAGCTGGCCAGAACCAACTCCCAAGGGTGTCTATTCCACGTATTCCTAAGGGTTTAGATCTGCTTAGTCTACAAAGTAAATAGATAGCAACTCTGACTTGTCCCAAGTATTAAATGATTATGCTGGGTACACACAGGCCGAATAGCGGCCGATTCAGCAGGAACCAGCCAACATTCAGCCATTGTATACAGCTGTCTATCAGATAGAATCTGTCGAATGGGCATGCTAGAAAACCAGCATCCAGTCAATGCTTGCAGCCAATGGCTGCGAGTGCTGATCAGTGTGGGCTGGCAGAAAGGTTAGCGTCCCCCTGTAAGGATAAAATAGCACAGCGGGGGAGATAAATGCACTAACACCGATTGCATTAGTATATCGATCTCTCAGGTTTGTTGTTTTTTGTTCAACCCAGTGAGCTGAACAAGAAAAAAACTGCTAGTCTGTAACAGGAGTTACTTCAAAGTTTCACTAGAGTTTCAGGACTCAATCAACTCCTTATATTGCACCAAAATGTGCTATAAACAATGGCTGTGTGCTAAATGTAGGTAAAGCTGAGCGCCTTGTTTGAATGAAGCCTCAGCTACATATAGTATACAGCACTGTGGGGTTGATTTACTTAAAATAGAAAGTGCAAATTCTGGTGCAGCTCTGCATAGAAGCCAATCAGCTTACAGGTTTTATTGCCAAAGCTTAAAACGATACTAAAGGATCAGGTTTTTAAAAAAAAAATAACAAACATGTTATACTTACATTTATATTGTAAAGTGCTGAGCAAACTGTTGGCGCTATATAAATCTTGTATAATAATAATAATACCTGCTCTGTGCAGTGCTTTTTTAGCAGCCTCTTCTTGGGTCCCCTGCTGGTGCTCCTGTCTCCTCTTTCCTGTCAGGTGTCCCCATAGCAAGCAGCTTGCTATGGGGGCACCCGAGCAGGCACATTCCCGAGCCATTGCTCCATGTGTCCATTCACACACGGAGCTGCGGTAGATCTCATTGGTTCACTGGCTGGTTCAATGGCTCCCGCTGTTGTCTCAGCCAATGAGAAGTCAAAGACCCGTGACAGCCAAGGTTCTTGTACACATCGCTGGATTGCGATGGGGCTCAGGTAAGTATTAGAGGGGGCTGGGGGCACAGCTGCACACAGAAGGCTTTTTACCTTCATGTACAGAATGCATGAAAGGTAAAAAACCTTGAGCCTTTACAACCACTTTAATTGAACAAGCTGAAGTTAAAAGTTGATTGGCTACCATGCACATCTGCACCAAATTTTGCACCCTTCAGTTTTAGTAAATAAACCACTGCATTTTTACAGCGCACACTGCCGCTGCAGCTACTGGTGAAGTAAATAGTTTACTTGGACCAAACAAACTATGTAAAGTAAAATGAAACCTGGAGATCAACTTTAACTTTAGCAGTCAAACAGGTCTCAGTTTGCTAAAGCCATATTTTTGAGTGCTGCCCTTTGTACATTGCTCATTGCCCTGTTGACTTTTTGAATAAGCCTACATATCTGTACATTTGCACATTCTTTTTTTTCCTCCTTAAGCTCTAATACGCAGATCCAGCTTTACTACATATTTGTCCAGATTTCACAATGTAGAATTAAAAAGTAGTTTACAATCTTTGTTCACTGTGCTATTTTCTTTGATCTTGATGCCTGTATATATTGTGACAATAAAAGAGTTCTGATTCTTCTTATCTGACAGGTTTGGAGATGGGTACACAATCATAGTACGGATAGGAGGTTCAAATCCAGACCTAAAACCTGTGGAGGATTTCTTCAGCCATGCCTTCCCAGGGAGCGTGTTAAAGGAAAAACATCGAGGAATGCTGCAGTACCAACTGCGGTCCTCACAATCTTCCTTGGCTAGGATCTTCAGCATCCTCTCCAAGAACAAGAAAAAACTTCACATTGAAGATTATTCAGTTTCTCAGACCACTCTTGACCAAGTGAGTATCTATGTGTGTAATACTTTGTATGTGTGTGTGTGTATATATATATATATATATATATATATATATATATTTCTATTTATTTAAAAGGAGTTTAATATTGTCATACCATCAATCAGGTAATTGTAAGTCAATATTTCTGATCAGATTACGACTTAAAGATGGTCTTTCTGCATGGACAAGCTAAATCTTTTGTCTCTGGTCCTATGCAGTGTTTGCTGGTACTATCTTGTACAATGTCATAGTGTCTTAGTTATCACTAGCTGACTGGCACCACCTAGTGTACGCAGTAAAATTTGCACTAAAATACGATGTAGTGCTTTACAAACGGCATTGTCCACAAATAACCCTTATGAAAGGAAAGTGAAAATCTGTCATTTTTTTTTAAAGATAGGACTCTACTACCCTTCTTTTAAACTATTAGATATATTTACAGTATACACGTTTATTTATTACAAGTACTTATATAGCACTGTCAATTTACGCAGCACTTTACATATACTACCTACATCAATCCCTGCCCTCAAGGGGTAGGGACTGATGTAGGTAGTATATGTAAATATATACCTACATCAGTAGGTAGATACATTCTACCTACTGATGTAGGTAGATACATTCACATCAGTCCCTGCCTTCAGGAGCTTACAATCTAAGGTCCCTAACTCACATTCATACATACACATACTAGAGCCAGTTTAGACAGGACCACCTACCAGCATGTCTTTGGAGTGTAGGAGGAAACTGGAGTACCCAGAGGAAACACACAGGCACTGAGAGAACATGCAAACTCCATGCATGTAGTACCATGGTTGATATTCGATCAACTTGTTGACATGCCTGTGGAAGGCAAGTTATTGGATGGATTAAGGTAGAATGGGGCTCTAGACAAGGTAATAGTTTTGCACCCCCCCATCCCTTTGATCAACATTAATCAAGATATTAATAGGTACAGAAAGTCTGACCGATTTGCAGGGTCTGTACTGGCATGGCCCTATTAGTTTCACAAATTCCTAGAAATGTTTCTTCTCTGTGAATTGACAGGCAGCTTTGACCAGGTGCACTATCCACCTGGTTTACTGCAGATGCATGGAGGTTGTAGCTGGTCCCCCTGGACATATACCTGGCCCCAGGCTTCTACCTAAGTTGCCTTGTTAATAATCTGGTTTTGTTGAAGTTTCGAGAAGAAAACATGACATCCATTTGACAATTATTTGGCTAAATCTATGAGCTGACTAAATGTTTTGCTGCTCGTTTGAATAAATATAATAAGAACTAAACTATTTGGGAAACTGCAGTGCAGTTTGAAAGTTGCTTGCATGTGGTCACAGATTGCCTCAAACAGTTGCACAAACATTTGTACAATTCACATGTATTCCTTTGTCAATAATAAGGGATCAACATCATTGTGATTCATAGCGGACAACAGTGACATTGCAGTACTAATAAAAAAAAGTTGAACTGGCTTGTTGGACTGATTGTAGCATCCAACTTAAGGTGGCCAAGTTTGCAGCAATCACTAAAGTAATTTATCCCTAATAATTATTGTCTTAAAGTAGAAGTCCACTCCAATACTATGTAAGCTTAAACCTGCTCCCACCCCCATTCTAAGCCCTGTAAAGGAAAGACGCTTACACCAACCTATTCTGAAGGAGCTCCGATCTGGCTACATGATCTCTCTGGTGGCCAGCTTCAGTGTAGAGGAGAGATCACCAACAATGGCTACAGTACCTGAGTAGTGACATCACCCATAGGCTTACTATGGGACATCCATTGTTGGCTGTCTCTCCTCTACAGAAGCAGACACTAGGAGCTGATCAAGTGACCGCACTGAGAATAGGCAAGTATAGACATCTTTCCTTTACAAGATAGTATTGGTGTTTGAAGCAGGGTAGAAGAAAGTTTAAGCTTCTACTGTATTTGACTGCACTTCTACTTTAAATAATTGTTGCATGTTAACAATGTCACCTTATGTTCAAAATGAAAAAAAAAATTGGTTAATGATCATCCCCAATATCTATAAAAAGTGGTGGGGGGGGGGGGGTTTGTTGTTGTATGTGTAGAGATATCCTTGCGTTGTGTTTATTATTAAAGCAAAGTTCATAACTTTCCCCCTCCAAAATAGGCACTGTGGCAGCTCAAAATACCCACTGACCATCCATTTTCTAAATGAGAGGCACTTTTGAGTTGCACCAATTACAGGCCTACCAGCGCTCACAGCCAGAAGAAAGAATCTGTCTTCTATTTTCAAAAGAACACAAGTGCCCATGAATGCTTCTGTGCACACTCATGCACTATATTGCCAAAAGTATTGGGACACCTGCCCTTACACGCACTTGAACTTTAATGGCATCTTGGTCTCAGTCTGTAGGATTCAATATTGACTTGTCCCACCCTTTGCAGCTATAACAGCTTCAGCTGTTCTGGCAAGGCTGTCCACAAGGTTTAGGAGTGTGTCTTTGGGAATGTTTGATCATTCTTCCAGAAGCGTATTTGTGAGGTCAGGCACTGATGTCGGACGAGAAGGCTTGGCTCGCAGTCTCCGTTCTAATTCATCCCAAAGGTGTTCTATCGGGTTGAGGTCAGGGCTCTGTGCAGGCCAGTCAAGTTCCTCCACCCCAAACCTGCTCATCCCTGTCTTTATGGACCTTGCTTAGTGCACTGATGCACAGTCATGTTGAAACAGGAAAGGGCCTTCCCCAAACTGTTCCCACAAAAGTTGGGAGCATGAAATTGGACAAAATGTCTCGGTATGCTGATGCCTTAAGAGTTCCCTTCACTGGAACTAAGGGGCCAAGCCCAACCCCTGAAAAACAACCCCACACCATAATCCCCCTCCACCAAACTTTACACTTGGCACAATGCAGTCAGGCAAGTACCGTTCTCCTGGCAACCACCAAACCCAGACATGTCCATCGAATTGCCAGACAGAGAAGTGTGATTTGTCACTCCAGAGAACACATCTCTACTGCTCTAGAGTCCAGTGGTGGCGTGCTTTACACCACTGCATCCGATGTTTGCATTGCACTTGGTGATGTAAGGCTTGTATGCAGCTGCTCGGCCATGGAAACCCATTCCATGAAGCTCTCTATGCACTGTTGTTGTGCTAATCTGAAGGCCACATGAAGTTTGGAGGTCTTTAGCTATTGACTCTGCAGACAGTTGGCGACTTCTGCGCACTGTTCACTTCAGCATGCGCTGACCCCACTCTGTCATTTTACATGGCCTACCACTTTGTGACTGAGTTGCTGTTGTTCCCAGTTGCTTCCACTGTGTTATAATACCACTAACAGTTGACTGTGGAATATTTAGTAGCAAGGAAATTTCACAGATGGACTTATTGCACAGGTGGCAACCTATCACGGTACCACACTTGAATTCTCTGTGCTCCTGAGTGCAACCCATTCTTTCACAAATGTTTGTAGAAGCAATCTGCATGCCTATGTGCTTGATTTTAAACCTGTGGTCATGGAGGTGATTGGAACACCTGAATCCAATGATTTGGAGGGATGTCCCAATACTTATGGCAATATAGTGTATTTACATGCAGCCACATAGCAGCATGCAGTGGTGGGGCCAGTTTACATAAACACACATTGATCATTCCCAAATTAAGATAGTGAAAGCTTTGTGTGACATTTTGTTAAATAAAAAGAACAACTGAAAAAACCTCCATTGAATAAAAAAATATAAAGTTCCACAGGAATAATAACAGCATTCTTATCATTGTGGTTATTTCTGTGCATTTTTAACATTGCACTTTCATACTTATTTTCAGTTATATACACTGCACATATTTGATAAAAAACAGAGTCATAGACACTACTTCACCATTCTTCAACAAGCTGGTTCCAGAAGGGTGATATGTGGAAGTAGGCCAGCATTCCTGCTTGTTTTATCTTCCACAAATGGATTTATGAATCAGAAGCAGAAACAGTTGCATCATCTTGTTAAAGTATTAATGCAGCCTAGGATCACATGAGAATGTGGTGCGGTAAGCCTGCAATCCATGCACGTTTTCTGCATTCTATTGTGAACCTAGCCTGTAATAAACACATTACCAAGAAGCTGCAAGTGTTTCTGCCTCTGATTCATGAATCCATTTATGGAAGATAAACCAACCAGAAATGCTGATCTACAGTGGGGATCGAAAGTTTGGGCACCCCAGCTAAAAATTTTGTATTAATGTGCATAAAGAAGCCAAGGAAAGATGGAAAAAATCTCCAAAAGGCATCAAATTACAGATTAGACATTCTTATAATATGTCAACAAAAGTTAGATTTTATTTCCATCATTTACACTTTCAAAATAACAGAAAACAAAAAAATGGCGTCTGCAAACGTTTGGGCACCCTGCAGAATTTATAGCATGCATTGCCCCCTTTGCCAAGCTGAGACCTGCCAGTGTCATGGATTGTTCCCAATCATCGTCTGGGAAGACCAGGTGATGTCAATCTCAAAGGTTTTAAATGCCCAGACTCATCTGACCTTGCCCCAACAATCAGCACCATGGGTTCTTCTAAGCAGTTGTCTAGAAAACTGAAACTGAAAATAGTTGACACTCACAAAGCTGGAGAAGGCTATAAGAAGATAGCAAAGCGTTTTCAGATGTCAATATCCTCTGTTCGGAATGTAATTAAGAAATGGCAGTCATCAGGAACAGTGGAAGTTAAAGCAAGATCTGGAAGACCAAGAAAAATATCAGACAGAACAGCTCGCAGGATTGTGAGAAAAAACAATTCAAAACCCACGTTTGACTGCACGATTCCCTCCAGAAAGATCTGGCAGACACTGGAGTTGTGGTACACTATTCCACTATAAAGAGATACTTGTACAAATATGGTCTTCATGGAAGAGTCATCAGAAGAAAACCTCTTCTACGTCCTCACCACAAAAATCATCGTTTGAACTTTGCAAATGAACATATAGACAAGCCTGATGCATTTTGGAAACAAGTTCTGTGGACCGATGAGGTTAAAATTGAACTTTTTTGCCGGAATGAGCAAAGGTACGTTTGGAGAAGAAGGGGCACAGAATTTAATGAAAAGAACCTCTGTCCAACTGTTAAGCATGGGGTTGGATCAATCATGCTTTGGGGTTGTGTTGCAGCCAGTGGCACAGGGAACATCTCACGGGTAGAAGGAAAAATGGATTCAATAAAATTTCAGCAAATTTTGGATGGTAAGTTGATGCCATCTGTGAAAAAGCTGAAGTTAAAGAGAGGATGGCTTCTACAAATGGATAATGATCCTAAACACACCTCGAAATCCACGGAGGATTACATCAAGAGGCGTAAACTGAAGGTTTTGCCATGGCCTTCACAATCTCCTGACCTCAACATAATTGAAAATCTATGGATAGACCTTAAAAGAGCAGTGCGTGACAGACAGCCCAGAAATCTCAAAGAGCTGGAAGACTTTTGTAAGGAAGAATGGGCAAAGATACCTCAAACAAGAATTGAAAGACTCTTGGCTGGCTACAAAAAGCGTTTACAAGCTGTGATACTTGCCAAAGGGGGCAGTACAAGATATTAACTCTGCAGGGTGCCCAAACTTTTGCAGACGCCATTTTTTTGTTTTCTGTTATTTTGAAAGTGTAAATGATGGAAATAAAATCTAACTTTTGTTGACATATTATAAGAATGTCTAATCTGTAATTTGATGCCTTTTGGAGATTTTTCCATCTTTCCTTGGCTTCTTTATGCACATTAATACAAATTTTTAGCTGGGGTGCCCAAACTTTCGATCTCCACTGTACTTCCATATATTATCCCACCCACCACAGCCCTGGAGATCTACAGTGGGTGTCAGTGCAAGGCGATGCAATTCCTTTGCAAGTCATATGTGGATCATAGTGTGACCTGAGCCTAAGGTGCACATTTGCCAAAAGCCTCACTGTCCTCAGCATAGGCTTTACCTGAGAATGTATGGATGTCAGTCACAACATAGAATCTTATAAAACTGTGTTTGGAACATCTGTATTATGACAGGTTGTTGCTAGCTAGAATAGACTAATGCTGACCATACATGACTCAAATCTTGGCCAAATCCTGCTGAATCCACCAAAATTCCAAGTGTGGCCTTGTTGGTGGTAGACTGCTTAACAAATTCTTTTTCAAAATCCAGGTGAAAAATTGTCGGCCAAACAGTGACTGCGTCCAGTCAGATTCAGTCATGGTTCAAGTATTCAGACACCCAGTCAAGGCGTGTGTTTAGAATGGATTGGGGAAGGGGGGGGATACTTGATTTATTTTTTCCTCGTTTAACCCACAGGGCTAAATGAGAGAAATGAATTGTGTATTGCTAGCCTTTAGACCAAGTACTTAGAGATAGCAAAGTAAAAAAAGAACTATAACATTTCGGTGAGAGGTTTATAAAGGCAATTTGTAGTAATTTCAGTGCTTTAGTTACTCATATAATTAGCATGGCATAAATGTTCTTATCAATGCATGTTGTTTTAAAAACCTTGTATAGAATATTTATACATATATGAACACACAGTGTGTGCGTATATATATATATATATATATATATATAAATATATATATTGCGCAGCATAACATAAATGAGTACACCCCAACAGATTTGTCAGAAAACCTTTGCTTTCCTTTCAGAATCAACATTTTCTTTGAGACACTATACTACAAAATACTCCCAAAAATGCGGGCAATTGATTGCAAACAAGATTTGTTAATTTGCACACCCAAAAGAGTATTTTTTGTAACAAATTCATTTAAGACCATGTTGTAAAAATGACACACCCCAATGAAAGCCTTATGCAGGCCATAGACGGTTGTTTATCGGCCGAATTTTCGTCCGTACGAAAAATCGGCCGATATTCACGCTGTTAGTGGGGCCGGCCCGTTGGCCGTTTTTCGCGGATCTTCTCATTTATTTTTATCGGTCATGCTGGAAAATCCATTTTCATGGACATGGGTGTCAGCATCGGCAACGTGGCCGACCGATTTTTTCGTTTATTGGCCGATAATTCGGCCGATAAACGGCCCGTCTATGGCCTGCATTAGGAGCAAAGCTAAATTTTAGACAAAAAAAATCCTAATTAACAAGAATTCAGCTACAGGTGAGTCTAATTATTCATTAAACAGGTGTCCAGCAGACATTTGATTATAAAAGGGCGTTACTTAACAAAGAAAACTTCTTCCCATTTCATGCTGTCAGCAATGGCACCACATGGAAGAGAAATGTCACAAGGCCTGAGAAAGAAAATAATTTCTTTACACATGAAAGGTGAGGGCTACAAGAAGATCAGCAAAGCTTTATTTATCAGTCAGAATACTGTAGCAAAAGTGATATAAAAATTTAACAAAGATGGCCGTCCATGGAAGTTAACACGTCGACAGGAGTATCTTCTGATGAGAAGGGTAGAAGAAAATCGCCATGCAAGTTCACTGCAGTTAGCTAAAAGAAGTAGAATGCCAAACTGGGGTGATTGATTCCCATGACACAATACGGCATACATTGCAGATGAATGGCATGCATTGGTGTAGTCCACGAAGGAAGCCTCTCCTAAAGCCCATGCACAAAAAAAACCCACATAGAATTTGCCATGGCCAATGTTGAAAAAGAAGAAGACTACTGGGACTCTGTACTCTGGAGAGATGAGACCAAGATAAATGTTTGTGGAACTGATGGCTTCAAAACTGTATGGCGTCGCAAACGTGAGGAGTACAAAGAAAAATGCATGGTGCCTACAGTGAAACATGGTGGTGGCAGTGTCCTTCTGTGGGGCTGCATGAGTGCTGCTGGTGTCAGGGAGCTGCATTTCATTGATGGCATCATGAATTCACAGATGTACTGCTCTATATTGAAAGAGAAGATGCTACCATCACTCTGTGTCCTTGGTCGTTGTTCACTTTTCCAACATGACAATGATCCAAAACACACATCTAAGGCCAGTGTTGCATTTCTGAAGAACAGGGTGAAAGTGATTTGGTGGCCTAGTATGTCCCCTAATCTAAACATCTATGGGGAATTCTGAAGAGACAAGTTGAACATCACTCTCCATCCTGCATCCAGGCTCTAAAAGAGATCGTTCTTGAATGGAAAAAGATAGATGTTGCAATATGTCGCCAACTTGCTCATTCCATGCCTAGAAGACTTGAAGATTTTGTAATCTAAGTTCTATTATTAACCTTACTTTCATGTAATGAGCTAAACAAATGTACTATAAAAAACTCAGTTTTGTCAAAATGTTAGAAATTATTCTTATGTTCATTGAGATATTGATTAAAATCTTACTTTTCAAAAGGGGTGTACTCATTTATGCTGAGCACTGTGTGTGTGTATATATATATATATATATATATATATATATATATATATACTGTATATACACACACACAAACAGCCAGCAAAATTTATTACATACACAGGTTCAGCTTCCTAATTTGTGATGCTAAATAGTGGTTGTCATCACAATAGGAGTCTGTCAGTTGTCGGGCACATTGAAAATGATACACTCCCTGTGTGACTGTTGTGAAACGGAGACAGTAACATTCCTTTGTACACTCTTTGAATAATTTACACATTTCTATATTTAATAAAATAACACAATATTGTTAAAATGTAGAAAAGTACATTTCGGTAAATATAATCACTGCTCACTGAAAGCATACCTTTAACAGAATTTTTCCCACTTGCAAAGTAACATGGACTGTTTGTGTTTTCTCTAGGTGTTTGTTAATTTTGCCAAGGACCAAAGTGACGATGATCATTTGAAGGACTTGTCATTGCACAAAAACCAGACTGTTGTAGATATGTCTGTCCTGTCATCATTTCTTCAGGATGAGAAGGTTAAAGAAAGCTACGTGTGACAAGTCAAACTGGATGAGCACAGAGGATTTTTATGAAAGACCTCCCTTGGCCACGGCATGGAAAGTGAATTGAAAGAGATCAGGTCACTAAGACCTGAGCAGGGAGGGAGGCATCATAAACTGGACTACAGAGCTACCACTCAATGCAATGCAAATCAATGCAATGACAGACACAATTCCAGAACAGAGGCAGTGCCTCTTGTGTTGCCTTGTTGTACTGTACAAGTAGAAGACTTGAACTTAGAGGCCAACAGTATGACAATGTGAATCTGTAATGTTGCACCCACTGGATCCTGCCCAAAAGTGGGGTTGATACAACAGCTACAGTGTACATTTTTATGTCTATAATATTCTGTTCCAGGATTGCAACAATCTTACCACTGACAAATCTTGACCAGTTACTATTTATTAATGTATAGGGCTTTGATATGTGTCAGGAAAACCAAACTTGGTTTGTTCAGAAGGACTAGCTTTAATATTCAGGATGTTTATGGGCTTCAGGCAATGTGTTGTCACCACTGAGGCTACCCTGTGTATTTTTTGTATTTGCTTTGTAGCACAGTCCCCAATTTTGCAGTGACTCCTACTAGAGAAGCTATTATCAGCATTTCAGATCAGGCCAGTGTGAAATCGTAATATAAAGGCAGACTGCATCCAGTATTTGTAATTTATTTAAATTATCTAGAGTTTACTATATTCTCAATAATAAATGTTAGTAAATCAGAAACATGAGCCACAACGTATCGTGTGTGGATGCAGACTACAATATAGTACCTTTTCTTATTTTTTTATACTGCTTTAGATCCTTGTTTTCTAAAGTTTTCTGTTCTGTAGCATTGTTACAGGTGTCTTTTTTTTTGTTATTTTGGCATTTTACTAATGTCTTTAGAGGTTTTTTTTATTTTAGAATCTCAAGTAATATATTTTGTTTTATTTTGATCATGACTAAAAGTTTACTTTAGGATATTTGTGATCACATGCATTTACCTGCATGAGACATGTTCTTCCTTTTATAAAAACCAATTGCACTCCTCTTGGTACTCCAGTGCATTTCCATCAACAAGCCAAGCATTTGAAATAATAGTCTTTCCATGTGTGAGGCTTAGATATGAGTGCTGTAAGGAAGGTAATCTTAGTTTCCAAAGTATACATCTCAGCCACAATCATTGTAAATTACCCTGGCTATGTTCTTGATGGATTGTGTTCCGTTTTGTCTGTGTGCTACAAATTGTCATATTTCACCCTAAGGAAATCTGTATTGACAGTGAAATAGTTAGCATGTACATTGGATTATATAAAAGGGCAATGTATAGAGCAATTAAGTTTTGGGCAAGATGCAGTAACTGTGTAGCCAGTCAGAATTTCGTTTTCTGTGGTCACATTGGTGAAAGATGAATTCTGAATGATTGCTGTGTTACATCACTTCACTTATTTGCCTTAAACTAGGACTAATTTAAAATCTGAGCCTACTTTGAACAATTAGGGAGGTATTAGGGTGGGTGGTTTGGTAAAATAGATGAGCCCTTGTGATGTGTTTTGTGTCACATGACCTGGTGCTTTGACAGCCATAAACAGGGACGATGACATCAAGGGAGTGTTCAGTAAAGAGAATGAAGGCCCTGGTGATATCATTGCCCACAATGCACATTCTGATGCCCTAATCACCCACCCTCAACTTCCAAAATGCCTCACTAATTGTTATTTTGAGTTTTAGGTAAGGCCTTGCGTACTGCTAATACATGCCTATGTGTAAGCCAACCTTCAGATCAATGCAGGACTCCATTCATAACATTATAGTGTTTTTTGTTAATGTTACAGTCTACACACAAGCAGAAATGTCTCATTTTCAGTCACCATGTTGTCTTTGTTAATCTTGCAGTGTTTAGTGCAGATCTGCGCAGTTTATTTGATCAGTGTAAAAGGATAACTATTCTAGGGAAAAAAAATCCTATTGACTCCATATGCCCCATCATAGACCACCAGTAAATCACCCTTCTAGAAATGCCATGGCCTACCTGGCGCAGGGGTGATGAGTTATCTTTTGGGGTGGCAATATATATGGGGGAAATCTGTTCAAATTTAAAGGATTAGACCCCCAACAAAGCTATCTTCATATGACATGTTCACCCACTATGGAGCGCATGTACGCAATCTTCCCGTTACTGTTTCACAATCAATTCTGGGTTATCTCTGTTCATGTCTGCTTTTGCAGAAGAAGTGATTAGACATCAGCTGAACTTTCCAAGCAGCCAGATTCTTGCTTCATACAAGTGGAGCCGCTATTGAGACAATCTCAATTTATTTGTGGCAACCGTTAATTTTGGTTTGGATGGACAATATTACCTCACTAGCAACTGAGCTAGGTGGAAATAAGAATGAAGGTGACACTGGCAGGTTATTGTCACCCAGGTTAACAGCCAACAGGCAACTTTGGAAGGAAAGCCATTTGGTTTTGCTTTTATTGTCAAGAATCCTTCCTAGAAGTTAGGAACCAGAACAAGTTTAATGTACTTATCAATGCAATTGTTATTTTCTTTAACTCAGTCTATGCAAGAAGCATTAAAATGCCCTGCACCTTATGTTTCACAGGGAAAGTTTAATTTTATTGTTCTTTATTGCCTTACCAGTTACCAATATTGCTGGATGATAAGGACAGGTCATCAAGATTTCTGAAATAATTAGTGGCAATTTTCATGTGCCTAAATTATGCCAAGGGTGCAGTGCCAAGTTATCAATATTTCTACCATAATGATCTACTGTAACAGAATATTGATAATGTATTGTTACACTCATATTAGTGCCACGCTTGAACCATGCAGACACCGGTTGTGTGTGGATACATCATCAGGGAACAACATTCAGGTAAAAGCAGAACTTCAGACAATAGTGTGTGCGTCCACATCATGTGTCCCCTTCCTGCCTTCAGCCCACTCAATTCTACACTCTCAGTCTGATTAAGGCTCGGTTCACTGCACCTTGAAAGTTGTGAGACTTCACATTGCAACTTACTTGCGACTTCAGTGTCATGCAACTTTGACTTTGGTTAAAAACCCTTTGAAGTGGGATACTGCTGCATCATAGTTGCATAGATCAAGACAATCCTTGTGACTTTTGTGATTTTAACATTGCAGCCTATGACATTGAAGTAACACCATAGCCTCAGAAAAGCAGTTCAGGAACTTCATTTTAAAGCGCATTGATTAATACAGCATCCATTATAATGAATGTTTTGACTTTTCATGCAACTTGATGTGTCACAAGTCACGTGATAAGTCAGTGTGAACCAGGGCTAAGGCTACTTTCACAAGGCTGAAAAGGTGCGGATAGTTTGCTGCACTCTGGATGCAGCAAAATTTTGTCATACAAATTGGGTAATTAGTTGCGCCAAGAACTCCACAGAAATGCTGTCCCCTGGACGCACACTATCGGTGTCCAGGATCAGTCCAAAGCTCTATTCACGTGTAGCCACTGGGATGAATGATACTAGAGAACAGCAGAGCACAAATCTGACAGCTGCTGGGGGTGGCACACACAGTGTTCAGGCAGCATTTAGTACTACCTGCCACATGAATGTAGTTTTATCGTCGTCTGCAGGAGGAGATGAATGATATAATCTAGAAATTAGTATTAAACATCCATGTTCTAAGGCCTCTTGCACACGGTACTGATGTTTGAGCATCTGCTTTTTTGGACGTAATTTCAGACATTTGTTTTGCGCGTATTCACACACAGTATATTCTTAGGGAAAATTCATTAATATTTATGCTTGTATGCGGCGGAAATTACTGACCAAAAGTGCACATTTTCCTATGGTTTTTCTTTTTTTTTTACTGAAGAATACATTTCGCTTCTTTACGCGCCTGTGTGCAAAGGCACATTGTACATAATAGGCAATATTTTACACTCAGTAAAAAAAAGCTTTTTCAAGCTGCAGTGTGCAAGAGGCCTAAAGGTCAGGCTTTTATATTTGTCTGGAGTTCTGCTTTATGATTTCTTCCCGACAAACGCATCAATGATGTTATACCACACCTAGGTTTGCCATTTGCTGACCACACAATGACCCCAATTTATTAAAGGAATTGAGCGTGTTCACTTTGCAGAGTGATTTTTCATTTAGCTTAGGGAATGTAGTTAAAACCTGCTGACTTCTATCAGCCAATTGTGCAAATAAGAATCCTGTTTTTTTTTTCCCCTTGAATGTAATTGGCTACTCTTTACAAAGGGTACACGTTGACTAGTTGACTAAGCGAAGTGAAAATTTATTCTGCAGACTTAACATGCTTTACTCCTTTAGTAGGTCTGCCACAGTGAATGGTAGGCTAAACGCACAATTCTTACATTTTTATTGTTTAGGACGCTTATGTAAATCTGGTCACCGTTTGACCCCTATTCATTGTATAGTCATCATGGGATAGCTGTGGCAATGTGTATGTCTGTCTTAGGGTCAAATAAGTCTCCAGCTTTTTTTGTCCAATATATCTTGGTGGGTATTCACAACGCTTAAACTGGCTCATTGTGTAAAATAACTCTCTTTCCTACTAAGCCAAAAGTAAAAGATCAGTCAGACTTCATATGCCACTAAGTCCATTTTTTCCTGTGTGTGTAAAATAAGTGGTCTGGGAGCTTTTCCTGCTTATGGAACGTGGCTCCCATTCATAAACATTTCTTCTACGTGATGTGATGTTTGCATACGTTGTTTCACTATTTGGTCCTTCATTCCAAGCACTTTAAGCTGTCTTTAATGGGATCTATTTTTGCACTGGAATACCCATTACTGTTGCATAAAACAGACAGAAAAGAAAAAAAAAAATGTTTTACAGTATATTAGATTATAAGTTTAATACTTCTGTTGAAATTTCCATTACTGAAAAAAAACAAAAAAAAAAAAATTTGTATTGTTATTAACTGTTTAAGTATTAAAATTTGTTTAGATATAGATATGTTAATTGCCTTGTATTAAGTCACAAAGTCAAATAATAAAAAAAAAAAAATCTGTGACATTATTGATTTCTTATTTAATACACATCATTTGATAAAAGAGATTGAGTTTCTATATGGAGCTAAATAGATTTAAAATATTCTTCTCTGAATCTTATAAAATATGGTACCCCTGTACCAGATCTGTGTGTAGGCAATTGTAGCAGAAGTGGAAGCGGGTACCTGCCCAAACTAGGTACCCGATCCCCCCAGAAAATATAATGTGCCAAAAATGTTAGAGAAGGGAGGGAGGTGGAGATAAAATGGAACTTCCCTTTTAGGATGAAGTTCTGCTTCAAGTACTATGATGGTGTGCTCTATCTTTGGATTTATTAGGGTGCAACTATCTAATATAGCCATACCAGTAGATGAATCCTGTGGTTGCAGAAAGATACTGCCAAGCTACAGTTTTGTTTTTTTTACATGTATTAGCTGTGACCTGACGAGGTACATTCATGCACAGAACTGGCATAGTTATGCATGCTCCAAGAACATTGGAAGTTTTAAGTTTGATAAAGAATAAGGTTTTTTGCACTTTAAGGCCAGATACACACTTTTGTGATGCATTGTAGCAGAATTTGTTTTTAATAGACTGCCAATGCAACACAGGACTTTTTAGTGTACTTGCATGTTTTTTTATTTATTTATTTCAGGTACTTACATAGCGCCGTCAATGTACGCAGCGCTTTACATACATAATATACATTCACATCAGTCCCTAACCCTCAAGGGGTGTACAATCTAAGGTCCCTAACTCACATTCATACATACACATACTAGGGACAATTTAGACAGGATCCAATTCACCTACCAGCATATCTTTGGAGTGTGGGAGGAAACCGGAGTACCTGGAGGAAACCCACGCAGGCACAGGGAGAACAGGCAAACTCCAGGCAGGAGGTGCCGTGGCTGAGATTCGAACCAACAACCCTAATACTGCCAGGCGGATGTGCTAACCATTTAGCCACTGTGTTTCCCCTTTTTCAGCACACCACAATGCACAATTGGTTCACATTGTGCAATACAAGGCAGGTCCATTATGCACTGGGAGGCCTTTAAAAATGAATTGTACCACAGCACAGTTATTGGGTTAGGATGCATTGCGGTATAGTGTGATTAACCATGTGTAACCACAATGCCAAAACATTAATCCAGCCTAAGTTTTGGTAACCCTAAAGGTTATAAAGTGAATAATCATCCCAGTCTTTCACAAGGAAAGATCCCGCTCCAAAAACATAGAAACATCTTCCAAGAGACCTTAATCACAGATGTTATGATAAAGAACCTTTATTTATTAGAGTGGTGTTAAACTACAATATTTAAAATTTTTGGGTTTATCAATCATTCGATGTGGTGGCTGCATTCATGTTCTGTAGCTTTATTCACCTCTGTTTTAACTTGGCGATCTAGACAGTAACATGTCCACTCTGGATAAAGAAGCACAGGGGGCACGATTGCACGTAGCACTGTCAGTCTGAGGGGAGTGTTAGATGTACTAGCAGATTAAGGTACACTAACAGACTGAAGACAAACTCCAGCTAATACTTTATAGGCAGTAACAGCAAACGTTTTTTTTTTTTTTCTTTTTTGATAAAGGTTTTACATACATATATAAATAAATAAAACGGATCATTGTAAGCATTCCTGACAGTGTTAAATGGTTTGTCTAATCTCTGTAAATGAGACAGTCTACTGGAGAGAGCTTGTTCTTTTAAAAAAACAACAGACTTACTGGCTAGATCTCTAAATGAAAATAGAAGGAAAAAAAAAAACCTAAAAAAGGAAAACTAATATAGCCATCACATCTAAGAAATGGTAAGCTGCAATATAATAAAATGTTTGCCTTTTTGGTTTAATAGCGCTTTACGGTGTAATGAAACACTCATTACAGATTGTGCATACTCAGAGCCACCAAAGCATTCATTCTGTGTAGAGTGAAATATACCTGATTGATCCTGCCTTCAGCTGTCCCTCCCATCTTCTCTGTGTCCCCATTGCAGGCAGAGATTATGTAGACCAGCTGGTGAGCACATTCAATTTCTGTTCCGTTCTAAGCTGTTCATTTCCCCTTTTTAGTTATCTGTGCAGCCCATGTGGGTGTATGCACAGAGGTAAATTACACTCACTCTCCTCCATGTCCTCTTATTTCTAAAAACTATGGAGGCAGAATATAGTATGCTGATTGATTGCATTCACTAGGAAACTCACAAAAATATCACTTTAAAGGCAAGAAAGATAGATTACAAATTACACTGTTTGAACTAAAGTTATAAAGGCAGGAGGGTTACTTTACATAAGACCTCTTGCACATGCACGCCTGAGCCCATACAGTGAAAATTTTGGTTTAATTCCCCCACCTGAACAGTATTAAGAGAGTTTATGCAAGCATCAGTGTATGCCAAAATACATGCACAGCTTTTCATGTCTATGGGCAGCTGTACCCAGCACCTAGATTTTTCAGGCTCAGGAAATAGGACGGAATATACCTTGTAGGGGCTCAGGTACGTGTGTGAAGAAGGCACTTCTCATCACTGGCAGAGAGCACAACCACAGGCAATTGTGCCATAATGTGTAAGTATGCTGCGCATATTTGCATATTTTGACAATTGCTGCCCAGTCATCCCCAGTTTGCTTCATTTTAAAGTGGACTTTCAGGCAAAAAATGATAATCTCCTTTAGATTTTTATGATTAGAGACCTCAACTTTTGTATTATCCACTTTTTAGTTTTATATGGCTTATTAGGAAATAAAAAAACATTATTTAAACAAACCATTCAGGAGCCCTTCTCTCTCAGACTGACAATGACCGATTTGTGCAGCTGAATGTGTTGGTCCCTCTTCTTCCCAGCCAGCCATCTCCACTTTGCCCTACTCAGTCCTGCCTTCCAATTTTCCTTCTTATGATGCATGCATGTCACATGCTCTCTCAGGAATGGCAGTGCCAGAAGAGAATGGACACAACCACCAGCCGCTCTGTGGTTGCCAATGCATGGGGATTGCAGTCATGTGACGGGGAGAAATACTAAGTAAGCTTTTGGGACGTAATACTAAGTAAGCTTTTGGGGCATACAAGGAAAATGTATTGTTTGTTTATGATTGCAGTGGCTTGTTGAAGGCATGAAAGGGTTTGCAACCACTTTAAATCATCTACTAGTTTCTCATGGCTATCTGGGACTTCACTGATTAGATGTTTGCACACACCTGTTATGGACATGATGCAAGAGTCCTAAGCCAGCCGGCCGGCCATACATCAGTTGAATGCCAAAATAATTTTTTGTTGAAAATATTTTCTAAGAATTTTCGTTCAAATTTGGCACCATTAGTGGGCCACAGCAACGTCCAATTTTCGAGCAACCACCAAATTTGAGTGATCGGGCATGTTGGAAATTTTTGAAAAACGAAAGCATTTCTAATCAATAACGGAGAATTGTGCGAGAAAAGAAATCGAAAAAGAAACAAAGCATGAACTGTGACCTGGAAAAAAAAGGAGAATTCTTGGCTACGAAAATCCTTTTCTGTAGCAACACGAGGTGAAACTGAAGGCTTGGTTGGTTGAATTTCGAAATCAATGGTGGCACCATCGGATTACAAAACACACAAAATTTCTAAAGAAAATTTGTTCAGAATTTGACCCATGTACGGCCTGCACTACTCTGCTTGTTGAGACTGTCACTTATTTTAGATTACAAAAATAAAACTGGAGAAGCTAATACACCCACAACACCTAGGCGAATAGAAAGATCCAACAATCCTGTAATTCCACTGATGACACTACTGGATTTGTTAGCCCACCAGATTTTTTGGCATCAAGTTTATCAGTTTGATACCAATTAAAGAAAATCGCAAAACATATTAAAAATTAGTACATTTATTATATACAACAGTTCAGTTACAGAAATGTTCTTTTATCAGACACAGATTTAAATGTTCAAATTAGTTTAATAAAAGCACAAAGTGATTGACATGTCCATCATAGCTGTGCGATTTAAATTTGTATCATAATTAACTATAGTTATTTAAATGGTGAAAATGGTGAAGGAATCAGGAGTACATTTCTCTGTGAGTCAAGAAATCTCACACTCTCTCTCACTGTAGAAGAAAAAAAAATAAATAAAAAGACACATAAAAGCACAGAATTGAATCATATTTCTGTTAAACAGCACAGAGACATTTGACAGTGGAAGGTTAAAGTGAACCTGTGCTTTGTCCTTGGCACGGAAAAACAACAGGTTCATTCTACTGCTAACCCCACAAGCGGCTTCTGCTTACCTTCCCTTTTGCTAGTCAGCAGTTGGAGTGAAGAGAGTGAGCCCTGTGTAAATGTACTCACCTCCATATGACTGTGTTGGGTGCCAGTTAGCAAGTACAAGCACTTTGTGTGACGAAATGGACAGCAAGTCCCATGCCTCCCTACACCTGAGAGTATGGGGTATTTATTTTTTGCTCCAGTAGCAGAAGAGAGTGCTGGGGGAGCAAAGGAAAGGAATGTATGTGCTCCTGATGGAGCCATTCTTAAAATGATCCTGTTTTGCCCTAGAAAATGTTATATTTTCTTTTTCCAAGTCAGATTCTATTCAGATCTGTGCATTATGATGACACTTGTAAAATGCAATTTACTGCAAATGCACCACAGGTTGTTGCGTTTTGAATGGCATCACAACACACTAGTACGAGGAACCTCTGTTGCAGCGAACTACAAGCACGGGAATGCACGTCTGTGCACTGTGGTGTATTGCGCGGGAAAAAATTGTGTGGGTCTCTGTTTTTTCGTGCGGTTGTGCGTTGCCAGCACATATAAATGAATGGGTGCCTTAAAACAATGCACATTAACATAGGAGTACCTGTATTGTATTATATACTCCAGTGCAGCTGGACAGTGCACTGAGCAATACTAACATTTAGGGCAGTATGCTTCCAGGGGAAGAATACTCATAGTGCAGACAGCTTGCATTCCAGGCAATCGTTTCTGGGCTTACTGCCCTAGACGTCAGTATCACTCAGCACACCGTCCAGCTGCAGCAGCTGTCAGCCTCAAATAGATTTTTACAAGCTGCTGACCGCAGGGTTAAATGGTGTGCCTGTCCCTTCCACCCGTGTCTAAACGCCTGAGCCTTGTGCACGGTGCTAAACGCCCGGTGTGTATGAGAATTTATACTTTTAGATCAAGCAGTGGCACTGTAGTGAGTTTTTTTTAATAACCAGTACTACAAATAAAAGAGGGAATGAAATAGGTAAAAAAAAAAAAAACGCAAAAACAAAACATTCAAACAATAAATGGATAATAGCAAAGTAGAGAAAAAGGAGAAAAAGTGTTAAAGCAAACCTAGCAGTGAAATACAAGTTCCTCTTGGATTTCCTGGACCCCTCAACCATTACAAATCAGGTACTGTAAGCAGGTATAAAATGCAGGAGAGGGAGCATGGACAGTGTAAGCAAACATTGCATTCTGCTGCAAGCTCCGCTTTAATAAGGGTAAGGAAGAAAAACTATTTTTTTCTCCACTTGCAGGTTTCCTGAAGCTAAATAGAATGTAAAAAATAGTTACAATATAATGGAATGTCCCTGATAGCTGCAGCTAACTAAAATGTATAAGTCCTTCTACATTATAGAAGTGGAAAGTTCTCCTGGCTAATTGTGCAGACGGTAATGTCACGAAAAGCCAAATTGTCTATGTGACATCGTTTTAAAGCTTCATGCACAAGGATGTCTGAGGCCACACACAATGTAAAATTGGGTGCATTGCTGTGCCTGAGAAGTCCAGGTGCTGCCCACAAGCCCACCAAAAAAAAAAAAAAAAAAAAAATATTCCATATGGGTACAGAGTTTCACAGCCGCTCATTCAAAGTGCAACAGTGCTGAAAGCTGAAAAATTGGCCTTGGCACGAAGAGGGGTGAAAGTGCCCAGTATTGAAGTGGTTAATGCTTTTTCTGTTCCCCCTAGAAAAAGATGAGCATTTAACATTTGCAGTGCAGGGGAAACCCAATACAAGGGCGATTTTGTTCTTCTTTTGACTGGTTCAGGTTCAAATAAGAATGCAGTAGGCATAAGCAGGCTTTAGCACGCTAAAAGCAGTTCAAATAAGCCCTTAACAGGCTTTAGTTCAAGCTGTATATAAGTAGGTGTCTGTTTTTGGTGAACCTATGCTTTAAATACACTGGTCCTTAGAAGGTTACCAAAATGTGAGACTGGAGTAAAAAAGCAGATTACAACCAGCTGGATATAAATTTCTAATGGTATTTTTGTACATCACTGGAAATATGGATATAGAGTAACTTCAACTGACATTTTACATAATACATATGTCTTCAGAAGCCCTGCATGTTATCAGGGGTTTTGAAGCCACTGGGAGATTTTCAATTAAACTGGAAATCCCTTTTAAAATATGAACCGTTTATAGACGTCTCCATTGCTAGATACAGCCAAATAAACATTGATAAAGTGCATAAAAATATAAATATTAAAGCTTTTACCTGCAGCAACCACCCTGGCATCCTCATGAGCCAAATGCCTTCCTGCAGCTCGGCTGTCAGCATTCTCATTCCACCACAGGACATGGACTGTGCAAACACAAGAATTAGCAAAAGAGAAATATATAGTATTGGGAAAAATCATTGACAAAAGGGACACACTGCTTTATAATCATGATGCCTTACCTTGGTTGAGTAATCCATATTCAGTGTTGAAAATGCCAACAAGTTTTGCGTAGGCATTGTGAACATGAGTAGAGATGGCAGCTTTAAATGCCTCACCCCAGACAGCTGGTCCACCAGGCTTAAACTGATAAGAAACCAATTCATAAACACCTAGCACAAAGAATAGATTTTACAATTATAATAAGCAGGGTGCTGATGTGCCGGGCACGGAGCGTTTATTACATACTACATGATGTGCTAGACACTGACTGGCAGAGGAATTACTGCACATAAAGCAGAAGACAAGGTGCAAAAGAGGTTAAAGCACATACACGGAGTATTGAATGCTGATGAGATAAAGAACATGGGCTGGGTACTGAGCACTGCAGGATAAATACATATGTGGGATCGGGAGCCCAGGAGATAATTCTTATGGGCTGAAAACTGGGCGTTAATGGATATCATATATGCAGTGAGGAATGAGTGATGGGGGTTTAACCCTTTAACTGTTATGGTCACATTAGCAGATCTGCGGCAGCACCAGGGTGGATAAAAATCAATAAAAAAAAAAAAAAAAAAAAAAAAAAAAAAAAAAAAAAAAATCGGATTTTTTTTTATTTAAAATCGGATTTTTTTTTTTATTTAAAATCGGATTTTTTTTTTATTTAAAATCGGAATTTTTTTTTATTTAAAATCGGATTTTTTTTTTTTTATTTAAAATCGGATTTTTTTTTTATTTAAAATCGGATTTTTTTTTATTTAAAATCGGATTTTTTTTTATTTAAAATCGGATATTTTTTTTATTTAAAATCGGATATTTTTTTTATTTAAAATCGGATTTTTTTTATTTAAAATCGGATTTTTTTTATTTAAAATCGGATTTTTTTTATTTAAAATCGGATTTTTTTTTTATTTAAAATCGGATTTTTTTAAAATAAAATGCTTTTTAAGGAAAATATATTACTATCCAAAGGTTATTCCATCATGAAAAAAAGATTAGTTTTTTAATTATGTAGAATAAGGCTGTATATGTTTAATTTTTTTGGTAAATAAATTCCATGAATCCATTCACAATGTCATGCTCTTCCAGAGGTTTTTGTAAGATTATTGGGCAGTTTCTCTGCCTACAAGATATTATCACAGATGCTTGGTTTACTTTTGCAGTTCTCAAAACTGAATTTGACTCAGCGGAGATCACATGCCTCTTCTTCACAGCAAAAATGTTATAACATGAACAGAGTTAAGAAAAAGACCTTAATCCTAACTTCTACAAACCTATGAATACAGAATCAACCCCTTCAGTGCTAAGTTTCAAGAAGTTTAGTGAATAGAATAGAAACAATATTTTTCTGATTGTTTGGAGTGGAATAGATCTGCACAAGAAGAAAGTGAAACTAAGTGTGAGGAGGAAGGGGCTGACAGTCTAAGTTTCTTAAAATATATATATTTTGTTTAGCCAAATTAGTTAACAAACATGGATGTTTGTTTAAGCAAATAACATATGCTGGAATGTTATTGTTTCAGTTGAATAAATCTATTTAAATTGTTATTATTAAAGGTAATGATTATTTTTCTCCTTCCTAAGTACAACAGAAAAGTTGTCCAAATATGAATGATTAACCTATTAAACTGGGGATAAAAAAAACTAATATGAAAAGTTGTTATTCTAAAAATCTTCATCTACTTGCATATTAAAGTTATACCAGCAAGAATTAGTCTTTATGTAGAAAAAACTAGGATTTAAATCAAGCCTTACTGACTAGTGATTTAAATCAGTTTTTGTCACTTCTGGTTTTAGTGCTGGCCTCACACTATGCCTGCATCTGAATTGCACAGAAATGTGCGGTGCATTCCTGTGCGATTTGAATGCAGTTCGGTGCAGTGCAATTTTGGCCCATAACATTTTTGAATTGTCTGAAATTGAACCGCACCAGACCGAAAGTAGTGCATGTACTATTTTTTAAAATGCACTGCAACCCGATCACATGGTACAGCGTTTGCAACCTGCGTTTGGGGAGTGAACGTTTTATTGACACCCACTTCAGATAGCAAATGTAGTGCGCGCTTTGAATAACACAGGAACGCACAGCACGTTCTTGTGCAATTTAGATGCGGGCATGGTGTGAACCTGCCCTTACAGCTGTCATTCTTCAGTTCCTGTGGCCAGGAAAGGCACACATTGAGCAAAATCTTTATCTTTAATGGGGTGCAAAGGTAACATTAGGGGTCTAATAGCTTCCTGATGTCTCCTTAAAATATATGTAAACCCTCACCTTGTAAAACAACCCATTCAGTTTAAAATAGAAATACAAGGCAAAAACATTTGTGGATCGATATAAAACATTATATATGCATCTTCTTTCCTAAGTGAACACATACCCTCTGTTCTCATTTGCGTAAAGTGCTCAGAGACCTGGGGGAGGAGAAACACCAGTATGCTATTCTTCCCGGGGGTGGGGGGAGGGAGGAGGGGTACAGAGCTGACTACACTGTGCTCTCCTGCCAAGTGTAGTCAGTATTAATAGGAAAGCAGAGGGACTGGCAGAAGCAATACAAAGAGAAAAGGATACTTTTTCAGCATTGTGAGCCAAAATCTGTTACCTGTCAGCCAATAGTGGACCACCTGATTTTAAATAAACTCTGGAAGACTATGTATGGACTCCAGTGTTGACTTATTTGAGCATTGTAAGGATATGTGCCCCTGATTCAGCACATCAGATTGTCCTAAACAAGGGTTGGGTAGAATCATGCTAACCAGCACTCACCTTCCTTCTCTGGCTTCTGCAATTTACACCAGGGTACCAAGTAAGCAACCTCAATGTCTTGCTTTTCGATCATGGGCAGTACTTTGCATATGTATTTTTCTTGCCACTCTTTGTCTTGAGGTAGCTTGGACCGTACTGCTGACCGATGTGTAAAGCTGTCTACGAAAAAGTATATGCAACACAATAAAAAAACACATGTGCATCCACGTGAGAGCTAACAAACTCATTGACTATTTATACACAGACACTAACTTCAATTTAAAAAGCCACAAATTAACATTTAACTGCCATTTTAACCTACAGTTGCAAGAAAAAGTATGTGAACCCCTTGGGATTACGTGGAGTTTTGCATGAATTGGGCATAAAATGTGCTCTGAACATCACCTAAGTCACAACAATAGAAGAACACAGTCTGCTGAACATAATACTACACAAACATTACATGTTGCCATGGTTTAATTGCACATAACATGTAAACATTCACAGTGCAGGGAGGAAAAAGTATGTGAGGCCCTAGCTTAATGACTTCTCCTAGAGCTAATTGGAGCCAGGAGTGAGCTAACCTTGACCCAGTCAGTGTGATGATATTGGATGCGTTGCTGACAGCTGTCCTGCCCTTAAAAAACACACACCTGTTTTGGGTTTACTGGTTTCAAGAAGCACTGTCTGATGTGAACCATGCCTCGCAGAAAAGAGCTCTCAGAAGACCTACAATCAAGAATTGTGGACTTGCATGAAGCTGGAAAGGGTTACAAAAGTATCTCCAAAATCCTTGATGTTCATGTGTCCACGGTAAGACAGACTGTCTACAAATGGAGAAAGTTTAGCACTGTGGCTACTCTCCCTAGGTGTGGTCGTCCTGTAAAAATGACTACAAGAGCACAGCGCAGAATGCTGCATGAGGTAAAGAAGAATCCCAGAGTGTCAGCTAAAGACCTACAGAAATCTCTGGCACATGCTAACATTTTTGTTGACACATCTACAATAAGAAAAACATTAAACAAGAATGGAGTACATGGGAGGACACCACGGAGGAAGCCATTGCTGTCCAAAAAGAATATTGCAGCACGTTTGAAGTTTGCAAAAGAGCACCTGGATGTTCCACAGCACTACTGGCAAAATATACTGTGGACAGATGAAACCAAGATTGAGTTTTTTGGGAAGAACACACAACACTATGTGTGGAGAAAAAAAGGCACAGCACACCAACATCAAAACCTCATCCCCACTGTAAAACATGGCGGAGGGACATCATGGTTTGGGGCTGCTTTGCTGCCTCAGGGCCTGGACGGATTGTTGTCATTGATGGGAAAATTAATTCCAGAGTTTATCAAGACATTTTGCAGGAAAACGTACGACCATCTGTCCGCCAACTGAAGCTCCGCAGAGGATGGGTAATGCAACAGGACAATGACCCAAAGCATACAAGTAATTCAACAAAACAATGGCTGCACAGCACAGAATACGCCTTCTGGAGTGGCCCAGTCAGAGTCCTGACCTCAACCCGATTGAAATGCTGTGGCATGACCTTAAGGGAGCGATTCACACCAGACATCCCAAGAATATTGCTACACTGAAACAGTTTTGTGAAGAGGAGTGGTCCAAAATTACTCCAGATCGTTGTGCAGGTCTGATCTGCAACTAAAGGAAACGTTTGGTTGAGGTTATTGCTGCCAAAGGAGGGTCAACCAGTTATTAAGTCCAAAGGTTCACATACTTTTTCCTCCCTGCACTGTGAATGTTTGCATGTTAGGTGCAATTAAACCATGGCAACATCTAATGTTTGTGTAGTATTATGTTCAGCAGACTGTGTTCTTCTATTGTTGTGACTTAGATGACGTTCAGAGCACATTTTATGCCCAATTCATGCAAAACTCCACGTAATCCCAAGGGGTTCACATACTTTTTCTTGTAACTGTATGTGTGTCACCTTGTGTGTCTGGACCAAGGCCAAATATTCCAGGGTATGTAAACTTCTGATCAGGGGCCATTTGAGTAATACTGGTTATTATGATTTAAAAAGTAGCCAGACGAATAGGTCATAATAAATGGCTTCATATGATCACTATCCTTAACTAGTTGCCGACCGCAGATAGCCGAATGACGGCTGCACTGCGGCCGGCCAGTTCTGAGTGGACGTCATATGACGGCCTCCCAGAACGCGCTCTCCTGCGCGCCCCAGGGGCGCGCACCCGGCGATCTCCGTGATCGCTGTGTCCTACGGACACAGCTGATCACGTGATGTGGTAAAAGGCCAATCACAGCGGCCTTTTACCACGTGATCAGCGGTGTCCAATGACACGCTGATCAGAGGGAAATACAAGTGCCGGTTCTCGGCTGCACTTTCCTCACGCTGTCAGATCGTGAGGAAAGTACTGCCGAGAACCGGCAGTTGTCAGAGCGGGGATCGGCGCCGATCATCAGAGCACTGATGATCAGTGCCCTGATGATCGGTGCCCAGCAGTGCCACCCGCAAGTTCCGCCCACCTGTGCCCAGCAGTGCGCCCACTAGCTCCGCCCACCTGTGCCCAGCAGTGCACCCACCTGTGCCACTCTGCAGTACCACCCACCTGTGCCACTCTGCAGTGCCACCCAGCAGTGCCACCCACCAGTGCTGCCAGTCTGTCCCACCAGTCAGTGCCCAGCAGTGATGCCAGTCAGTGCCGTCTATCAGTACCCATCATCAGTGTCACCTATCAGTGCCGCCTATCAGTGCTGCATATTAGTGCCGCCTATCCGTGACACCTCACTAGTGCTGTCTATCAGTGCCGCCTATCAGTGCTGCATATTAGTGCCGCCTATCCGTGACACCTCACTAGTGCTGTCTATCAGTGCCGCCTATCCGTGCCACCTCATTAGTACTGCCTATCAGTGCCCTTTAGTGCTGCCTATCAGTGCCCATCAGTGCCGCCTATCAGTGCCCATCAGTGCTACCTCATCAACGTACATCAGTGAAGGAGAAAAAAATACCTGTTTGAAAAATTTTATAATAGAAACAAAGAAACTTTTTTTTTTCAAATTTTTTGCACTTTTTTTTATTTATAGCACAAAAAGTAAAGCGCCCAGCGGCGATTAAATACCACCAAAAGAAAGCTCTATTTGTGAGAAAAAAATGATCAAAATTTCATATGGGTACAATGTTGCATGACCGCGCAATTGTCAATCAAAGTGCGGCAGCGCTGAAAGCTGAAAATTGGCCTGGTAAATAAGGGGGTATAAGTGCCTGGTAGGCAAGTGGTTAAATAAAAGACAGTTTTTATGCATGTCTTATATTCAATATCAATGCTAAAATTTCACAATTTCTGCCAAGGTATGAAAACTTTTGAGCACAACTGTATCTGCAGAGTATGCCACTTTCCCGGCCCTGCATATAAGGGACTATGGACAGCACATAGCCTGAAATGTATACCCTGCAAATGGTGTGTGTTCACCACCATGAAAAATATTTTAAACAGTAAGGCCATTCAAAATTGATACTTTAGTTTTTGGCAATTCCCATGAGTGAAATCAAACCTCAGTTCATCCCCTCGGGACTTGTTGAAATAATTGTGTTTGGGTTCCTGGATCTGCACATCTGGTCATATTTTCCCTTCTGCATTTGTTTACTAAAGTGGTTCTAAAGCCAAAAGGTTTTTTTACCTTAAAGTGTAATTAAGACTATGAAACACTCTCATTACATGCTATACAAGAGAGTGTGCATACTAACAAAGACACTAAAGTATTCATTTTGTGTAGAATGAAATATTGTCTCCCGTTATATTGTAAAGCGCTGAGCAAACCGTTGGCGCTACATAAACCCTGAATAATAATAATAATAATATAATAACAATGTCCTCCTATTGCTAAACACTATGGGGGCATGATCTAGTATGCCGATTAATCACATTCACTAGGAAACTCACAAAACAGCTTAGTTTTATTATAAAATCAATATCAAATCAAATGTACTTGCTAATTCTTGTAGAGCAAAAAGAGCCTTGGATGCAGATGCCATCTGAACAAAATGAAAGCTAGTGCCAATTATCTTTGCCTCTGCCTACACCATATTAATGAACAATATATTCAATAAAGATTTTTAAAGGAACTTTAAAACAGTTTTTTTTTTATTTTTATGTATTAATTTGAATTGTTCTTCTGAAATCCTGTAAAACCAATCAGGGCTGGCCAGACACAGAATCATACTGTAGTAATAGAAGCCCCTCCAAAGAATAATTTCCTGCAGATGCCAAAGAACAGGAAAAATCATGTAACCACACAACAGTGCTGCAGGAATAAGGTATTTAGTGGGTTTAAAAAACATGGCTCATGCATTACCTGCATTAAAAGGTATACAAAACTCCCACTAGTTGTTCCCCCACCCCTCTTCCCAAATACTTACCGGAGTCTTGAACCAAGGCAGTGCTGTGCCCATCTGAAGCAGGGCTGTTCACGCTCTCCCTCTCTCACTGGCTCAGAGACAGCAGTGGGAGCCACTGCCATCAATCAAATACTGTGGGAAGGGAGCTGGGGGTAGGGCCAAGATGTGCTGTGTTTCAATAGATGCATACAGCCCAGCTCGGGAGCATCCCCATAGGAAGCGGGTTCCTCTGGGGAGAAGGAGCAGACAGCACCCATGGGGGACCCCAGAAGAGGAGGTTTGGGGCAACTCTGTGCAATACCTTTGCACAAAAGCAGGTAAGTATAACATTTTTGTTTTTTTAAGCCTTCACAATCACTTCAACATTATACTATGGAGAATGTAACAGGAGCTGGGACATACAAAAAGGTAAGTGGAACAGCCAAAACTCCCAGCTGAACAGGAACAGTCAGGGTTTATAACAGGGAGATGCCATAGTATGGCTAGTTTCACAACTATGCCTTCTCATTACAATGCTTTTTTTAATGTATGATGCAATAGAATGCATTTTAGATGCAGTAACAGACCCAGTTACACTAGTCAACATGTTTTACAGTGCACATGGACACATTTGCATGGACTTCTATTGATTTCAACTGGCCACTCAGTGTGTGTAAACCTTCAGAGTACTAAAGGTAAAAAGATGGGTTCAGGTTCAAGCTGCCAGACAGGCAATTTATAGAAAACAGCTTTGTACAAAGAGCTGACGTAAGGATTATACTCAGCCTGCTAATCCATTCAATAAACCTAAAAAAAGACAGAATATTTACAAACTCTTTAGAATACTACACATGACAATAGCATAAAAGAAGCTATGTTAACATGAAGACCGAAAAGTAAACTGTGCACTGCAATGTGTGCACTCACTTTTTACAGGTTAAAAAAAAAAAAGTGCATTTATTTATAGCAGAACTAAACTTGCAATCAGCAGATCAGGGGTGCAATGCCAGGCTCCTGCAGACTCTGTGTCAACTATCTGCCCATACTTACCGTACAAGCAGACAGTTACTGAAGTCGAGGAAGCATCAATGAACTACGAGAGCACTAAGCTGCACCCTTACAATTCACTGGGTAGGGGGCGCACATGTGCTCCCTACCCACGTCGCCATTGGTGCCTCAGCATGTCAATCACTGGGTCCTGGCCACGAATTCTTGTCCAGGACTCGATGATCATCGGCGGAGCTGATAGGGGAGAGATCTGTAAACAGATCTCTCCCGTCAGCACGAGCACGCTGCTTCGTACTGCACAGCAGAGCAATACAAAGCAGCTTGTCTCCCTAGTAAATCACACACAGCACACTATGGAAAACACATACAACACACAGTTAACCCTTTGATCGCCCCAAAAGTTAGCCTCTTCCTGACCAGTGTCATTAGTACAATGACAGTGCTTTCAGTGGCAGTTAGTCAGTTTCCCCCCCCCCCCCCAGTGTCAGAATGCCTGCTGCAGTCCCGCAATAAGTCACTGATCACCGCCATTACCAGTTACCAGTAAAAAAAAAAAAAAAATTCCAGTATATATACACTGTCATTTGTAGACAGCTATAACTTTTACGTATACCAAATTAAATTACATGTATTGGGAATTTTTTTTTTTTTTTTTTTTAGCAAAAACATGTAGCAGAATATATTTTGGTCTAAATTTGACGAAATTTTTTTTTTTTTTTTTAATTTTTTTTACTGGAAATGTTTTATAGCATTAAGGTGAGCAGGAACTGGGTCACAAGTCAAGCATGGTGTTGATTACTGCTGGATGAGAACACAACATATATTGGATTGGACGGTTATTATCTGAAAAATATTTTTCTTGGACTGTCACTTTATGTTTCTAAAGCCTATGGTTCTATTTATGATGAGATAGCGCACCACATTTTTTTAATTTATTAATGGGTTTGTGGTGTATGTAAGCGTGTTCCTGGCAATCAAAGGGTTAAATGCGATGACTGCTGTAGTGGCAGGCTATGTGATGCTATCTGGGAAGGACGCCAGCTGATGCTAACGCTAGCTGAAGTCGCCTGTGACACTAATACAGTGATCAGTATAAAAAAAAAAAAAAAAATCTGTACACTGTACTAATGACACTGGTGACAGGGTAGTGAAGAGGTTAACTGGGGGGCGATCAGCAGGTTAAATGTGACCTAGCTGTGCTTTTACTGTAAAAAAAGTGTGCTGCTTTTACTCACATAGATCTTCTTTCTTCTCTCTCTGGAACGGAATGTGTCCCAGTGAGAGAAGATTGCATAATTTCCTGTGCCTGTGTTCTGTAAACACAGGTACAGAAAGATCTCCGATAGGGCAGTGATCAATCAGCAGATCCAGGCCGAACATCACTGGCCTGAATCTGTCGACTGATCGGTGCAGCACCGAATCATGGCACCACTGTTTCGGCGGGCACGTGCGCCTGCCCCCAACCCACGATTGCGCGGTACACACACATAATATTGCGCAGGGAGTCCGCCATGAGGCAGTAATCCTGCTATAGGGCGGAGTTAAAGTGGTCAAAAGAGAAATATGGCTTTTCTGTTTTGTTTTTTTTTTTAAATCATACTTACCTAGGTGGATGCAGCAATGGTCAGGTTCTGCATCTGTCCATGGGCTCTAAGAATGAGAACTCAGCGATCACACGACTGCTGATCACAGAGTTATCACAGCCTGTCAGTCACCGCTCTCTGCTCTGCCATCTTCTGTGCTCACTGGGCACACAATAAAATATTGAAAAGAATTATAAAAAGTTGGCAGAGGTTCTAGTTTTTCCTCTACTTCGCTAAAAATGTATTTTTGTGTTGCCATTGGAGTTTTTTTACCTTCATTACTAGTCTGGTGAAACCACTGTCACTGGTCCAGAAAGCGATGAGAAATTTCTTGCTTCCTCAGACAGTAGTGAAAACCATGCAGGGGTTCTAATCTCTCTGTACTCTGACCAAAAATTAAATATAAAAAATAAATAATGTTTTGGTTTGACATACACTTGAATAGTTCTCCAAAAATCAAAAACATAGGTCCTCTGCCTACGTCACAGCTGCCAGTGTAGGCAAGTTATGATAAATCCTAATGATGGATCTACTAGTAATATTGAAATGACATGCACAATTTAGGACAGGGCAATGCTTCCTCACTCCAGACAAAATGGAATTGTATTCTGCATTCTTTTACACAGAACAATGGCCAGGACACAAAACACACTTTATAGCCCAAGTAGGAAGACCAGCAGAGTGAACAAGATCTATAACTTGGAAAAAAAAAAAAATCTTTCCATTCTGAATCCACTTCACTTGGAACTTTTATGGTATCTTCAATAAACAAACCTCACTGTAAGACCAGTGCACATAGGACATCCTTCTGTTGCAGATTATATACATTTCACAGAGACTATAACAACTTCCTTACCATATTTCCATATATGAAGCACCTTATTCAGACCACCTAATTCATATGTCCAGTAGCCAATCATCTCTGAACGTGCCATGCGTATATGAAAGTTCTCATTTGTAAGCTTTGTGAATTCGGCCATCATTGAAGGCTTGATAGTGTAAGTGCGAAATTCATATAAAAGTGGTGTCATGTTGACGTGGGCCTGTTGCAAATGCTGCTTTAGCCTAAAAGGAGAAGAAGAATAAGCATTTCAAAGACACCTTTAGGACAGAAATACTGAATATCCCATAATATAAAAGACAAGAAGTTCTAAAAGCAGGACAACTTCAGCTTGTCATTGCTTTATACATGCACCCAAAGCAGTGCAAGGACTGCTTCAGATGCACCTATGAATCCCATATTGCAAAGGAAACTTTGTTTTCTTTTTTTAAAGTTTTATGTGAAACATACAGTTGTGTTCAAAATAAATAGTAGTGTGCTGAAAAAAGTGAATAAAGCTCAAAATCCTTCTAATAGCTATTTTTTTCCAGAAGCCCATTGCGTCTCACTCTTTGGACTGCACTTTTTTACAAGGAGTGATGCATATGGCTCCTCCTGTCAGGTTGCCTTTGTGTCCTTGGGACCTGAACTTGGTTTTGGAGGCTTTGCAAAAGCCATCATTTGAACCTATTGGACAGATTCCACTGTTGACTCATAAGGTGTTGTTTCACTTCTGAGGGAAGGGTGTTGGAGCTGGCAGCTCTACCTTGCAGAGAACCATTTCTGATTTTGCATCATGATAAGGTGGTGTTGCAACCTCATCCGTGCTTTTTACTAAAAGGTGCCTTCCGGTTTTCATCTCAATCAGGACATAGTTCTGCCTTCATTCTTTCCTAGGTCCCAGTCAGCAAGCGAAAGACCTCTGCATACCTTGGATGTGGTTCATGCTCTAAGAGTCTTCTGGAAGGTGACAGCACAGGTCAGGAGGTCAGATGCTCTATTTGTGCTGCCAGAGGGGCCTAGGAAGAGGCAGGCGGCATCCAAGGCGATTGATTCTCATTGGATCCACTAACTGATCACTCAAGTCTATGGTTTGAAAGGTAAAGTTTCACCCTTTCGGATGAAGGCATACTCCACCAGAAGTGTGGGGGCATCTTGAGCAATCAGGCGGCAGTGGCTTGGGTTTGCAAGGCCGCTGCATGGTCTTCAGTTCACATATTCACAAGATTCTACCAGGTGGATTTCAGAGCCACAGAGGATTCTGCCTTTGGCCGCAGTGTTTTACAGACAGCTGAGTAGGTCCTGAGGGATGGACGGTGGCTATTATGGTGTCACCCTTCCCTCAAATTTTTTATTGCTTTGGGACATCCCACATAGTCATGAATAGCATGCTCTGTATCCTGTGATGTACGATAAAGAAAATTGGATTTTTTCTACATACTTACCTTAAAACCTATTTCTTGGAGTACATCATGGGACACAGAGGTCCCTCCCCTCTTTCTGGAATGTCATTGCTTGCTACAAAACCTGAGGTACCGTATATACTCGAGTATAAGCCGACCCGAATATAAGCCGAGGTACCTAATTTTACCACAAAAAACTGGGAAAAACTATTGACTCGGGTATAAGCCGAGGGTGGGAACACCAGTGCGAAGAATTGTGCCTCATCATTGGTGTAAGTGGGAGGAATAGCGCCCCATCATTGGTGTCAGTGGGAGGAATAGCGCCCCATCATTGGTGTCAGTGGGAGGAATAGCGCCCCATCATTGGTGTCAGTGGGAGGAATAGTGCCCCATCATTCGTATCAGTGGGAGGAATAGCGCCCCATCATTGGTGTCAGTGGGAGGAATAGCGCCCCATCATTGGTGTCAGTGGGAGGAATAGCGCCCCATCATTGGTGTCAGTGGGAGGAATAGCGCCCCATCATTGGTGTCAGTGGGAGGAATAGCGCCCCATCATTGGTGTCAGTGGGAGGAATAGTGCCCCATCATTGGTGTCAGTGGCAGGAATAGTGTCCCAACATTGGTGGTCAGTGGCAGGAATAGTGCCCCATCATTGGTATCAGTGGGGGAATAGCACCCCATCATTGGTGTCAGTGGGAGGAATAGTGTCCCATCATTGGTGTCAGTGGGAGGAATAGTGCGCCCCATCATTGGTGTCAGTGGGAGGAATAGTGTCCCATCATTGGTGTCAGTGGGGGTGGAGGAATAGTGCCCCATCGTCAGTGGAATAGTCAGTGGGGGGGAGGAATAGTATCCCATGATTGGTGTCAGTGGGGGGTGGAACATTAGTGCTCCATGATTGGTGTCAGTGGGGGGGTGGAATAGTGCCCCATCATTGGTGTCAGTGGGGGGGAGGAAAAGTGCCCCATCGTTGGGGGGGGGTAGGAGGAATAGTGCCCAATCGTTGGTGTCAGTGGTGTCAGTGGGGGGGAGGAAAAGTGCCCCATCGTTGGTGTCAGTGGGAGGAATAATGCCCCATCATTGGTATCAGTGACACCAATGATGGGGCACTATTCCTCCCATTGACACTTGCTGACCCCTGTTCCAGTATGGTGCTGCTGCAGCCAGCATATGTGGTTGCAGCAGCACCTAAGCACGGCACACTTACCTGCATCTCCTTCACTCGATTTTCGCAGGGCCGCTCAGCTCAGCCTCCTCGCCGGTGATTGGCCGCCTGTGTGCCTTTCCTGAGCTACAGTTCTGGCGGCCAATCACCAGTGAGAAGGCGGAGCCGAGCAGCCGCGCGAACATCCAGTGGATGAACCGAATGCAGGAGCAGCCGCGCTTCCTGGACCGGATCGTCGTGGGACCGGAGCCAGGTAAGAGACAGCAGCCCCCTGCCCACCCCTGTACTTACCGTAGTTTCCCTTCTGTTGAAAGGGGGGGGGGAGCCATCTGCAGACGTTGACTCGAGTATAAGCCGAGGGGGCCGTTTTTTCAGCACAAAAAATGTGCTGAAAAACTCGGCTTATACTCGAGTATATACGGTACTTCCTGTATAGGAGGGGTTATATAGGGGAGGGCCTCATCTCTGATTGGTCAGCCAGTGCCCAATCACCTATAGGTGGCCTATAACCCACATAGTCATGACTAGCCTGCTCTGTGTCCTGTGATGTACTCCAAGAAATGTATTTTAAAAAGACAAGTATGTAGAAAAAAAAAAACAATTTTTTTCTGGCTGACCAATCAGTTAATAGTTACACATTTCAACTGTGACTTTAGCCGTCTGCTTACAGTCCCATGTATGTTTACATGTTTTATGTGAACAAGAAGGTCAGTGTTCTAGATAAGCTTCAAAGGTGCATGTACAAGAACATGAATGTCACTGGCCCAAAATAATGTGATGACACACTGGAATTCTCAGCCAAAGTGGCAGGACAAGGATCATCTTATGTTCCACACATCTACTCCGAAACATCACTACTTCAAGAGACAAGTAAAAATGGTTTGCCTTTAAAAGTAGTTACTAAATGTTCCAAATATTTAAAAAAAAAAAAACTCTGCAGAGTGTGTGCTGAGAGCAGGTAGACATGCTGCGTTGTGTTTTGGCATGGAACCTGCAAAAACTCTACGGCATGGCAGAAGAGCCAAATTTAGCTGGCCTGCTGTCTTCCTAGTGCATTGCATTGCTCTGACATGTGTTGCTCTGACAAAAAAAAAAAAAAAGTAAAAGGGCTTGCACTTCTTTTTTCTTACACAGCAGTGTGAACTGCTCCCATTCACATACCTTATTTTTTTCTGGACCTTGTATTGTTATGCGTTAAAAAAAAAGTGCTATAGCAACTGCTGTAAATGGACCTTAAAACCCAACTCCGGGCTAAAAAAAAAAAAAAAAAAAGTTTTCCCATGCAGCGAGGCTTTGCCTGCACTGCACAGGTTACAGTGTTACTAAACACTCAAAAGTAAAATCAGTCTGTATATGCAGTAAAGCATGCTTGATATACTCACTGTGGAACCTAAGGGGTTAATCCTCTGTGTTGGGTAAAAAGGCTGTTTGATTTTGCATTTTCTGATCCTCCCCTTATTCTACTGTCCCACAAAATCCATTTGCTGATAATACAGAGCCCTAGGAGACACTCTGCACATGCTCAGTTTGGTGTGTATTGTTAGAATTTGTTTTTCTTGGTAGGGGGCAAGTGATCAGCACAGGGCCATTCAGCACTGTCCAGTCAGAGGTCATGCAGCCTCACAGGACAGTCAAAGGAGAATGAAAACTCCTCCTGCAAGATTAACCAGTGCTCATTTTTGTCTAGGGCAGTGGTTTCCAAACTGCAGCCCAGGGTCCAGATGTGGTCTTTTCCATGCTTATATCTGGCCCTTGGGGCATTATTCCCTTCCACTGACACCAACAATTGGAATTGGACATGCCTCCCCCGCCATTGACACCAACAACAAGGTACAATTCCTATCAACGGCGCCAGCGATGGGGCACAATTGGGGCACAATTCCTATCAACGGCGCCAACGATGGGGGCACAATTCCTATCAACGGCGCCAACGATGGGGGCACAATTCCTATCAACGGCGCCAACGATGGGGCACAATTCCTATCAACGGCGCCAACGATGGGGCACAATTCCTATCAACGGCGCCAACGATGGGGCACAATTCCTATCAACGGCGCCAACGATGGGGCACAATTCCTATCAACGGCGCCAACGATGGGGCACAATTCCTATCAACGGCGCCAACGATGGGGCACAATTCCTATCAACGGCGCCAACGATGGGGCACAATTCCTATCAACGGCGCCAACGATGGGGCACAATTCCTATCAACGGCGCCAACGATGGGGCAACACAATTCCTATCAACGGCGCCAACGATGGGGCACAATTCCTATCAACGGCGCCAACGATGGGGCACAACAATCAACGGCACCAACGATGGGGCACAATTCCTATCCAACGATGGGGCACAATTCCACCACCAACGATGGGGAACAATTCCTCTCAATGACACCTACGATGGGACACAATTCCTTCTAATGACACCAACAATCAGGCATATGTCCTTCCACTGACACCAATGAAGAGGCAATATTCCTCCTAATGACACCAATGAAAGGGCAGTATACCTACCACTGACACCAAGACAGTCTCTACTCCCACTGGCCTCAGTCTGGCCCTCCTGCAGTCAAAAGGACAGTATACTGGCCCCTTGTTTGGAAGATTTTGTAAACCCCTGGTCTAGGGGATTGAGGAACAGTGATATACTTACCTAATCCAAGACCAGTCTCTGTGCCTCCCCCCCCCCCCCCCCCCATCAGTACAGTGGTTTTGTGCTGTGGACTGTTCCTGACGTCATCACACTGATAAACCTGAACTGGACGCAAAGAACATTCACATCATTTGCCAGTGCAGCAGAGAATTGAGTGATTATACAGCTTTCTCCTCTCCCTTGGACAAAACGAGCAGTTGACATATGCAGTACATGCACCCCCCGCCAAAGGAAATCTTTTTTTTTTTGCCCAGAGTTGGGCAAAACCACTAGAGTGTGACTGGGCTGTAAACTCATGTACTACACACACTGGGGATAAGCAATGCCAATCCAAGCAATGGTCACAGATCAGCCACTTTGTATTTACTAGCACCCTTCTCCCAGGATGACACCTCTGGTAGTGAGCACCCCCCCCCCCCAGGATGATGAAGAGGAGAACAAACTGCTACTACTGATCAATGCCCATTCCTACAGCTGTCATCCTCCACCATTTATAGGAGGAAGGTTGGAAGACCACCCAGGAAAGCAGGAACTAAACCCCATACTATTCCCACCAGTAGTCCAAGTGCACCCTGCTCACCTGCACACCTCTTGTCAGGTCACTCCATGCAGATGTGGCTGTTGCAGCCAGTCTCCCCTTAGCCAAGGCACACCGTAATGTACACAGCATTTTGCAGCACTTTACGTCCCTGTCTTCTTCTACACAGAGCTCTACTAATAACGACCCCTCTGTACTCTCCGGACTCCCCTCCTAGCACAGGGAACCCTGGACGTGACCTTCCTGATCACTGGCTGAACTCAGCAACGCCCCCGCCACTACCAATGCAGCCAGCACACAGGGAGAGCGGACTGTACCATTCCTGCTGGGGAAACTAGTACATGATGGTTAGCAAAGCTTCTGTGGCATGCTAGGGATACAAGTGATTGGTTATCTTCTAATAATAGAACGTATACAGCTCGAAGTGCGGCTCACTACACCCTGTCACTTGATGTGATTTATTATTATTATTATACAGGATTTATATAGCACCAACAGTTTTCTCAGCACTTTACAATATAACGGGAGACAATACAGCAACAATACAGATCAATACAAGAGGGTTAGGAGGGCCCTGCTCCTTGGAGCTTACAATCTAATATATATATATATATTATTATTATTATACAGGATTTATGTAGCGTCAACAGCGCTTTTTGCTCAGCGCTTTTACAATATAAAGGGAAACAATACAACAGCAATGATACAGCTCAATACAAGAGGTTAAGAGGGCCTGCTCCTTGGAGCTTACAATCTAAATATATATATATATATATATATATATATATATATATATATATACAAACACAACACATATATACACACACACATACATACACAGTATGTGTTTGTTGTTATTATTATTATATTATTATTACAGGTATTATATAGCGCCAACAGTTTGCTCAGTGCTTTACAATATAACGGGAGACAATACAGCAACAATACAGTTCAATACAAGAGGGTTAGGAGGGCCCTGCTCCTTGGAGCTGGCGATAACAAGCCCTTCCCTCAGCTCTCAATTGTCATATTAAAAGGCAAAATTGTTTTCTTTATTTTGATAGAGCAAAGGAGGGTTATAACCCCTGTCAGACTTTTTTTTTTCACTGTGTCCCATTGTAGAGATTTTCTTTCACTTCCTGTCCCATAACCAAAACAGGAAGTGAGAGGAATTTCCTGCAAATTAACCACTTGCCCTCCAGAGGGAGTACCCCACCCCCCTTCCTGACCAGGCCATTTTGTGCGATATGGCGCTGCGTTACTTTGACAAATGCGCGGTCATGCAACGCTGTACATAAATGAAATTTATGTCCTTTTTTCCCCACAAATAGAGCTTTCTTTTGGTGGTATTTGATCGCCTCTGCGGTTTTTTATTTGTTACATTATAAACGAAAAAGACCGACAATTTTGAAAAAAAAAAAAGTTTTTTTTTATTTTTGTTATAAAACAAGTCCAGTAAAAAATGTTTAAAAAATTTAATTTCTCCATAAATGTAGACCAAAATGTATTCTGCTACATGTCTTTGCTACAAAAAATCCCAATACATGCAAAATTAACCAGTTCCCTACCGTGCTATAGGACAGCTACAGCGCAGTTCTCTGGTTCTGGGACGACGTCCATGGAAGTCATTCCAGAACACGCCCCCTGCGCGCCCCCAGCGGCACACACCCAGTGCCTACGGACACAGCTGATCATGGGATATGGTAAACAGCCAATCACTGAGGCCTTTTACCATGTGGTCAGCTGTGTCCAATGACACACTGATCACCGGTAAATACAGTTGCTGGTTATCGGCTGCACTTTCCTCACACTGTCACAGCATGAGGAAAGTATTGCAGAGAACCAGCAATTATCAGCGAAGGGATTGACACTGATCATCAGGGCACTGACCATCAGTGCCCAGCAGTGCCACCCACCTGTGCCTAGCAGTGCCACCCACCTGTGCCCATCAGTGCCACCTGTGTCCTGCAGTGCCACGCAGCAGTGCCACCTATCAGTGCAGCATCATTAGTGCCAGCTCATCAGTACCGCATATCAGAGCTGCCTATCCGTGCCACCTCATCAGTGCCCATCAGTGCCGCCTATCAGTGCAGCCGCATCAACGCACATCAGCGAAGGAGAAAAATTACCTGTTTGCAAAATTTTATAATAGAAACAAAGAAAAACTTTTTCTTCAAATTTTGTGCTCTTTCTTTTGTTTATAGTGCAAAAAATAAAACACCCAGCGGCGAGTAAATACCAGCAAGAGAAATCTCTATTTGTGGGAAAAAAATTCTAAAAATTTCACATAGGTACAGTGTTCCATGTTCGAGCAATTGTCATTCAAAGTGCGCCAGAGCTGAAAGCTGAATTGGCCTGGGCAGGGGGGGGTGCCCGGTAGGCAAGTGGTTAATTGGTTTGCGTGAAAGTTATAGCGTCTGCAAATGGCGGTATATATAGTAGGATTTTTTTTTTAATACTAGTAATGGTTGCGATCAGCAACTTATAGCGTGATTGAGGGACTGCAGCGGACATTCTGACATTGGGGGAAACTGACTTGGTGTGCCACTGACATCCCCAGTAATACCAATACAGTGATCAGTGCTAATAAAAAGAACTGACACTGTATTAATGATACTGGGCAGGAAGGGGTTACCATCTGGGCGATCAAAGGGTTAACGGTGCACTGTTTTACTGTGTAAGCTCACTGCTTTGTATTGCTCTGCTATGACAATCCTCTTTTTATCCTTTTTATGACTGGCTACATTCCAGAGTTGTATATTATCTGAGGCATAAATAACAGTGAACACTCTGGGGAATGCCCCACAAGCGCTGCAGAACATACATACTAGAAATAGGTGGTCATTGATACAGGCTGAGTGTCAGTCCATGTAGGGCACCTACAGCACTGTCGAGTGGAGCATTTTTAAAAGCTTTTGAGCTCTGGCACGTTACTTTCACACTTTGGAACAACTCTTTTCCTTTTGGAGTTTGTTGGACTTATAAGTTTGCCCAGGGGCGGTGTTGGTTCTGTTGACCCTTTAGACCCCTGGTCTAAATTCTCTGTCACTCGTTCTGTCTCCTCAGGCCTGGAGAAGCATTGGTTACAAGTAATCACACATGACACCGTCTTGTCGGTAACCAAAAAACTTCTAATTTATTCCACAACGAAAGCTCTCTTTTATAGTACAATATAGTGTTAACTTTTTCAAGAATAAGGAATGTCTATAATATTACATAAAAACTTATCTGCTACATACAATAGAATCTGGCTAGATACTTTTCAAGGCTATGAACATGATCTTTCTCAGGCATTGTAATTAGTTATAAGTAACAAACAATTATTCTCTCATGGAACAGAAATATTTGACATTTAATTGTATCATGACAGAAACAGGTGCTTGTTAATACAAAGAAATAGTTGAATACTATCACCGTCTCTACCAAGGCTAAGCTAAGATAAAAAATAGAAGAATGTTGTGAGTATAGTTCTGTAATACATAACTGACATAGCATATTTTCATTAACTCATTCTGGTTATAATACAAAACAATTAATCAACATGTTAGTACAAAATGGAGTGGGAAAAACAAAATGACAGACCTAAAAGACATACATTTCCCTTCAGGCGGACTGACAACTCATGGGGCCCCCAGGCAATAGGGGATCATGGGGCCCCTGTGTCCTTGCCCAAACTCAAAAAAGCCTATAAAAAAGGTACCAGGGGCATCTCATCGGGCCCCCTACTGACCCCAGGCCCTCGGGCAGTGCCCGAGTTTCCAAATGGTCAGTCCACCCCTGAGTTTGCCTGATATATATATATGTATGTTTGGTGGGCACATTTTTATTAGGCTGTGGCAAGCGCGGTTCAATTCTCTGTAAATGTTTAAGCTGTAAATGTAGTTCTTAATTTGCAGGCGTATCTGCTGGCAATTGCTCTTGGGGAAGGATCAGAACCCCTGTCAGTTTTTTTGTTCTGCTATCTGAAGCTCCCTTAGGGACTTTACCTACTGTACTGCTGAAAATGTTTAACCCCTTGCCCTCCAGAGGATTTACCCCACTTCCTGACCAGGCCATTTTTTGCATTACGACGCTGCGTTACTTAATGTATTCTGCTCCATATCTTTGCTAAAAAAAAATCCCAATACGTGTAAATTATTTGGTTTACGCAAAAGTTATAGCATTTAAAAATGGGGGGTATAGATACTGGGATTTTTTTTTTTCCTACTAGTAATGGCGGTGATTAGCAACTTTTAGCGGGACTACGGTGGGCATTCTGACACTGGGGGGAACTAACTTGATGTCACTGACATCCCCAGTGACACCAATACAGTGATCAGTGCTAAAAAACCACACTGACACTGTACTAATGACACTGGGCAGGAAGGGGTTAATGTAAGGGGTGAGCAAAAGGTTAACTGTGTGTAGGGAGTGTTTTACTAGGGACTGGGGGGGGTGCTTCACTGTAAGCACACTGATCAGGATGGCTGTACTGTGCACAGCCATCCTGAGCAGTGTGCCTGAGCTGACAGGGAGGAAGACTGTTTGTAAACAAAACAGTCTTCCTCCCAGTTTGTGACTGTCAGTAATCACCGGGCGCCAGCGGGTAATTACCAGCCGGGAACGGGTGATTGACATCAGTGGCCGTGAATGGTGGCGCGGGTAGGGTGCGCGTATGGCTCGCGCGTGCCCCCTACCCAAAAAATTAAAAATTACATACATATACATAATTGTAGTGCAGCGCATAGGTATAAAAAATACAGAAATGATACTGAATTCATGTGAGCCAATATGAAAGGATGGAGGATGGAACACACTTCATGACCAGACCTATTTATAAGACCCCGAAGAGGGACCTCTGATTGACATCATCCTTAATTAACTATACAATCAGAAGTGGACAACTTCCAGACCAGACCAGATTCCATCTGATGGGAGTCCCCTAAGCCGGATTACATCATTAAATGCGCATTACATTAGCGCTTCTGGTGAGTTTGCAATCTCGCTATATTATCGCACACCACCGGATTGTGTATATTTTCCTGGCTAATTATCCACTCCCAGATTAATCACTTTCTGGAACATCATCTATTTGAAGTGACTATCTTACATCATTTATCCACCAATTTATAAGACTTTTATATTGGCTCACA